GGGGCAATAATCCAGGAAGTTATGTACGGATTTGCTCGATTATCGAAAGGGACCAAGATCTTTGTGAGGCATCAAAATTGTGGTCCCTAGAGGGTCCACAACCTTGATATACCATATATTTTGTGCAGCAATTTTGGTCCGATTTACACGAAATTTGAACTCAACCATCAGTAGGGTGTAACGGTGATACATTTAAACATTTTTTTTTAAATTGGATCAAAAATTGTGACCTCTAGAGGGACCACAAGCTAATTATAAAAATGTGATTTTTCGTAAAATCAAGGGCCATAATTCAGGAAGCTACTGAGGCTAATGTCCCCCACCTCAATTGCATAAAAAAGAGATGATACTTGTTAATAACAGCACTTAATGTATTTATCTTTTCCTATTTTCAGCAATAAAAACCTGAGCAGAAATTGTTCATTATCAAACTTAGTCAAGATATTGATTTTTACAATGAACCAGACATCAAGTTTCATTATTCTCACTCAACTAGAATCAAACATTATCGTGCCCCTATGCATCGCCAAATAAAACTTTCCATCTTTGCTAGGCCTGAGCAGAAAATGCTTATGCAGTGTGCCATGAGGGAATTTTTGCCTGCACAGCAGCATTTTGGGGTAATCTTCAACTGTCACAGATTTCTTTTACATGCATGCCAACGTGTACACTTCACCACTTTTTGTCGTGCCCGGTCTTCTGCCCTGCACCACTGAGAAGGGGAAATCAAGCTGTAAAATACTGGGGAACATTTTAGGTCAACACAAGGACCAAATCCTGAATATCATAGTTTTAGCCGGTGCCTCACATTAATCAGAACATAAGTGCTGTCTAATGATATTTATGTGCTTAGTATGACTTTGTACAGTCATTTGCAACATTTAAGATCACCAAGCCTTTTTTGCATTTTTTTTCTTTTCTACTATTGTGTCAGATCGCATCAGTCACCAGAAGTGACTGCATCAGATGAACAGGGTATGAAGTAGCCCACACTTTCCAGGCATTAATAAAAATAGGCAAAAAAACTCTCAATCAGTCCAACAAAGAGCTCAAATTGTTAACAACTAAGGAAGGATATTCTGCCAAGCAGTGAGTAAGTGAAAATATTTCGATCTTCTATGACGAACTGTACACAAATACCGCTCTGACAGCATTTTAACAGATCTGAAAAGGAGTGGATGACCAAAAGAAAACCCAACTCTTGAGATAACAATATCTGACCCTCATGATGACAGTATCATCATGCAACGAATACAGTCATCAGATAGTTTCTGGAAAAAAATTATTCTTGAACATGGCAAAATGACTTAATTTGATGACATGATTCAATTTGATATTCATTGGTTGAATCATTTCAGAAAATTTCAATAAAATGGACTGTGGTTCATATTCTAAATAATGCTGTAGAGGAAAAAATAAACTTGAAATTCCATTTTTTCTTTATGGGAAAGTTTGTAGCAAAGGTTTGAATCGAACTGTCATTTTATTTGCTTTGACAATCGATGTATACACAGGACATGTCTAAATCTGCGGGTAAGAGCATAATGTGACAAGACAGGCGCACCACTCAAGAACCAATTAAGCTAGTGTTGATTATAATTGCTTAGCCTCTTTGGGAGACGGACAAGAACACTTTAAAGGACCAAGATTACACGGATTTTATTTAAAGTAGCTAAGTCTCTAACTCAATATCATCAAAAATCTTCGACATTGAAAAAACGAATTATTTGTCAATTTAAATCAACATTGATGCTGTAATCTTACAGGGAAAAGATGGACTTCTGATATCCAATATTCAAGACAAAATAAACATTTTACCATTGGTACACAAATCGTGTACCTTAAATACTGTGTATAAATTTAAAGACAATTTGATGTTAACTTTAGTCTCTAGTAATTTTACCCTCTAGAGCGTCCACAATATTTTTCGAACTCAAAGGTCATTTTATCTCATAACCTTAAATACTGTGTATAAATTTAAAGACAATTTGATGTTAACTTTAGTATCTAGAGCATCACAAGATTTTTCAAAGTGATCAAAGGTCATAACTCTGGCAGTTATTATTGGAAATCATTAGGTTTCTGTGTCTCATGATCTTAAACACTGTTCATACATAAATTTAAAGACAATCGGATATAAATGAAATGAAATGGGGTTTAACGTCCTACTGTTCTTCTCTGACTGGGCTAATGCAGTGTGCTACATGAGGGAAATCTTGCCCGTACAACTGCCAAGGGATCTTTTACATGCACATCAATGTGTACATTGGACCTCTGTTTTCCCTGTCTCATCCGAACGACTTAACAGCTGTCCTTGTCAGGCCCTCCGTTCTGCACCACTGACAAGGGGAAACCACGCCGGAAAATCCTGATAAACTTTCTCGGCCAACACCAGTAGCGAGCCAGTGTCTTACTTAGATTTACTTGCTTACCTACCATGGCTCCCAATTGGATATAATGTTTCTAGAGCGTCCACAAGATTTTCACAACTCTGGCAGTTAGGAAATTGTTGAAAATCAATAGGCATTTTCCTCTCATGACCTTAAGCTTTGTGTATTTACTTAAAGTCCACTGGATATTAAATTTAGCCTCTAGAGCATCCGCAAGCAATTGTGGGCGCCAGACTCTGGACCGATGGGCAGACAGTCAGACTGGGGCGATGAAAATATATGACCACATTTCAATATAAAAAGAAATGTGAACATTTTTTGACAAGATCATGTGCAATTTACATGCTATCAAACAAAAAATGAGCAAATTATCTTATCCAACAAATTACACAGAACAGTGTCTAAAAATAGAAAAGATCATGAACCATTAAGGTTATTTTGAAGCTGTCATCTTTACTAAAAGTTACTTGAAATAATTATACATATAGGTTTAATAAAGATTTCAAAATTCGTTACTACAGAGAATATAAAAGCAGATAGATGAAATAAAGGTAATTGCGAATTCTCTGAGAGGCTAAAAACATACTGAACAGAAAATCGCTTTAATGCTTTCATTTTAGATTTTCTAACTCCAGTAATCTTACATTTCGTTGGGTTATTCAAGACAGATCATTTTACTAAACTCATAAAATTCTAGAGTTAACAATCACAGTCTGTACTCAACTTCAGCAATTTACACAGCCACTTCATCCAACTCTTTTAAATCTTTTAAAATAAAATAAATACCAATGGCTGCCAGGCAGGATATGCCCACATTTTGCAAGAGATGGATAGAGAACAAGCTAAACAAAAAGCGATTTTTCATATAATCAAGGGCCATAATTCTTCAGGAGTTCCGATCCGATATGCCAAATATCGACAGGGACCAAGATCTTTCGGTTATAAAGATATATTTTAAGTTTCATCAAAATTGGATCAAAATTGTGACTTCTAGTGGGTCTACAACCATACATTTACACTATTTACGTACGAGGGCCGGCCATTTTGTCTGGCAGCTTTGGTCCGATTTTCACGAAATTCGATTTCAAGCATCATTACAGTGTAACGGTGATACATTCAAACATTTTTTAAATCGGATGATAATTGTGACCTCCAGAAGGACAACGAGCCAAAAACACGATCTTTGGGTTATAAACATGCATTTCAAGTTTCATCAAAATCAGATGAAAATTGTGACTTCTACTAACTTCTAGAGTGTCCACAAGCTAAAAACGTAATTTTTTGTACAATCAGGGGCCATAATCCATGAAGTTATGGTCTGATATATGCCAATATCGAAAGGAACTGAGATCTTTGGGAGATAGACCTATATTTTAAGTTTCGTCAAAATCGAATAAAAATTGTGACCTGTAGACTGTCCAAAAACATATTGTGGAAGGATGGACAGGGGCGATGACAATGTATGTCCTCATGAAAATGTGGGCGTATAAAAATCCCAATTGTATTTTAGACAACTTTACTCAAACCAGCAATATTTGTTAGTTAAGCCCTTCATTTATGAATTTGTGTTAAAACTGTTTACTATACTTAAATCAAAGGTGTCAAGAACAGAAGTATCTTCAATGAGATAAACCAATGCAATCAGATCAATGTAAATATCTGATGTTAAATCATAACATTTCCCCCACTAGATAGATAGCACTACTAACTTAACACATAATCTAACATTTACATTCTCTAACATCAACTATTATTTGACTTCAGGCTGACAAAAGACATATTTCTCATTGTACAGAAAAGGTGTTTTATGCCCATTATCGCTAGGCTGAAAATAAGCTAACATGATATTTTATTGCTGAAAAAAAATCTTTATTTATCACATTTAACACACGAACCAAATGGAGTCCTTTAATGACGTCATTACACAATAGAGTGCTTCAGGGTTTGACTTCTAAAAACTAATACAAATATTTGAATGTAAACTAGATAAATTGAACTTATTCAGCCTAAACAATATATTTCATTTTTGTACAGGCTGTATACATGTACAAGATAAAAGAAGATTTTTTGTCTGTCTACAAAAGATAAGATATATTTTATCTATACATGTGAAAAGAATTGAATTACACCTTATATAACAAAGTTAGATATTAATAACAGTTTTCATCAAGTCGAAAGGAGTTATGTCAGATAAAATGATTATAAAGTGAGAAGAATAATGCTGTGAGGCAAGTGATAATCTTTAACAAAATTGCTATGAATGCATCAATGAGAATATTAAAATCATTATTGATCTATCTGTTCCTTATTTGACAAAGGGAGACCAATCCAATAATTGACTCTACATTTCTGATCGAACTTCTCTACTTATACAGCACAAATCATCTGCAACACAGACAGACATGACGAAGCAAACAAATCAATAATTCAGTAGTTATTTAGAACCTAATAATAAGTTTCATGGTCTATATTCTGTATCAATATAAATATTGCCGGAATGTATCGCTACATATTGGTGTATTGATATATAGACATAGCCCTAGTGTCTTCGCATCCCTAATAGGGGCGACGACAACACACTGTTAAATTTCTAAAATAAATCATACATACAGCAACATGTAACAATCTTCTGATAGCTTGATTATTACCGGAACCACAATAAGCCATAGCTACAGTATACATTCCTGACCATCGTAATATTGGATCTTTATCACGAGTTAAACTTTCTATCAGAGGATCAGCTTCTTCAAGACGACCAAACATAGTCAATGCTATCCCAACAGCCAGCCCTCGTAAAATCTTCTCATGCTGTGTATCTTGGGCATACTAACAAAATATAAAATTTAAACAAATTAATTATGAATCTTGTTACAAAGTTAAATGGGCCTCATTTAATCTAAAAAAAGTTAGAAATAAATAATCGACCAGAGTCGGATGTGATATGAACAAAATCAGACATCTAAGCAAATAATCCACAACCAATAGTTAAAGTAATGCCTGGGGCCGCTTCTTTCTTACTCTATACACTTGGCAAAAATTCACAGATAGACAGACAGAAATCAATTTTTAAAAGATGGCCATCTCATAAATAGGTAGGTTGACTTTAAAATAATTTTAAAAATTCATAATGGACCTAACATGAAACTGAAACAGAGGACATCCAAATCATTTTTGATGTCCTAAAAGATCTGTTATCTCTGCATACTTTTGTATAAAAGTAAGTTGGATGGTATGTTAACCCTATAAACTCATCCCCTAAAACTGGTGTTTTACCACTGGTATCTGTTACTGGGCAAATGGTAAAAAAATAATCCTTAGAACCACATGTTATATGTTTCTGATTAGGGCAGTGGCAGGGCTTTCTATAGGGGATTATTACATTGATCCCACGTGCATGAACTTGACTTTTTCCATCTGACTTTTGATCCCCAAAATAAGGTTAACTTTTCCATCTGACCTCAAACAGGTCACAGAGATTATAAGCTGGTAGGGCTTTCCAGGTAGATTCAAAGAAAACAACTATTTTGTCACAAATCTGTTTATTATTCATAATTGTGGCATTAAAATAAAAAAAATTATGAGACATCAAAGATCATAAATACTGCGAGAAAATACAGCAAATACATGACTAGAAATAGAATTAAACAAGCCAACAGTGAGGCTGATGTCCCCCGCCAAAATCCCCAAATAAATAGATGACACATATTAATTAATCGCACATCTATTTTTTTCAAAAGTATCGAGCAAACAAACTGATTATCAACTATACACAAAGTTTCATCACTCTCAGATAGAATCGAAGTTATCTTGTCCCAAAGCATCGACCAAGGAAATTGCTTAGCTTTAGCGCGATATGTTAATCATTGAACTCAGTCAAGACGAACATCTACATCAAGTTTAAACATTCTACCTCAATTAGAAGCAGAGTTGTTATGTTCCAAAGTCTTGAACAATCAAAATGCTTATTGCTCCTTAGCCTAAGCAGACAATTCTCATCATTGAACTTAGTCATGGTATTGATGTAATGAAACTATACACCAAGTTTCATCATCGAACTTAATTAGAACTAAAATTATCGTGTCCCAAAGCATCAACCAATCAAATTGCTTATCTCTACTTACCATAAGCAGAAAATGCTCATCTTCGCATTCTATCAAGGCATTGACCTTATAAACACCTACACCAAGTTTGAACATTCTGGCTCAATTAGAAGGAGAGTTATTGTGTTCCAAAGTCTCGGCCAATCAAATTGCTTATCACTCTGCTTACCCTGAGCAGAAAATGCTCAATATCAAACTTAGTCAAGGTATTGATGTAATGTAACTATACACCAAGTTTCATCACTCTCACTTAATTGGAACTAAAGTTATCGTGTCCCAAAGCATCAACCAATCAAATTGCTTATCTCTACTTACAATGTACCCTAAGCAGAAAATGCTCATCTTCACACTCCATCAAGGCATTGACCTAATAAACACCTGCACTAAGATTGAACATTTTAGCTCAAATAGAAGGAGAGTTATTGTGTTCCAAAGTCTTGGCAAATCAAATTGCTTATCGCTCTGCTTACCCTGAGCAGAAAATGCTCATTATCGAACTTAGTCAAGGTATTGATGTAATGAAACTATACACCAGGTTTCATCCCTCTCACTTAATTAGAACTAAAGTTATCGTGTCCCAAAGCATCAACCAATCAAATTGCTTATCTCTGCTTACCCTAAGCAGAAAATGCTCATCTTCGATGTCCATCAAGGCATTGACCTAATAAACACCTACACCAAGTTTGAACATTCTAGGTCAATTAGGAGAGTTATTGTGTCCCAAAAAGTGTGACAGACAGACAGAGGGACAGACAGACAGATGGACAAACAGACAGACAGACGGACGGACGGATGGACAAACCCATTTTAATAGTCCCCTGCTTTCTTCGAAAGGCGGGGGACAAAAATAAAGACATAATTAAATAATTATGCAAATGACCTTTGACCCTACCATTGACCTTTGACCCACTATTGAACTTTGACATAACTGGTTGACCTTTGACAAGACACACTGACTTATGACCCCAAAATTATTATTTTATACTTTTGCTGTTAAAATGTTACCCACAGCTGCTATTATGCAAATAATACAGCATTTGCTACATGGTAAACACCATCCCAAAGGCAATAGCACCTCTTTACACCAAAATATAGAAGTAGACACAAGGCTGATAAGAAAAATTCAGAAGGAATACATACAATCAAGTAGATACATGTATACAGACTAGGAAAATCATGCAACAATCAATAACTATATTATGTTAAAACAATAAATATAGCAATGACAAAAAATCTGATATATGTTATCTAGTTTTCATCCTTCAAACAGATCAAGCTTTATTGTGCTAACTGCCAACTCATGAAACTTCAGTTCCACGTTTTGGAGTAAACTTTGGTATACTGGGCTCTGTGTCTATATACTGTTCATGCTTCCATTCTTCTGGGCTAATATAATGACTAATCTTCTGACGACGACAAGGCTGGGATGCATGTGGCTGTGTTCTCTGCAATGGTGAATTTTCTTAAGAAGAATCAGTGTTGATTTACGCGTACATGTACTTTTGTTATTTTGTTGTACCAAAACTCCCTCAACAAGATCTTTAGGCTTACCACTATTTGCATCTTCAGATATGGACCTTCAAATATAAATAAATAAATGTAAGGCATTCAGTACAATAAAAAAAAATAACAAAAGACTTCAACAATGAATAACTTTTGGTAAAATAATTGGAAAGAGGGAGAGCATAATTCAAACCATTATGCTAATAGATCTAGGCATACAATCTAAAGCTGTAGAACATTTAGCCAGTTTGGGTCTATACTTTTTTTCAAATGTAAAAACACATACATACAAAACAAAACTTACTCATCCAAATCAGAGCTTGTATTAGTACCATTAGGCCTAAAACTATCATTACCATGTCCATGTGCAGTATCTTCAGCTGCGGTTGTAGGCCTAAAAAAAAAAATTAAATAAGATACTTTGATCAACATAGGGTACATGTAAATAAAATAAATGATATATATTATAAATGCCAGATGAAAGCTTATCTGACTAGATATAGCTAGTATACTATAGTATAATAAATACAGTAGTGATTTAGCCTAAGCCTAGTCCCAACAACAGTCCAACCCCTTGATGGAACGAAAGAAAACAAACGAACACTGACAACAATTAATGGCCAAGCCTTTTTGAAATTTAATACTAACCATGGGTTTCTGCATTTCATGTCAATAGTCTGATTGAAATAGAAAACATCTGATCTTCATCAAGTTCAGTCATACGTACGTGTGGTCGACTAGCTGTCAAAATGCAATTACATTTTATGCCTACATATTTGGGCTAATTTACCGATAATTTGATGCTAAATGGATATTTCATGCTAGAAATGGGCATACAGTCTACAACTGAATAACTATCACCCATCTTACGTTTGTTTCGGATGTAAAAAGTAAAATGGTAAACAAAACTCACTCATCTAAATCGGGATCGATTCTCTCGTTGACAAATTCTTCGTCAGTTGAATTTAGGTTACCTCTTTCATCGGCATCGCTCACATATTCAAAATCAGATGTGTCTAATGAATTTAAAACTTTAACACTTACGTTTTTTTAATTTTCGGTTAAATATTTTCCCTTTTAGACATAATAAACTAAATTTTTACGGCTATAAGTATATGAAATAATAGGACTTCTGCTAAATATAAATAACACGACGTCATTTGTTTGCGCACACAGAATTATGCATCTTTGCTACAATCTAGACTTGTATAACACGACTTCTATGTGGAATAGGCGCCCGTCAAACCAGAGGGAATTTCCGTGGCTTTCGAATGATATAAATTATATTGGTTTACTATATATACTTTTTTTATGACGTGATGAATTTCTTGATTGCCAGCGATCGATTTAACAAGGGATGTGTGCATAGGATTAAAAGATTGATGAACTTACCGCTACCATATCTTCAATAGCTGTAGCCGATTTAGTACCTAACATAACTAATCCCATTGCTAATCCTGCTGCTTCACCTGTTTATATTCAATTACAAAACATTGATTATATTAGAAATATTAGAAATATAACTAACTTCAAGAACACTTTCCAACAACTTACAAGCAAATAGTGAAGCTGATGTCCCCTGTCTTATCTCTACTTAAATAGATGACACTTATTAATTCCATCTCTACACCAAATCTCTTCACAGAAGCAGATTTACTGTGTCTTAAAGTCTTGCCAATATAATTGCTTATATAGTTATACATATAAATTATCATCATTCAACCAAGTCAAGACATACATATTGTTAACATCTACAATAAGTGTGAACATTCTACCTCAATTAGAAGCAGAGTAATCATGTTCCTAAAGGTGTGAAGAACAGGCAGCAAAAAATGCTCCTCTTCCAACTCAGACAACATATTCACCTTAATTTGAAGCAAAGTTTTTGTGCCCCAAAGTCTTGACCAATGAGACCAGGGCTCACACTGTTGGTCGCCAAAGTCGCAATTTGCGATAAAAATATGTAAGTGGCGATTAAAATTTGATTTTTGCGATTCTTTTTGAGAACTGGCGGAAAAAAATCTTTAAATTCTAATTGTATTTATCCTGGATTAACCATTATTAAGTGTCAATCACATGGCGGGATACTTTACATTAATCAACTGGCTGATAATCTGGATCGCGTCAATGAGTAATACCAATCAGTTGTCTTGGATTAATGATTAGTTGATTGATAATTGCCAATGATATATATAAAGCCTATCTCAAGTCATTATTTACTCCTAATGATTAATCCAAGCAGTGATGATTTGCTTTTTTCTTTCGTCTTAAAAAAAAGGTAATACATATAATCAAAATGGCCGACAGTTCCTTTTGAAGAGAATTAATTATTCTAATAGCTGAATTCCATTTACAGTGGTTTCATATATGGCATGTAAAATATACAAGCATGCATAGAATATCATTATTTCAAATTATATTATTACCACTGGTTGAAAACGTAGGAACGAATTGAATAGTGACGATTCTTGAGCGAGAAAACATTTCGCCATTTTGTATCATATTACCGTCGCCAAAATGCTTGAAAGCATCTTTTACAAATATAATTGAAATTTATATCATTCTATAATTGAAATTTATATCATTCTATAATTGAAATTTATATCATTCTATAATTGAAATTTATATCATTCTATAATTGAAATTTATATCATTATATCAGGGATTCAGATTCTGATACCTTTTCGGTACCTGAAAATAACAATTTGTCCCATTGTACAAATTTATGGAAAATTAATTGGCAATCCCTGGATGAGATTTTACGTGTAAATACTGAAAATATATTGAGCAGTACGGTGTTTAAATAGACTAAAGTCACCAAAAATAAAATCTAATCTTATTAAATCCAAACTTTGCTAATCTCTTATGTAAAGACAGATTTTTAAAGTTGTTGTATGTTGTATTGTATATATCGGTAATTGTTTAATAAGTCTAGCTGAGACATAATATTGTTAGATGTTGTCTTTTTTATCACACATTTTTGGCAGATAAAATATTCCAGTTGGCGCAAAAAAATATAATCATTTTTTTTATATAAAAATTATCATCTATTTTGGCGGAAAAAAATTGAAAGTCAGTGTAAGCCCTGAATGAGACTGTGTACATCTGCTTAGGCTAAGTAGATAATGTTCTTCATCGAACTCAGTCAAGTTGTTCACCTACACCTAGTTTGAACATTCAGAAGCAGATATTGATTTGTACTTTGTGAAATAATAGAACTGATAGGAAGAATTTGTATTTATATATTGGTAAAATACTAACCAGTAACAGCATCATCTTGATATAAATTATACTTTAACTGTTCATAAATATCTGTAAGAAAATAGTTTTCCAATTGTAATTATAACTATGCAACTGATGGAGATCTGACCATAAACTATACGAAAGTTAAAGATCAAATGGGAAATGGGACATGAAAAATATGTTAGTGAAATAAAGGTTGTATGGTTTTAACCCAATGATTCTGCCAAATTTATTAATGTTATCTCTTATACAGAAGAAAATCCAGTCAGGCAATACTTAACCCATTTAAGGACAAAGAAATTATTTAATATATTCAAAGCTGAACATAACCTAATTCTAGCAACATAAAGTCCCTGTACCTTGCCTAGCTGTTCCCATGGCAGCAAGACCAACACCTAAACAACCACCATGTCTTACCATCTGTTGTAAAATAAAACAGAATATACATACAATATAAATTAAACCAGGACTTACAGCATTAAAGGACCTTTTTCATGTTGACAATCATTGTAGTAAGATTGATAGAATTTTTGCTGTTTAAATTAATAATAGCATTATATTATATCTTTAATTAATTATTTGGTTCTATAGAAGTCAGATCTCATGCACTCAAATAATGAGTGACAGATTTACACATAAAAACAGATATAAAACCAAAACATAGCTGGTTCTATGTGTCAACAAAATATCACCAGATCACGCATGATCAGAAAATTACGATTGCATCAGTTGGCTGAAGTAACCAATCATCATAATTTATTATGTAATATTTGACCAATTAGATAATTGAAACTTCAAACCCAAAGCTACAAAACTATCATATCTCTGGGCATTCGACAGACAGCCGTTAAATTCCAGAGGGGGAAGATGTAGCAATTTCTATCAGCAGACTCCCAGCGAGTCTGGGTGGAGTCGGATTGAGAGAATGACTTTATTGTAATCTATGCTTGTATCTTATGTAACCAATGCTTGATATATAAAATGTAAAAACAAAGTGATGCATTGTTATTCCTAGTAAGACAAATGTCTTAACTAATGAGAAGATAACTGTCTTAACAGCCGAGATAAAAATATACACAACGCAAGTCCTAAGAAGAGAATAAGAAACAAATACAACCAGAGACAGTAATTGACGATCAAAAGCTATTAAAATATGTAGTAAGAGGAGAGTGCATGGGTCATATGTAGGATATGGCGACCACATTTGATAGCCCGCTTTCCATATCTGACATATAATTTGGAAGTAATGCTAGATCTTTTTAATATGCTAATGCATTGTGACAATGACTATACTGAATAATTGGACATAGTAACTTTTTCTATTGCAATATTACATACATCTGTCTGTGCGTCTTTAAGTTGACCAAGTAAATAATCTGTTATTTCACCACCATGATTAGAATGTATTAAACCTGAAAAAAGAAAAAGAATGTTAAAAAGTCCACTCATTTACTATTTGTTCATAGCTTATAGTTTTTAACTCTCATTAACTGGATCTCAAATAATTCACAGACAAATGTGTCACTTTTGTTGAATTCCAATATCATCAGTAAGTATGATTTGATTTTTGTATTCAAATATAATACCGATATTGTCAAACCTATTAAAAAGATAGGTTGCCAGGCAGTGAAACATACACCCACAGCAGCTAAATTGTCCGAGCAGTCAACAAGAGTTGTCACATATTTTTACTTTTGTCGGTAATGAAACATTTATAATACACTAAAATATGATTAAGAGTAACAACTCATTAAGTAATTATCAGAAAATCATTAGAATTTGTTTGGCCCATGCTAACATTTAGTATACAAAACATTTATTATCATGGATTTAGCTCTTTAAGGAATCAAAAATCATTGAAAATCAATATACTTGTTCATCTCCCTTAAAACTCAGTGTATAAATCTAAAGTCAATTGAAATAGGTGTAAACACAGTGTATAAATATAAAATCAATCAGATGATAACTATGGTCTCTAAAGCATCCACAAGATTATCAGAAATCGTTGAAAATCAATAGTATTGTTTGTCTCATGACCCTGTGTATAAATTTAAAGTCAATCGGGTATTAACTTAAGCCAGAGTTATGGCCCTTGATCACTTTGAAATATCTTGTGGATGTTCTAGAGGCTAAAGTTAATATATGATTGACTCTGAATTTGCAAAAGGAGAAACAAAATGAGATCAGTTATATTAGTATATTTATATTATTTTAGCAGCATACCTAAAGCATATAATCCACCACCTTCAGAATATGCAGAACCTGGTGAACTATCTTTAGGTAAATATGACGCCATTAAATTCAATGCTTCTTTCTCATGACCCTGGAAAAAAGTGAAGAATAAGAAAATTATATGAATAAAAATTTCACTTAGAAAACAGCCTTCGTTCAAAAGCTTAAACAATTCAAGTGTGAAAAGAAAGGTAACTCATTTTTTACTGTATCAAATTCACAAGCTTCAATGGTCAAAATCCGAAATGAAAGACAAATTTACAAAACACATTTCAAATTTTTAAATCCAAACATATCTTAAAATTCAATAGGGTCTCTATTTATCAACCCCACTCATCGAATTATAATGATTATATTACAAGTTACTCATAGAATACCAACCTTGTGTATGACACCTAAACTTGCTGTAGCTGTAAATTTGGCCCAATTGGTTGCCCTCGATAACCATTCTAAATTATCTCTAAATGATACAAGTAATATATTTTACAAATTTCCGTTAAATATTACCACATAATTTACCAACAACAGAGAGACTTGCTTTATTCAGAGGTTTACTAAAATGACTTAAAATAAGTTTATACATACAGTACCTCAAAAATTGATCTGATGTGGTTCCACAATTCATAAATGAATTAGCAATAACTGTTGCAGAATGACAGATAGAATTTCTTACAGCATCCTGTAATATAAAGAAATAATTATCAATCAGTCTATACACCAAGTAATAGTAATATCAACATTCAACAAATCAAACCATATAATACAGCACCAAACACCAAAACATTTTCTTTCTCTTTGTATTGTATGACATTATATTTAATGAATATTTTAGTTTGAAAATGCACAATTCTCATTTTAAAATGACCATTGTGTAAGTTTACCTACCTTTGTATTCTTCAGTATAAGTGAATCAGTATGATTATTCTTTACCAGAAATTGTAAATGTAAATAAATAGTTGTTTCACCGCCAAGAATTGTGTGAAGTTTTGTCAGTCTGTCTTGTAATATTTTATCACTTTCACTCTGAAAAAAAAAGAGGTCACATTTTATACCAGTGACTAATTCTAAATTAAATGTGTTTTTTGGTTTAAAAATTTAAAGATAAGAAATGCTTTAACATTTAATAACATACTAAAATACTAGAAACTTACTAAATTTTCTTCTTTTATAGCTGGAGTTTCTGATGCTGATGTGACAGTTTCTGCTGTATCTTCACTTGTATCCATAGAACTGCTAAACAAGACATTTCATTTCATATAAAATAATTGTTGAAAGAAGTTCAATCATTAATTGTACCAGATCAATAAGAAATATATCAACTAGTTAAAAGGGGCATTATGGGATTAGATAAAATGTTGATAATTTTCGCTATAAAAGCTAAACAATAGATAACATCCTGCATCACTGACAAGGGGGAACCCTGCCAGAAATCTGGATGAACTTGCTCGGCCAATGTAGGGATCGAACACCCAACCTCCAGGCTAGCGAGCCAGGGTCTTAACCACTTAGTCACCGTGACCCCCAGGCCTAAAGAAAGACCTGCAATAGGCAGATTTAGCTCTTGCATAATAAATATTCAATATAGAACAAGCCAACGGTGAGGCTCATGCCCCTGCTGAAATCCCACAATAAATAGATGACACATATTAATTAATCGCCCATTTATTATTTTTTCAAAAGAACTGATTTACAACTATACACTATGTTTCATCACTCTCTATCAGATAGAATCAAAGTTATCTTGTCCCAAAGCATCGACCTATGAAATTGCTTAGCTCTGCTTAGCTTTAGGTCAAAATGTGAATGAACATCTACATAAAGTTTAAACATTCTACCTCAATTAAAAGCAGAGTTGTTATGTTCCAAAGTCTTGACCAATCAAATTGCTTATCGCTCCTTAGCCTAAGCAGAAAATTCTCATCGAACTTAGTCAAGTTAATGATATAATGAATCTATACTCGGAGTTTCATCACTCTCACTTAATTATGACCAAAGTTATCGTGCCCCAAAGCATCAACCAATCAGATAGCTTATCTTTGCTTACCGTAAGCAGAAAATGTTTATCAATCGAACTCCATCAAGGCATTCACCTAATGAACGCCTACACCAAAATTGAACATTCTACCGCAATTAGAAGGAGAGTTATTGTGTTCCAAAGTCTCGACCAATCAAATTGCTTATCGCTAATTATTGAACTTAGTCATGGTATTGATGTGATAAAACTATACACCAAGTGTCCTTATTCTCACTTAATTAGAACTAAGGTTATTGTGTCCGAAAGCATCAACCTTACCCTAAGCAGAAAATTCTCATCTTCGAACTCTATCAAGGCATTCACCTAATAAACACCTACATATATACGCCAAGTGTGAACATTCAATTAGAATGAGAGTTATTGTGTTCCAGAGTCTCAGCCAATCAAATTGCCTATTGCTTCCATACCCTGAGCAGAAAATGCTCATTATCGAACTTAGTCAAAGTATTTAATTAGAACTAAAGTTATCGTGTCCCAAAAGCATCAACCAATCAAATTCCTCATCTCTGCTTACCCTAAGAAGAAAATGCTCATCTTCCAAATTAATGCATTGACCTAATCAACACTTACACTAAGTTTGAACATTCTAGCTCAATTAGAAGGAGAGTTATTGTGTCCCAAAAAGTGTGACGGACAGATGGACGAATCCATTTTAATAGTCCCCTGTTTTCTGCAAAAGGCGGGGGACAATTAGACAATTACAAAAACACTTCTTATGAGCCATAGTTGATGTAGAATGGAATCTGACTTGAATTGGGTCAAAAATCAAATTGTTAGTTAATTTTTGTGTGTTCATATGGATAACAATCTTTGTTCAAAATATTATGGCTACTATAATGGATTTTATGTTCCACTGTCAACCCAGTCATCCAGAATTTAACTAAAATTAGTAATTAAGCTGATCTCCGCTTCATCTGTGTAAACAAAAACTTCATTGTTTCCCCACTATTTTCAGAAATAACTCACCAGATCAACCGAATTCAAAACTTTATCTCGAACACATCAGATCAACTAATTTCAATACTTTACTTTGATCAACTAATTTCAATACTTTATTTTGATCAACTAATTTCAATACTTTATTTTGATCAACTAATTTCAATACTTTATTTTGATCAACTAATTTCAATACTTTATTTTGATCAACTAATTTCAATACTTTATTTTGATCAACTAATTTCAATACTTTATTTTGAACTAAGTCAAATCTAAGGGGTTGGTCTCCCTCAAACTACCGGTAATACCTTTCTTTTTCTTCTTTTGATTTCTCACTACTACCACTGGCTTCTTCAAGTTTTTTGGTACCCGGAACAGGTATTGGTATGGGTGCTGTAGCTCTAAGAGCAGCTTGAATTCTCTGTCTGAATTGTTGAAGAGCACTCTCATATAAGTCAAAACCAATTTGGAAAGCCATTAACGCAGAATCCTGTGGATGGAAAGAGGTAACAAAAATTTAATCGTAATTCTGTGGTATAACAATTTTTTTATTATCACGAAATGTTTTTGCCCGTCTTCATTAGCCCAGGTTAGGAGCAGAACAGTAGGACGTTAAACCCCATTTCATTTCATTTTTGCAATTTTACACAACAGCTGTATTTGTTTTTAAAAGCTGATTTTAAAAATGGCAGTACATTTTCGGGATTAATAAAAAAAGGCAGTCTTCAACATTTTTTGGCCATTACAGTCATTCAATTTATGCAAGATGACAGTTTGATAAAAATAACAACCCATGGAAATTAAACCATCAGTTGGTGGTGTTTTATGCAGTATAGATTTTCAATTAAATCTGATCAGCTCTTTTTCATCTTGTCATTTCTACAAACAATCTAGCTTAAATCTTTACTGTTTGGTACAAGTAAATATATATGAATAAGTTGTGATTGTTTTCTAAAAGACTATCTTATTTATAAACACTTACTTCTTCGCCTTTAATCAATTTTTCTAAAATATCTGCAACAGACTGTGAATCATCTAAGAATATGTAGCACTGTAAACAAAGAAATATACCTTTAACAAAATTGTGCCGCACTTCTATAACATAATTATTAATCTTATTATAGACAGTCATAGATATCAGTGTCAATGGATACAGACCACCAAATATTTCCCTCAATACATTAACAGCAAATGTTGATCATTATGTTCATAGTATTTCACCCCCTTTCCCCACTTTTGTGGGACAATTATTTTTTTAGATTCGAGGAAATTGCTTTGAATTTAATTAGGAGATAAACACCATTTGACCATGCTTGAATCATTAGAACATGAGACGCAACAACATCGAATTGTTCTAATGGGTAATTCAAGCATGGTTAAGTGGACAATAAACCCCTGATAAATACGAAACAGGAACGTGTTTATTGATATTGGAACTCAAATATTTAGGGATTTTCTTCTGGACTATTTAGGAAACATTCTTGCACCCATTTTAAATGGTTGTTATTTGACCACATGCTTGTATTCATTTATCAAAATATTCTCAATAGATTTAAACCGTCCTTGCTCTCCTGCAAATTCAAAATGCTTGAGTCTCGAGTTGCTGGTGAATGAATTATGAAAGAAAATGCTATTCGGTTATCGACAAAAAAATAAATATTTTTAATGTTTGAAGTTTTTTAAAAGAACAGGAAATTAGTCTTATTGCGGTATTTAGAGACGAGTGTCAGCTGTGATTGAAATAATTCCGGCCTGCTATCCGAGACTAAAAGAGAATAACTCTTGGCAACAAAGATGACTTCGCTTCGGGAGTTTCGTTTAAGTTTTCAGCCTTTATTATTTCATTTGCAGACTGTTATCACAATGTTGTAGTTAGTTCTTGTTCACACAATTGCAGTTCATACTTACATCCTCAAAAATACCCTATAAAACTATGACAGTGATGTCTAGCCTAAGATTCTACATGTTCCTGAAGCAACAACTGCGAGTATCACTACATCTGGCCGTTGCTTGTTTACTTCACAATTCCTGAACTTATAGCTATGTTATCTACAGACACGTGAGCAGTAGCGTCCAATCAGAGGTTGTGACATCGTGACCTCCACAGAAACCTTGACATTGAATGAACCTTGAACTTTGCAACTCGATTATCACAGGTAGATAACTGATAGACTCACAAGTTGGGCTTGTACCCAATCGAAATTAGTGCCGCAATATGCAGGGTATTACGTGAATGCCTTGATAGGATGTACGTAGTGGTTGCTATGTATACTGTTCTGACGTGTTGTCAACAAATGTCATTTTGGCATTATGATTAGACCTTTCAGCTGCTATTTTCGACTCCCTCATTGTATTTTCAAGTGATTTCTTGTGACTAATGACTTATTAATAGGTAGATCATGCTAGTCAAGACTTTGATCAAAGCGTGATTATAAAAGAAAATTCCACCTGATTAAGTAAATATTGGGAGTGAAGCCAGCCTACCAAAAAAGAAAACGAATTTGTCCATATTGTCACTGCCTAGTTACGAATATATTTGGATACCTGAAAATGGTTTTAATTAATTTATGACTAATTTTCTACTGTTTTATGTATTTCAGAAATGTGGTTTCATAAAAGATGATGTTTGAAAATGGTGTGATAGTCATGTGTGCATAATTTCTTGAAGATATTTGCCAATAAAGATTTGAATTGAGGAAGATCATTGAGCACAAAAATGTAAAAAAGTACACTGTAATATTTACACTCAGTAATTCGCCTTGATAATTTAGAGGGGGTTTATTGTCCATTCGACCACACTTTTCAACCAATCAGAATCAAGGAAATTTCTAATTTGTGCTACAATCTTTGATAGAAAGAGCTGAGCTCAATGAAACTATTGGGAAACGACAAAGCAGGGCAAAGAGAAGTATCAACATTAAAGCCAATTGGAAAATATATGGTGATCTGTGACAGCAAGCATTAACACCGTAAAGAACCAGTTACCACTCATGGCCATTTATTTTGTTTAAATATGTGTAGTATTTAGACATTACTTTAAAGGAGCTAAATCGCTAATATTTGGGACCTAGAAATTGACACAAGTGGGTCGCAACTCATATAATACCGTAATATGAATGTATATAAACTGATTTACATTCAATCGTTTCCGTTTTTACTCTAATTTCAAATCAGTTATGTTCCGTGAAATAAGCCAGCAGTCTCAATCGAGTGCAAATTCCTAGCGTCTGGTTATTCCAGTCTACATAAGCCGTTTGGTTTGGTGCAATATGTCTAGCCTCGTTCCTCTAGTCTCTTGCTAGAACTGAGGCTGAAACGCATTATGGTACACGATTCGTGTACCAATGGTAAAATATTTATTTTGTCTTAAATATTGGATATCAGAAGCCCACTCTTTTCCGGTAAGATCACAGAGCATCAATGTTGTTTTAAATTGACAAATAATTTGTGTTTTAAATGTTGAAGATTTTGGATGATATTGAGTTAGAGACTTAGCTCCTTTAATCTGCTGATGAATTATTTATCAAGAATGGATAAATATTAAGGGGCCTGAAGAACATTATGCATTATTACCTGACAAACATTGATGTAATCTGGAGTAGTAAGGCTCATGTATAACCGTGTTAATAGTTTTAATATGGTGTTTCTGAACTGTCGGTTCTGTATGAGAGCCATACATACTTTAAAACCATAGGTTAACATTGCTTGCATGTCATCCTGTAATGAAGAAGATTTAACTTATGATTTGGAAATAAACTTCAAAAATGCAGACAAGCACAAATTTGGACATATTTCTAGAAATTTCAAATACACTATGTCATGTAAGTTTATACTTACAGCACTTTTAATCGCTTTTTCAAAGATATCAATTCTTCTGGTTTCCAAGGCAATACCAATAGCCTGTAATAAAATGACAAATATAGCCACACTAATAAAATCTAATATGAAATTATAAAAAGAATTTAAACAGTACAATTAAGTTCAATTTCACAAATGCACTCTTATTATTTATAACTTTATAATTTCTGTCAATACAAAATCAAACGATAGGTTGCCAGGAAACAAAACATACACCGACAGCAGCTAAGTCGTCCGAGCAGGGTTGTCGCATATTTTTTTTCTTTTGCCAGTAATGAAAACATTTACACTAAAATCTGATTCTGGGTAACAACTCAATAAGTAATTATCAGAAATCTTTAGAATTTGTTTGCCTTCTAATAGTTCTACCCTACACTAACATTTTGTATACAAAACATTTTCTATCAAGGACAATAACTCTGAAAACAATCAGATATTAACTTTAGCCTCTAGAGTGTTAACACTGGAAATTGCAAAAAATAAATAGGCTTCTTCGTCTCATGACCTGAAACACTGTGTATGAATTTAATGTCATTCGGACATTAACTTTATTCTCTAGAGCATCAACAAGATTTTTCAAAGTGATCAAGGTCTATAATTCTGGCAGTAATTATCGGAAATCGTTGAAAATCACTAGGCACATGACCTGAAACAATGTGTATGAATTTAAAGTCATTCGGATGTTAACTTAACCTCTAGAATTTTCAAAATTATTAAGGGCCATAACTCTAGCAATAATTATCGGAAATTGTTGAAAAGAAATAGGATTTTTGGTCTCAAGACCATAAACACTGTATCTAAATTTGAAGTCAATTGGTTATTCACTTCAGCCTCTAGAGTGTTTACAATATTTTTCAAAGTGATCAAGGGCCATAATTACCAGAAATCGGTGAAAATCAATAGGCATCTTCATCTCATGAACTTTTTTAATGTGAATAAATTTAAAGTCAATTGGATATTAACTTTAACCTCTAGAGAAACCATGCAATTTTACAAAGTGATGATATTAACTTTGGTCCCTAGAGCGTCCGGATGGACAGACAGGGGCGACGGCAATATACGACTCAACCACATTTCAATGTGGGTGTATAAAAAGCCAAGGTATGATACCTGTTTGTACATTCTGTCATCAAAACATCTCTGAAACATTCGATTAACAATGGCTTCAAGTCTTGCATCAATTGGCTTTTGATCCTCTTCTGAACTTTCAGCATTTTGAACTCGCAGTTTTGTATAGAAATCAATACACTTTGCTAAGAAAATAGAATATAAGCTTAATTTTTTTTTTATTCCTTCTTGAAAGTTTGAAATACATCATGTAAGATTAGATAAAGAGCTGATAGTTCTCACCTTAAATAGTTAAAAACTAGATGATGTAAATGGATTATGCTGAAAATTTCTGTCAAATTACTTTACTCTAAGCCGAGAAAACCTTATTTTAAAATCTCTGTAGCATTGATTGTTATTGTTACTACTGTCACGATAATTAACAAAGTCTTGATTATCCATTTTTGCGTTTAATCATCAACAGATGTTGAACAGCAGATCGGATTCAAATCCAATGAAGATCGGACACATAAAATGGTATCGAGAGTTGATTATGGTCTTTTCATGTTAAATGTCTACTTAATAGTTTATATAAAGTTTACCTTCCTAAAGAAAGCCCTGCATTAGGCAAATTTACCTCTTGCATAATGTATGTTTAATAGTTTCTGAATATTTTTTTTTTTTAAACCATAAAAATGAATTGCTTTTAAGCTAATCCATCAATAAAATTTGTTTTGGTTTATCTTAAAATTAAAAGTAATTATTTTGTATCAAAAATTATTATTCTTACCAATGGTTGTCTCTACAAATTCTGATTTACAATTCACATTGAACAGATCTCCAGCACCAAGGGCAAAGGTCAAAGATTCTTCAAATGCTCCCAAATGATAATAGACCTGTAATATTCAAACACATTATTCTTTCCATTCAACAAAACTGTACCATTAATAGTATTTATTTTGACATACTACCTTTTTTGGTTCATTGGGTAAGGAACCGACTCAGAAATAAGGAAGTCCTGGGTTTGTTCTCACTTTATCAGCGTGGTTATCTCTATTGTCTGTGGTGCGGGATGAAGGGCCTTGCAAGGAACAATATCTAGTCAATTGGATGGGATGAAAAACATAGGTCCCATAATACTCACTGGCATGCACGTAAAATCGAACAATAGTTTTCAAACAAAATATAAGTATTATTGAATTATTGAATTAAGTTAACAAATATTATTTTTAAAGTTCCTCCATTCAACAGAAATTTGCTTGCAAATTTATGAAAATTATTAATTTACATTTTCAACCATTTAAATTGTTTTAAATACCTTGGAGGCTACCAAAGCCGCTAGTTCTTTCTGTTTAAAACTTGTATCTTCATAGAGTACTTCACTGTGGAAAAAACCCCAACATATACATGTAAACAAATATGCAAAACTGTCCCAGGATAACGTATGGAAATACTTTTGTAACATATACGTACAGCCCCAAAATGTTGATATACCTATATAACTCCTGTCGGTAGTAATGAAAACCTAACCCAATTTACAACTACTGTCCCAAATCATGCTATAAAATAAATAGTTTCTGTCCAGTAACAATAAACTACTTGATTATGGTTATCTGAAATAAAATCTTACCATACATGACTGAAGTAGTTTGTTCATATGCGTCGGAAAGATTTTATTGCAATGAATAGAAATACGTATAGATGCTCATTTGATTTTAAAATACAACCTGCTGTACATTAAAATTCATAAAATAATTTATCTGTACATGTACATATACACGCCATTTGAAGAGTTTTTAGCATTATTACTATTATTAAAGAAGATCTTACATTTTATCAATAGATTCTGATATTTCAGCCCAAAACACATCCACTATTTTGTTGAGTTTATCCAAAGCAAAAACCTTTAATTGATCTTCAGGTTCATCCAAGAGGGAGAGAACCCCAGCTGAAATTCAATTAGAAAATTAATCAGCTTGCATTATTAATTTCAACAAGAAAATACATTTAGTTCAACAAATAATGAATAACCCTAGAATTGCTTAACGTACTGGCTCTGCCCACTCCTTAATCATTTTAAATGGCCAACATCGACCTTTACCCAGGCTAGTTCCCTTTTGCACCACCATGCGGGCTATTAAATCGATCACCCCTTACTAGTCCGTTCATCTGAGCCCGTATTTTTAGCATTAATAATTACACAGTTAAAAGTCCTGCACGTATGCACGAGCATCCATTAATACAGCAATTCGTTTTTAATAATTACACAGTTAAAAGTCCTGCACGTATGCACGAGCATCCATTAATACAGCAATTCGTTTTTCAGATTTTTTGCTAGTTTTAAATTTTATATAGTTAACGACCCATGCACCAGACAGTTTGTCAATTATTGCGAAAGTTCATTCTCCAGGCGTTCTGGTAGATGACCTGTAAATCTAACAGACCACTATTTCCATAGTCCGTTAATCCGAGGGAGCCACAGTGGGTAAATGGGTAAGATGCCGGCTCAATACCTTGGAGGTCATGGGTTCGCACCCTGTGTTGGCCGAGAAAGTTTATCATAATTTCTGGACTGGGTTTCCCTTGTTAGTGGTGCATGACGGAGGGAATGACAAGGACAATTGTTTAGTTGTTCGGAACAGTTATCGCTCTGAATCGGATAAATCTACTAATTCACAGCAATTATTGTCTTTTCGGTGCTGGCTCTGTCTGACATGGTATTTCTAATTTCAAAAATTACGGATTTACTAATGGGCCCGGCTATATCATCAAGATCTGCGAAAATTCCATTCAAAGTTGTAAGAGAAGTTTGCGCATATTTATCAGCAATATTTTGAAGACCAATAATAATTGGCGTATGAGTTGAGTCAGTGGTTATGTCAAATTTTAAAGTTCCATCCCCATATAGTGTTGTTTTTGCTGACTTACTTTTACAGGAAGCGATGATAAAGAATGGTACTTGCATCTGATGTTTTATTGTTTGGTGGAGCCTTTTAATAACCACATGTTTCACATTAATATTTTTTTTTCGTGTTTTAAATTGGCCTATTTTTAATAAATTTATCAGCTACTTTTTTTTAAATATATATTACAGGTATAAATATGTGCTGTACTTGATTGCGATGGGTAAATTTGACCTTACCTGCATTTTATTTTTATAAAATCGCTTTTGGCTTATTATAAATTGATTTAACAGTTGTGTTCAACCTTTCCTTTCAACTTATTCCCGAGTCTGAAACGCCACCTACCCAAATGTCACTATAGTATCACTGAATGAAATGCCAAATAAATAAAATGATTTAGTTAATTACAGTCTAAACCGTGATAAATTTTGAACGGATTTCTTTAATTGTGAACAAACTACTGAATAATTGTTATTAAAAACTTGCCTATATGTGTTTGAAATCACCCCTGGCTGAAAAAAATCCATAGCACAATTAAATATCCCAACGAAAATGTTTTTGCTTGTATTTTCGATTATGTCCATCACAACATTACACATGTCACGTGATGAGCTAAACCATAGTAATACATATGTTAAAGGGGCTAAAGGTTGAAAAATTTTGACAATCGCGTGTGTTGTAATCAAAACAGTGCACAACCTTTTCGATCGTTTGAGTTTGGGCAACAAAAATAGCAACTAAAGACAATAACATTAATTTGATTGTCAGTCTACTAAATTTCATTCACAATGATTGAATATATCATCGATTATACGAATAACTGTAAATATTATTACTTTTCACATCATCATCACGGTCACCTCATAATTGTAAATACCCTGAATATTATATATATTTTTATAAATTATATCCCTGTCAATTATAGGCAACTTTGTGGCTAACATTTATAAATAAACACACTTTATTTCATAAAGTAATTGATCATATTCCGTAACAGGGTCTAATTCCAATGCTCTGTATAGTTTATTTTCAAAGTTTTATGGTTACCACAAAAAAAATGAAAAAGGGCCACCGCTTCTCAATAATTTTCACATTTAATTCACGTTCCGACTGTTCATGTCAGTATTATTCCTGATTAAATTACATTTTTTTGTTTATTCGACAGATATTGAAATCGAAACATTGATAAGAACAGCTCGAAATGTCTAAACGTTGTTTATCGTCTGTATAAAAATGTATTTAAAACAAAAAATCACTTGTCAAAAGAGGCATCGCAGATTGCGTGTATTATTGGGTCTTGTGTGTTAATTATGCAGTTTCGCGCTAAATTTAACTATTTTTACTGCATCTGTGTAGCATACAATAACTCACATGGCATGGTACCTTTTACGGTACTAGAATACAAAGCTTTGATTGCCTGAGGCATGATTGCAATCTACGAAATGCCATCAGAAAATTCCATTCTCCATGGATTTCAAAATGGAGTTGTACTTGTGATTAAATAATAACTGAGAGTTCAATCGTATGGATTCATTGGTCTGTGAATTTCAAAATGAAGTCAGGATTTTCGGAAATTAATTGTTTTGTTACCGAACAGTTTTTGCACAACAGAAATAATATTTGAAGAGAAATAGAAAGACATGGAACTGTCTGCCGATAATTAAACTTGTGTGTGGTACGATTTGTTGATAATAATTTGTGGTAGTTATTAAAAAAATAATGTTACCGATATATACCTATTCCATGGCCTCGGCTATTACTTTTGCCAAGGCAAATGTAAAATACATAGACATTTACCTTGGCTACAGCAGATTGCCTAGCTTAATTGACAGGACTGCTTATAAATTAAGTTCATCAGGAAATATTAAAGATATTCAAGGGTGAGATTCAGGGCCTGTAAAACGAATGCCTTTCTTTTTGTTCTGCACCTGTGTTCAAAAGAAATAATCCCACCAACTCTCTAACCAAATAATTAATACAAGACGGAAACAAAATAACGGACCACTGGCATATTTATGTTTGTAAACGCACAAACTCATTACTGGGTCTGAGAGCAATAGCTTAGGCCTATTTATACATAAAATTTGAACTGTCGTAAAAGAGCCAAACACTGTTACGATAGACAAGCCTTGCTTTGACCCCCTTATACGAAATGATCTATCCTGATAAGTGACGTAATTAGCTTCCATTTTTGTATTTCTCGATGTCAAGTTTTGTGACGAGTTCAATTTTACAAGAGAGAACTTTTTTTTAATCGCTGGGATATTTAGTTATACAATCGATTTTATTTGACTGGAGGTAATTTCAAACACACAGGTGAGTTTATATTAACCAAAGTGAAAGTTGTTAGTTAAGAAGACTACTGTCTGAGTCTTGGTAAATTTTAAACGGATTTCTTCGATTATGAACAAACTACTTAACTTTGGTTATTATAAACTTACCTGTGTGTTTGTAATCAACTCCCGTTCGATAAAATCCATTGCACAACTAATTATCACAACGATGAAAACAAGTTCTCTCTTGAAAAATTGAAATATCACAAACTTTTCCCAGAGAAAAATACCAATATGGAAGATGGTTACGTCACTCTGCGGAAGATATCATTTCGTATTAGGGGTGACAGCATAGGAAATTCAAGTACAATTACGACAAGAATCCATGACCACTCGGACCAAAGACCACTCGGTTCAAGACCAGTCGGACCAACTGATAGACCACTCAGCCCAAACAAATAGACTACTCGGACCATACAAGAAGACTATTCGGACCCACCAGAAAGACGACTCGGACCAATAATAAAGTGTTGTTTTAATAAATTGATAATTGCGTTTGTTTTAATATGATTACTCGAACCAATAATAAAGTGTTATTTTAATAAATTGATAATTGTGTTTATTTTAATATGACTACTCGAACCAATAATAAAGTGTTATTTGAATAAATTGCTAATTGTGTGTGTTTTAATATGACTACTCGAACTAATAATAACGTGTTGTTTGAATAAATTGATAATTGTATCCCAAATCGCAAAATATCGAGAACCACACTTGTAGTCACGTTTAAAAAGGGGCATATAAACGTCCGGTCTTCGTATTATTATGTGCTGTTTATATTAACGCATCAAGGGCGGATAACTTGAAAATGTGTCCCCCCCCCCCCCCATATATAGTAACCCAGGGGTTAGTGGGGTAGAACGGGATGAAACCACTGGGGATACCGCGAATGTGGAAAAAGTAAAATTAGGCTATCAGACAAGAACAGTATACCCGTATATGTAGAAACTGTCAAAAGTCTGGACATACCGAGTCTCATTGCAAGAGTAAATAAGAAAAATTAGATTGATATTTTTTTTTGGCACCATTATTAATTAATTTTAAAACTAATCGTTGATTTATTTTCCGTACACAAAATTGAACTAAACAACTCTAAATATAAGAATTCCGTATAAGAATTATTTGCTTCTTTGTATTGTGATTTAATAATAAATAAATAGCATATTGTCTAGCCTTATAATATAATTTAATTGGCCCGACTGGTCTTGCTTTGGTCCGACTGGTCTTAGTCCGAGTAGTCTTTGGTCCGAGTGGCATTGAGTTTGAGCGTTCGCACACATAACTACCCGCATTCCTGTATATAGTTACCGTCTTTTACATTCTAGTAAAATCTCTGCAAATTTTATAGCTTTACTTTTAGAAATATTTTGTTCTAATTATTTGATTAGCGACTCGGATGGGATTATTTACTTTTGAACACGCATGCCGCACAAAGACAACTATACATTCGTTTTACGGGCTTTATCACACTTCGGTCAAAACTGTCGAATCGAGAATTAATGTTCCGCTTCTTACGGGCTTAGTAGCATTATATACCCACCCGGGCACCCAATAGGCACGCCGAGGGCTGCCGCAACACGCTTAAAGATGTTACTGAAGCGGTTATTATTCGATCGAAAGAATGCGTATAAAATCAAAAATACACTCAGAGAATTTGGGGGTAAGCTTCATGATCCTTGTTAAATTATTTATAACATAAAGAAGATAGGATATTTATAGTTTATACATGACTTTATTTTTACGAGTATCCGTGCAATCAGTGATATTTTAATTGTGAAGAAAATTTGATAGACTGGCGATCAATGGTTTCCATATAAATCTCCTATGTAATTGCCTTCAATTGATATTTTTCGTCGCCCAAACCCATATACGATCAAAATGATCGCGCTGTCAAACTATCTTTCAATGTTAACCAACCCCTGCAACAGGTATATTGGATTCGACCAATACGTCACGAAGACATTGTTGACATCGACTCTGTCGAAATTACAAGTAAATTTTCAAATTTTTCAAGAGAGAACTTGTTCTCATCGTTGTGATAATTAGTTGTGCAATGGATTTTATCGAACGGGAGTTGATTACAAACACACAGGTAAGTTTATAATAACCAAAGTTAAGTAGTTTGTTCATAATAGAAGAAATCCGTTTAAAATTTACGATGGTTCACACAGTAGTTTCAAGTTTGTTCATAATCGTAGAAATCCGTTTAAAATTTACGACGGTTAAGACAGTAGTATATAAGCTACCGGTAACGAAAAACAATATATCGCCTCCAACATAGGTTATAATAACGATAAATTAAATTTGCCTATATTTGTAATATTAAAGGTGCTCGATCGTGGTGTTTGTTGATCTGATGTCATTAGCCTAATGTGACAAAGCAAAATCGAAAGTATTCCGAAGTTTACAATGTTCAAATGACAGAAATGTATGGACAATGTGAGAAAAACTACACCTGTAATAAATTTATCAAATAAGGAAACCAACCTGCAGAAGTTATGTTCATCCGCATAATTACTTGAGTTCAGGTATTTTAGTATTAACGTTATTTTATCACCGGCGTTGCTCTGTAAATTTACTTCTCAGGCATGGACAGGAAATGGCGCAGAAGTCTCGGTTATTATGTCGCAAATTATCGAAATTTCGGTTATCCAGAGTTTGAAATAAATTTTAAGTTAGCAGGATTTGCTAGCCTCTTAATACCTTTACATTTTTTTTTTATTTTTTTTTTTGGGGGGGGGGGGGGTGTTTGTGTATATTTTTATGACTCCTTAAACAAATTAACAATTTGCTCAATACCCTCTTCACAAAATTACACCGCAGCTGAATTTGCTTTGTTTTTCCCTTTTTCGGAAGCGGGTGGAATGGATTTACCTCCCTTCAATCATAGATGGCCACAGATCACTAATTATTTCCCTTCTCGTCTCTTAGACCGGCTCTAACTTTTCGTTGGGTAGAACGCTTTCTGCCACAGGTGGATCAACATGTGGCAAACTCTTGCCCAAAAGCATGTATGAGGTTCACCATGAAAAACTTGAGATACACAAGTTGGAAGTAGAGACAAGTAAACATGCAATTTCCGGCCCTACATTTCAACGTTACCAACCTCACAACTCTTAGTATCCTTCCGTCTCAAAATCATGAATATTCACCAAAACCTGTCAGAAAATGTATTTTCAAACCCTTTTTTTCGATTCTACACCAAAAAGTCAACAAAAATCGCCATGCAAAAGGGAGAAAAGGGAAAGGGAGAGAGAGACTAAAAATAACTTTGGCCCGATCAAGTTCAAGACGGGCATAGGCCATTTTTTTATAAGGGAAATTTTGCCTAGAAGCGGCTCCACGGCCTACTCTTCTATCGAATTCCAACTGCCAAGGGATATTTTATGCATACCAATGTGAATGAGTAGGCCTACACATACTTCGATTTTTTGTCCCATTCGAATGACCTGACAGCTGTCCCTGTCTGTGTCTGTCCTGCACCACTGACAAGGAGAAACCACGCTGGAAAATCACTCTGAACTTACTTGGCCAAAACCAGAAGCGAACCTGCGACCTCCAGGTTAGCGAGCCAGCGTCTTATTAACTGAGCCATGATGTGTTTCACAATCAATTAAGTATTAAAATGCTAAAAATTCCCATTTTTCTTTTCATTTCTTAATATGTAGGTATGTGTTTTGAAGAAATGTTTCCAATATATTTTCACTTTTCACATAAAATTTGTATTTGTATTTGGGCCTATGATTAATTATCATACAAATATCAGATATGTCATATGGATATGAGAAGAGGGACAGCAACAAAACTCCTTTAGCAAGGTGACTAAAGTTGGACAGGCTGATACATCTGTGTGGATACTGCATCAAGCAAAAGATACCAGCGGGGCAGAGGAGTAAAATAAATGAATTAAAGAATCCCTGCTCAACAGACTTGGTAGAAGACTGTTTAATCAATAACGTTTCGAGTTGAGATCCCCTTTATCAAATATAACATATATAAATCCTGTGGCACCTTATATACAACAAAGGTGGTGACGTCACAGGATTTTAAAATTTTATTGACTTTCCAAGAAACTCTTCTCATATAAACAGGAAAAAACAATTTCTCCAAACCCGCAAACTTTTATCCCACTATCTTACCACAGCAGTAAGACTACCTACCAGAAAGACTGTCCGTTGAAACCGATAAGATTTTATTGCATTGAAACCCCCAGTAGGAGCAGCTGTCTCTACTTCAGGGGTGTGGTCTCGAAATTATGCATCGCGACTAAATAAATTAATGAGGTAAACAAACAATCAGGTTGCACCATGTATTATTGAGTATAGTAACATCCAATACCTATTAAAGTGGAAAAACCTGTCATTTTGAACTCTTAATAAACCAGAAGTTTGTGTTCAAGGCCGAACTTTTTGATAGACATGAGGGTCATCATATACAAAGGTCAAGGGTCATTAACTCACCAGATAGAAGTTGAAAAGTCGAACAAAATCCAAAGTGAAACCGGAAGTAAATGAAATCGAAATTCAAACATCGCCTCCATATAAGAATTATTGCCATTTAGAGTAGGTTCAAAACAAAAAAAGGTTTTTCGAATCGGAATCAAAATGGCGACTGAATATCGATTTGAAGATATTTTGTAAAATCATATGGCGGCCAAACAGTTTAAAATGTTACCGAACAAGTTCACTGAAAATGAAAGATAATGTCTGGGGCAAACACCACCATATGTCATTTTTGGTCTATTTTTAAAATGGGGAGAACTATTTATGTTCGGGAAAGATTGGAAGGCCTCAGTAATTTATGGAAGCCGTCACCAAATTTTGAATATATGCCATTTTGAAGGCATCGATGTGTTCCTTATTCCTACTAAGTTTCAACTTAATACCTCAAAGGGTGATGGAGATACGCCAACTGAATGTTGAAAAAATGATGCTAAAACCATTCAAACGAACTTCCAAATTTCTAAAAAACGTCAGTCAGAACCCATATGGGATTCATCCAAAGAATCCCAAAATGAAAACTCGAAGATCTGTTGAGGAGCAACCGAGATGTGGGCAATCTGAGATTATTTTCTGTCCCATCCGTAAAACATTTCCTGCTAGTCAAAAATAACCCAATTCATATTTAATAGATCCACGGAGGCAAACTAAATCTACTTTGGCGGAATGTTTGAACCATGCACAGTTTTGGCTGCAAACTCTTGACTAAATTGCTCCCCCTTGCCCCCCCCCCCCAAAAAATATAAAATAATAAAAACACCAAAGGTCCGAAACACAAAAAAATCACACAGAATAAATATATGTATGAATATCTGTATATACATATGATTGCTTTGATTGGATATCACAATATGAGCTAGTTTTTCAAAGCTCAAATTTTAAAAACTGTTATGCGTTCAGTAATGAAAACAGGAACACCTCAATGAACTTTTGACTCTAGCGTGAGCTTGACCCGATTGATTTTGACAAATTGCTGATCAGTGGTCAAACTTGACAAAATGTGGTACCTCAGTTTTACTCATGTTATAAACGTTTTCTGAATTCTGCAAAATCTTTGCCAAATTTGTTCCCCAGGTGAAGTCCTTGTGTGAGAAGTGGTAATGGATGTTCTAGAAAATAGGAATACCCTTTCCATCACTACTTATAGCTATGTGGGTTAAAACAATTTCTGAAAACAAAAATCACGTTTAGGAATTAGGATTTATTTTAGCAAGGAAGATTATAATACAATTACTCAATTACATAAAACATAATATATTAACAATATTGCTGAACTTAAAAACAGCTTAATAAGTTATTGTCGTTTGTATGATTCATGTAGGCCTACCGTACACGTGAGAGGTTTATCCCCACTAATTGTGCGTACTGAAAATTTGGGAGCATTTTTGTTAGTGTAGTGTTTTTTTTTTTTAAGGCAGTGGATTAGAGAGCCCCAAAATAATGTTATTGTCTTTTTCACGTGTATACTATGGCCATAGTAAAAAGTAGATAATGAGGTTTTAAGAAAAGCCTTTGATAAGAACTCAAAAAGTTTCTAGGATTTTTCTGTTTGCATAATAGTGGGAATATTCCAAATGAGAGGACTAAACCTCATCATAATACCCACTGGTGGCCTACATCAAAATAAATCCATTTAAAGTATTAATTCAATTATTATGAGAAGTGTGACTTTGTATGGAATTTATTCACTTTAATAAACAAATATGATTTAACAAAGAATTCATAATTTAATTTTTACCAAAATATACAAAAGTTTATTAAATACAAACTAATCACAATTTGGGAAAATTGTATAAATATTTCAAATAAGGTATACATTAGTTTAAAATTGAGCAAATAACAAGATTGTTATTATCATAAATATATTACAAATATCTTCATCATAGAGGATTAACTTATTTTTATTTACAAATTTAAAGATAAAAATTCTGCAGACTATCTATTTTTGCATTAAGCAAGACCATATAAAGCTATTATTGGCACCCCTTTAGCCAATTACCCATAAAGCTGTACATCTCAGCATTTTTTTTAAAAAACTAACACCATTATAGCTTGTTGTATTATTATCTCCTGTGATCTTTGCATAAATTAAAATATTTTTTTACATCAATACTGATAAATTTTGCTTTGAGAAAATTCCTCTGTCATGAAGATGTCGTTTACAGGTTAAATTACCTTCTGTTCAAACAGTGCCGTAATCTAATGCTGAACACAATAATCATGTGAATACAAAAAACAGTAAAATTGGAGATCAGATTTGAATAAATCCACAGGTAAATGAGGATGTTTTTTGGCCTTTCACACGTTCTTCACATAAAGGTAGTATCATCATAATTTGTTTTGCCTTTTGATCTGGACTCAAATAATTCACGAATAAGAGTACTTTTTTCACGCTCTAACTGAGATATTTTATCATCCTTCTGTCCAACTTCCTGAAGTACATAAAATAAAGATATTAATGCCATAAGAAACAATATTAAAAAAACCAGTTGTTAATTCCATTTTATAAATTTCAAATTCAAAATAAGTATCATATCAACTATGATGGACACCGCTACACTTTTGGCATACACATATAGTCTGTATAAATAGCTGACATTTAAAAACTTATCTCACAAGAAGTAGCCCATGCTCATCTCAATTTCATATTACCAGTATTAATAATTAATTATAAAACAAATGGTTGCCATGCAATATACGTCCACATTTTGCAAAAGATGGATAGAAAACAAGCTAAAAATATTAATTAATCGCACATCTATTGTTTTCCAAAGTATCAAGCAATCAAACTGATTATCAACTATACTCTAAGTTTCATCACTCTCTATCAGATAGAATCAAAGTTATCTTGTCCCAAAGCAGGAAATTGCTTAGCTCTGCTTAGCTTTAGCTCGATATGTTAATCATTGAACTCAGTCAAGACGAACATCTACATCAAGTTTAAACATTCTACCTCAATTAGAAGCAGAGTTGTTGTTATGTTCCAAAGTCTTGACCAATCAAAATACTTATAGCTCCTTAGCCTAAGCAGACAATTCACATCTTCGAACTTAGTCAAGTTAATGATATAATGAATCTATACTTGGAGTTTCATCACCATCACTTAATTATGACCAAAGTTATCGTGCCAATTAGAAGAAGAGTTGTTGAACTCAGTCAAGACGAACATCTACATCAAGTTTAAACATTCTACCTCAATTAGAAGAAGAGTTTGACCAATCAAAATGCTTATTGCTCGTTAGCCTAAGCAGAAAATTCTCATCATCAAACTTAGTCAAGGTATTGATGTAATGAAACTATACACCAAGTTTCATCACTCTCACTTAATTAGAACTAAATTAGAAGGAGGGTTATTGTGTTCCAAAGTCTCGGCCAATCAAATTGCTTATCGCTCTGCTTACCCTGAGCAAAAAATGCTCATCATCGAACTTAGTCAAGGTATTGATGTAATGAAACTATACACCAAGTTTCATCATTCTCACTTAATTGGAACTAAAGTTATCGTGTCCCAAAGCATCAACCAATCAAATTGCTTATCTTTGCTTATCCTAAGCAATAAATGCTTATCTTCACATTCCATCAAGGCATTGACCTAATAAACACCTACACCAAGTTTGAACATTCTAGGTCAATTAGAAGGAGAGTTATTGTGTCCCAAAAAGTGTGACGGACAGACAGACAGACAGACCGACAGACGGACGAATCCATTTTAATATTTAATAGTCCCCTGCTTTCTTCGAAAGGCGGGGGACAAAAATAAGCGATTTGTCGTACAAGCAGGAGCCATAATCCAAGATGTTAGTGCGATATCCGTCAATATCGAAAGCAACCAAGATCTTTGACGTTTCATCAAAATTGTTGCCTCTAGGGAGTTCATTAACTAACCAGCGGTTGCCAAGAAAGATACGCCCACATTTTGCAAGAGATGGATAGAGAACAAGCTAAAAAAAAAAGGGAAAAAAAAGCGATTTTTCGTACAATCTGGGGCTATAGTCCAGGAAGTTATGGTCTGCAATGCGAGAATAACGAAATGGACTGAGATATTTGGGATATAAAGATATATTTTAAGTTTCATCAAAATCGGATAAAAATTGTGACTTCTTATTACATACTTTTAGTTTTACAGACAGTTTCAGTCTGATTTTCACAAAATTTGAACTCAACTGTCATTAGGGTGTAACGGTGATACATTTAAACTTTATTTAAAATCGGATAAGAATTGTGACCTTGTAGAGTGTGCACAAACAAATTGTGGGCATATAAAAACGTGACGTTTCGTACAATCAAGGGCCATAATCCAGGAAGTTATGGTCCGATATGTGCCATCATTGACAGGAACCAAAATCTTTGGGTTATAAACATAAGTATTAAGTTTCATCACAATCTGATAACCAGCGGCTGCCAGGCAGGATACGCCCACATTTTGCAAGAGATGGATGAGAACAAGCTAAAACAAAAAGCGATTTTTCGTGCAATCAAGGGCCATAATACAGAAAGTTACGATACGATTTGTGCGAATATCGACAGGAACCATGATCTTTGGCTTATAAAGATATATTTCAAGTTTCATCAAAATCGGACCAAAATTGTGACTTCTAGAGGGTCCACAACCTTGATATACCATATATTTACACAATTTGTGTACGATAGGCGGCCATTTTGTCAGGCAGTTTTAGTCAGATTTATCAATCTGATAAAAATTGTGACCTCTAGAGGGACCACAAGCTAAAAACGCAATTTTTTGTACAATCAAGGGCCACAATTCAGGAAGTTACAATCTGATTTTGGGGTCTTTAGCAGAAGGAGGAAACCGGAGGATTCAGAGAAAAACCCCAAGGCTGGACATGCAACCCTACTCCTTGTCACGTACAAGTGGGAAATCGAAACTGTGTCACCTGACTCAATGACAGACCTTCTGATCCCACAAGTTCACCATTCGGCCATCCAACACCCTGTCCATATGAAAATGTAGGGCATATAAAAATGTAATGTTTAACACCTATTGTCACATATCTAGCAAATATGTTATAATATTTAATCAAAATTAAACCAACATACAACATATTTTGAAACATGCACTCTTGTAGAAAAGATCAACAGACCAATATCTTGAGAATGGATGATTGAGTCCAATTAAAAATAAGCTAATTTATAATAATAATACATGTACATTGTAACTTGAATTACAGGAAATCCAAATCTACTACGTGTAGTAGATTTGTTGTTCAAGCCTCATTGCCTCAATAATAAAATAGTTATCTATAGTTTATTTGCCTGTATCATTGTTCAAGATTTGTAATTTTGCTAATATTCTGTAAAGGAAAGCAAATTATATAGTGGCAACCAAATATGGATGGACAGGGTTAAATCTTTTCATTATTTCTAATACATCTGATTTAATACTTTTAACAATTCCTTACCTGTGTTAGCTGTCTATTTTGCCCTTTTAACATGTGAATAGTATTATCTTTAGTTCTAAGACTAGATGAAGAACCCACTGCCAGGTTCATATGTAGAGGAAATCCCTGAAAAAAGATTAACCAGAATGTTGCACAATGGGTATTCATCTTCATATTTTTAATGGCATCAGAAGAATAAAATATCTGACAATTATAACATCATTGTAGCATACTGAATTGTCTTTCAATTCATTGAATTTAAATTCTCTGCTTCAGAGGAATTGAAGAGTTCAGATGTTTATATTGGTCAGTCTTACAAGACAGGTCTGTATGTATTCAATGCTCATTTTGGGAATTGGGTTACCGTCACAACTCAAGGCATGTGCATATGTATTGAAATATCCAGGTCACACTGGGTTTCCACTTCATCACCACAATCTTAATCAAGGTCTTTTGGGAATTGGGTTACGGTCACAACTCAAGGCATGTGCATATGTATTGAAATATCCAGGTCACACTGGGTTTCCATTTCATCACCAAAATCTTAATCAACCCATACTTGATCGCCACCTCACTTTAGTGGGTCAGTTTTGGTGCTGACAGGGTACACTACAGTTCTACTGTAAATGTTGTGGAGTAGTTCCATTTTCATAGGGCATAGTAATGCTCATGATGCCTGTGCTAGCTTAAGAATATTTCAATAAACATAACGTGTGCGTCTTGGGATAAGAATGTAAATTGGAAAAGACACAGGAATATCAAAATTGATATTTTTATCTTTGATGAAAATTGACTTTGTATAAACTTTACTATTTGCACAGTCATCCAAAGTTTGATGAATCTTGTGTTGTGGAAGATAATATTGCAATACAAGACCTACCAGTGTATTGTAATAAAGACCCTGGTTGATATATGTGAGATACCATTAAAAGGTGAAACTAGATTTCATATCATTGATAGCAGTGAGAATTGTGCTTATTTTAAAACCTTAGTTTGGATGTCCGGCACTAAGTTGAAAATGTAAGGTACTATTTTATTAGTGCCTGACATTTTGTCAATGCTTGCCCGTAGGGTTCTTTAGCAGTGGGAGGAAACCGGAGGGCCCGGAGAAAACCCACGAGACTGGACAGACGACTCTACTCCTTGTCACGTACAGCCAGGGAATCGAAACCCCTCCAGTTGACTCAATGACAGACTGTGATACAGCACGCACGTGCTAACCATTCGGCCATCGAACTCCCTATGTAGTTAATAAATGTATTGTATATATTCCAAGTATTTTAGTATTGTATCTTTATCTGTTGGATTTTTAACTATACCTTTTCTGAACTCTCTATTAAAGTTTTCAGTTGCTGGTTGACTTCAAATATTCTGGCTTTCTGAAAATTCATTCTTTCTTGATGTGCTTCAAGTGAATTATCCTAGAGATAACAAGTAATATGTAATTTATCAAATACATTTTAATTCTAATTAATTATCTTGTTATTTTTTGCAGATAGATGTACCAACGATACTCTACTGAAATTAAAAATAGGTTGCCAGGCGATGAAACATGCCAATAGCAGCTAAGGCATCCAAGCAACCCACAAAGGTTGTCACTTATATATTTATTTATCCATGTAGGTAATGAGGGCAATTAAGAAATAATGAAGTAGTTATTAGAAGTAATTAAAATGAATAGGCTTCGTCACCTCATGAATACAAACACTGTATATATAGATTTCAAGTCAGTTGGATGAGATCTTTAGCTTCTAGAGCATCCACAAGCCATTGGACGACAACATTTAAATGTAGCCATATAAAAATGTATGTAGCAAAGTAATTTTTTTCAATGAAAGATGAGAGCAATCAAACTGAACTGATACAAAATCCTTCATTGCCTTTTATAATAAATATACATAGCTTGATATTGACATTTTAAAGGGCATTATTTCTTTTTATTCTTACATTATAAGAAAGTCTTCCAGCATAACTTTCCTTTTCATGTAATTGACTTAGTTGTTTTCTGTACCATTCTTTAGCTTGATCTAATACCCTCTGTCCTTCCATTAATATCTCCTTCTCTTCTTCTAACTGCTTCATTCTTTTTACCTGAACAGGAAGTAATAATATGCAAAACATTGCTTCAAAATTTTAGAAATATTTTCTTATTGGTTTCAGTAGCAAAATAAACTTTTTTCCACAAAAAAACTAGGCATAAACTTGTTCCAGATTGACAAAATATTTCTTATACATTACGAGGTTACCATATTATAATCAACACCACTAGTCAAAGTATGACGTCGACCAGAATTTCTCCTCTGAATAGTGACTCTTTGTGGTTTTATCTCCTCATTCTGTTTTCTTTGGAATTGTTCTATATTGGCTGAAAAATAAATAATATTTATCAAAGTTTCCTTTATTCAGATTATACAAGTTTGCAATCAGGCAGTTCAAATATAATTGTGTGCAAAATTTGCTTCACATCTACAAATCCATCAGAGAGATACATAATAATATGTTTTTATTAACATTTTAGGTTAGGAATACAATACAATACACAATCATGCAAAATACACAGCTCTATGTCAAGTCTGATTGGATGGTTGGAATTCAGGTTAGCATAGAGTGGGAATTCGGTTGCAAACCGATTGGAAACATTGAAGCTGCTTAACTCACAGGGGGCGGTTGAATTTTCAAAATGTTCTCAGGGAGTGCAAGGACCCCATACCCCTGTTTGGGATTCAGGTCAGCCATCTAAGGTAGGCTATACTGGACCACATTGGAAGTTGCTGTACTCAAGGGCTGGAGGTTCAGGAAAACCTGTTTGCGGCAGTTAAATTTTCTCCTGATGGTTCCGTCTTCATGGACTTAGGCACCCAAGTTAGGCTATATTAGACCACTTTGAAGTTACTGTATTCACGGGCTGGAATAGCAGGAAAACGCGTTCGCAGCCGTAAAATTTTCTTGGGGATGGGGTTACACGTCAGCTCTGCTCCTTCGCCTCTAACTTGCAGATGACTGGCGCCACCATATGTAACCAGAAATTTTAACGAGCATTTCAGGTTCTGCCACCCCTAACATTCATCGAGCCTGTATGCCTATGGTGTGCACACTCCTCTGTAGCCTTGATGTATGTGTATCTAATGGTACTAACCATAAATAGTATTTGATTCAGAAGAAGGGTAATTTTTGGTTGGCTGTAATAAATGACTATTGCTAGTTGCTACATGGATTCTAGGTTGTCTATTATTGACAGCAACTGCCCACTTTGATCCATCTAGTTCCGTGGGACGACTTTGTTCTCGATGCCAACTTTTAAGTTCTGTTATTACTCGGTTCCCTTGACTTCTATCTCTTGGTGGAATCTGTGGTGGGACATCCCCCTTCTCTTGATGTCTGTAGGGGGGTCTTGATGGCCTAGGTGGTGAGATTATATTATTATTTGAGTTTATTTCATTTATGTGTTGATGACTTCCAACTCTACGGTAGTTTGTATTTATAGCATTATTAGGCTTCACTGTGGCAGTGACCGGAGCATGCTGTTTGGTCGGAACAGCATAGATTGATTGATGAGGGGTGGGTGGAGGTGCCCCACCCTCTTGCTCTCTAGACTCTCTATCAACATATCGAATAACTGTTGAACGATTTTCTTTCTCATGTTTGTAAGACTGACTCTTCTGTTTGGTACTAGTCAACAATGCTAATTTTAAACCCGACACAAATCTCTCGAATGTCAGACAACCATTAGCAGGGGTAACTTTACTCAACGCATCAACCACACCAAATGGTAATCCTGTCACCCCCTCCTCGTTCCATCTCGACTCAATATCTTGGAACCGAACAAATCCAGATCGCTTCTCGTCCAAAATATCGAACAGAATTCTCAGTGAAGACACAAACTGTTTCGGTAATCCTTCCAAGTTAGCAATGTTTTCTGTTTGCGACATGTTTTTTTGCTATATTTCACCGACTGAGCATTTATCTTACAACTGAGACTTCATGACGGCTTCTACATCAACATCAAAGGAAGTCTATTCGCGACAAGTGCACCCAGTAAGCCCTCACCTGATTGGTTGTGTGTAAACTAAAGCTTATAAATACACAAGTCTTGTTCAACAAGGCAGTGGGGAACAATTCAATAAAAAAAAACGTTGTAAAATACGGTCCGTTGATCGAGTCTACATACCGGCGTCATAATATTCCTCAGGTATGAATAGGAACATTGTATTAATGGGTATAAATTTAACCCAAACAATAGCATTTTGTTATAACCTTGGACGATCGCGCCTTTATCTCTTTTTTTAAACTGACCCACATTAAATTGTATTTAAATATTTGTTTTAAACTGTTGATAGCTAGGACCAATGAGAGTTGGTTTTAAATATATACATGTACCTGGAAAAAGAAATACTCATATTTCGAAATGAGTACATACATTATTATAATCCTGCTGGATGTAATCTTTAATTGTGGATATATCGGATCTGTTTAAACAGAACATTGTATTATAAGTCATTATTATATAAAATAATCCTCTTTTAACAAATCAATTATAAAACCCGTCACAATTTCTAATATACCGATATTTCATATTGTGTCCGTGTACTAATGATAATAATAATAGTTTATTCTCAACTACATGTACAAGCCTGAGTATGGAAGTTACAACAAACATTTCACACTGTGATGCATAATAATATCTAACTAAATATCTTACAAAATAAAATTAATTTTCAATACGTGTGGAATATTATTAATGTTGATGTAATCGTCAATATTTAATGTTACATATCACTTAACAAAGCTATATTTATTCCTCATTTCTTAAGGCATTCAATACAAAACTTACAACATTTTCTATACACTATTCATTATTCATTAGCATATTAATTTGGTACTTTTGTATACTGTATGCTGTCCCCAAAGGGCGTTTCGATACAATCAAATTTTATTCTGTTATATTCTATTCATTTATACACATATGTATCGAATGACAAACTATTTGTAAGCCCGAAGTAGCACAAGCTTTGAAAGTTTTGTCTCTAAAAACCTGTCAATTGCACATGTAACTTTTGCGCGGGAAACACGTGGCTGTAATCAAAGTGCATACCAAATGAAATATACTGAGCGCCATGGAAAACGCATCACTTTTTTTCCCAAATTCCCAAATATTTTATTACTAGGTGGTTTTGTATGTATAATATTATGCAATACTATGAACTATTGTTTTACACAATGCTCCCAAACGCAAAAAATAAAAATATCGGCCCGTGTGCAAAAAAAAAAAAAAAAAAAAATTGCACGAGATGCACATGAAAAACCCAATATTCACGTGCAGCATTGTGCGGAGCCCTTTAAAAGCATGTTTTCAACTTAATGTGCAGTACATGAACTGTGAAACGTCAATCTGTCGTAATTTGTTGTTGGACGCGTGAAGGAATCGAGCTAGAGATGCCGAGACTTACTGAAAATCAACGGAATGAAGCCATGGGAATGTCCAGGGCTGGCATGTCTACACGTGCTATTGCCAGACACTTCAATTGTCATCAGTCCACTATTTTAAGTTGTGGAACGTGTTCGAGTTACTGGATCAACACGTGACCGTCAACGTCCTGGTCCACAACGCGTTACGACCCAGGCTCAAGACCGCTACATCCGGGTCACTCATCTGCGTGACAGATTCCGCCCAGCGACTCGAACAGGTGCAGCAGTCGTCGGAAGACAAGGACCAGTAAGTGCCAACACCGTAAGACGTCGTCTAAGAGAAGTAGGGCTCCGTGCACGACGACCTTACGTTGGAGCTATCCTCAGGGATCATCACCGTCAGCGGCGTTTGATATGGGCTTAAGGACGGACACCAGACATGGAGAAGAGTAGACTGGCAAAGTGTGCTCTTCAGTGATGAGCGTCGCTTTCATCTTTATCACGCTAATGGCCGTCAACGTGTGTGGAGACGTCTTGGGGAGCGTCTTGCAGACTGCTGCGTCTACGAAACGAATCGATGGGGTGGGGGAAGTGTAATGGTGTGGGGAGGCTTCACATTTCATCACCGGACCGCCCTACACATTTGCAGGGGTTGCGTTAATGCCGTAGCCTACCGTGATGATGGCCCGTGCAGGAGGACACACGCGCTACTGACATCTGTGTCGTACTTTCGGTTTTGACCCCTCTGACTTTGTACACTTGATTACGGATTAAACATCCATAAGTGTACAAATGTGTTGTTATTGATGTGTTCCCATTTGAATATTGTTCACAATAAGAAGCAAAATAAATAAGATATGTTTACAGGATCATTTTGTTATACGAAAAAATAAGTGATGCGTTTTCCATGGCGCTCAGTATATAATCGACTTTTCGTAACACACGTAACTTTTGCGCGGGAAACCCATGATGTAATCAATATGAAAACCAAATGAAATGTTTAACGGTTAATTGACTTTTCGATTTATTGAAGATTTGTATTTCATGCAAATTAAATTACCGGACTGTAGTTACATATTAAAATGTGGATTAGTGGATTTTGGGGAAATGTCCTAATCAATCATCTGACAATAATTCACACCAGTTAATACACATCAGTAAAATATGGGCTTTCAAATCCAATCATGTATTTTTACGAAGAATTGTTTTGATTTTTGTGGGGGTTGGATGGCTGAATGGTTAGCACGTGCGCGCTATATCATAACGTCTGTCATTGAGTCAACTGGCGGGGTTTCGATTCCCCGGTTGTACGTGACAAGAAGTAGGGTCGCCTGTCCAACCTTGTGGGTTTTCTCCGGGTCCTCCGGTTTCCTCCCACTGCTAAAGACCCCTACGCGCAAGCGAATTATGGAAATTGAACCATATGTTAGTCCCGAAATGACCTAGTTTGTGTCGAGTGGACGTTAAACCCCATTTCTCTCTCTCCCTTTTGGTTTTTGGGGAGACAAAAAGGTCATGGTTTTTGATTTACTTGATAAATTTAAGACAAGTGAATACTTGGTCGAAACAATAAGCAATAATTGAATCTATAGTGTCCAATGTAGACACAACCTTTATTATATTATAATGTGTGTATGTATGGAAACGAATTACGAGCCTTAGACCAATTAAGACTCGTTCAAAAGTCTTTCATGATTTAATACTTTGGAACTGCACTGCCCTATAATTTTGGAAAACCAGACATTCATATACACCCAGGCTGAAAGAATATTCGCCCTACCCGCCCAAAAGTTTGTCAATCCATCATGGCCTGTGGCCAAACTTTCGGTTGTTTTTCGTTTTTTATGTCTTTGACATTAAAACAACATATCTCTGTGTTCAAGCTACGTGGTCTGGCCTTTACATTGATTTTTTTAGTGCTGTTTATTTATGAAAACATGTATGCTGCTCTTACTGAACGTATTGATTCAACAAAATCATATCTATGAAATGAACGGGCCCTTTCACAAAAAAGATTTTACAAGTATGAAGTGAACAAAGCATTGATAACAATTTTTTATAGATCTTCATATTATAGTGTTGGCCAACCAAATTGAAACCGGAACGATAAAGGTATAATTAAACAAGAAATACAAGGGCGAATCAAAGATTGTTATATAGTTTTAATAAGCAGGTGAGTTGTTGGAAGGCTTTCGATCAGGGTGCTTCATAGACTGAAAATTAAAGTACATCATCACCATAAATCAATTCTCGACTTTTTTACACGAAAATAGGGAACCCAACAAATACGTAACTGTTGCCTTTTTTCACTCGACTGTCGCGCACATAAGGAACCAGGACAGACCGTAACTATCGCTCGAAAACTAAATGATAGCGGTAATGGGTCTCTCAGTTGAGATTAACCGCGGACCCAGGAGAATAATAATACAACCTTCCATAATCAAACCGTGTCCCGATATTAGTTTGTTTAAAAGGGGATTTTTACTTTAACTTCAGACATGAGTCAAAGTAATTATAAAAATTAGCGAGTCTGAAGGGATATATAAAAACTAAATGTAAACTCTTTTTTAAAAAAAAATGAAAGAACTTAAAACCTAACAGTGCTTCGGTGTTAGTGTGCAAAAACTATTTGCATGGTAGAAATCAAATAGTCAACAATCAGGATGTGTTGTTTATTCTAGAAGACACATTTTATCATATTTTCTAGCACATTGGAATGTTGGCTTAGGTCAGTTTTCAACAATATGCATTGCGATATCCATGTACAAAGTATATTATATTCCTTTTCACCAAATTAGTTTTATGCTATTTATGTAGGGCTACTAGTATAAAATAAGAAGGAAGTTTAATACATTTGTATATATTTTCCGATGTAAAAATTGTTCTGTCGATGCACTTTTGCTATTATTTTCATTGCTATTTTTATTTTGATAATAGTAATAATATTGTCATTTATTAAACGTGTTAATACTGACGAAGTTTCTAAGGAACTGTTGGTTATATTAACTGATTATTTACAGGTAGGGTCTTTAAATAACAATGTTTCGGTTTCAGATTTAAAATGGCCCTTGCACAGACGTTAAAAAATTGTTTCATTAACTTTGGAAGTATATTCCATAGAAAAGGTCCAGCATAGAAGAAGGCACGTTTTCCAAGTTGTAAGTTAATAGAATAGAATCCAGTGAAAATAAGCAGATAGAACTTTATAAAGTTGTAAACTTGCGACTCGATCACAATAATGGTGCCATAAAACTCCCAACTGATGATGTAACTGATTTACCAAATAGATTTGCTGACTCCTCTTCTTCCAAAATCACGAAAATCAGAAATGATTTGAACAAGTCATCTTCATCAGAAATCACTACACCCTTCTTGTCTAACGTAAACTGTAATCTATAGAAGCTTTTGCCGATCATGAAATTGAAAAGTTAATCTTTTCATCAAATTCAAAGTCTTGCACCCCTTGATCCGTTACCTACCTGGCTTGTAAAAAAGTGCCCGTGACTGTATACTTTCTTCAATAACTCGATCAACCGTGCAATCTATGTGCTATATTTCCATATGTTTTCGAAACCGCAATCGTTGTTCCCTAAATAAAAAAGCCAACTCTTGACCCGAATCATTACAGAAACTATCGACCGGTTTTCAATCTTAGTTTAATCATAGTTACATCCCACTTCTACTCGTTGCCACTGGTAACCTTTGATAAAACTATCCTGTTTAATCGCAATACATGCTTAAAAGTATCCGTGTATCAGTAATGTACAGAAAGAATACTGTTCATTTCTGATACACGAATACTTTTAAACCGTTTTAGATACCTATCAAGCAATCAGTAGCGGACGATTAGTCCGATCCAGATCGCAAATGTGGACGATGGCTCTAACCAATGTACATGAAACAACTAGTCAAAATCATAGTAACAAAACAAAATGGGGGGAACTACATGGCAGTTCAAAAACATATACAATGACATTAAATTAACATAACAACATATTACAAAAATCAATTATTATACGTATCAATTGGCATCTATTTTATAATTTGGTTTGATTTATATTAATATGCAAAATATATATATTAGAATATTGAATAATTATTTTAATTAATTGTGATGATAGAAGGCGCAGTTCTCTTGCTGGACACTTCACAGGCATTGATAATAAGCAGGATGAAAAAAACGCCTAGAAAGTCATAAACTTTATTACAAATAAATTTCAACGGAAGAACCATCCGCCGATGCATACTTTCACCAGGAATGACCCACGTTTCGCATTTCCTTTACACTACATTTAATAATATCGCAGTCCTCTACGCCATAGATAAGATGTTTTGACGGTGTGGTCTAAACAAACACGTGATTGTTTTACGCTCAGAGTATCATAGCAAGACGCACGTGTAAATACTACTCAGGTCGTCTCTTCACAGCGAAATCATTCTACCATGAAATGTAACGTGAGGCTCAGAAAGGGATAAATAATGAAAGAGCAGAAAGTATTTGTCACTTTTCGGTTGAAACGACTCGATGATAAATACTATTTTTCACATGTTGGTTCACAATACGCGATAGAAATGTGATGTAAGTAACTTATTAGCACCTTTCCTCGGTGTATCGGTGAATATCAGGACAGTTTTGGTCGGGGGCCGCCTCGGCTTCGCCTCGGCTGGGCCCCTCGACCAAAACTGTCCTGATATTCACCGAGTAGGCTTCGCCTCGGCTGGGCCCCTCGACCAAAACTGTCCTGATATTCACCGATACACCTCGGAAAGGGTGCTAATAACTACTACATACAATACATGTATTTATATTTAACTGAATTGATTTTATTATATATTTTTTTATATTTTTACTGATTTTATAGATATTTTTTTTTTTTTACTGATTTTATAGATATTTATTTATTTTTTACTGATATTATAGATATTTATATTTTCTATATTTATTGTAAAGCGTACCTGAAAACACATTTAAAAGATAGTGCTATGTAAGTGTTGTATAATAATAATAATAGTAAATAATAACAGTAGTTGGAGATTTTAGAGGATCTTTTTTCTGAGAACAGAGATTTCAGTTGGCAGTATAGGGTTCTACATAACTTTTTATACGTCCACATTCATAATGTGAACGTATTATGCCGTCGCCCCTGTCTGTGTGTGTGTGTGTGTGTATGTATGTATGTATGTGTGTGTGTGTGTGTGTGTGTGTCTGTGGTTCGCCTACAGGGCGCAATTCTTCATGGATTTTCTTCAAACTTGGTATACTTATTCCTTATACCCCAAGGAAGATCCCTATTGTTTTTGGTGCATGCCCGACCCCCCGGGGCAGAGCCACGCCCATTTCTAGTATTTGTTTGTTTGTCGTCTACAGGCCACATTTCTTAACTAATAATCTTGAAACTTTGCATACACATTCTTTGTACCCTAAGGAACATCCCTATCGTTTGGGGTGCATGCCCAACCCCCAGGGGCAGAGCCACGCCCATTTTCTTTTCGTGTGTCTTTGTGTCGCCTACAGGGCGCAATTCTTACTGGATTTTCTTCAAACTTGGTATACTTATTCCTTATACCCCAAGGAAGATCCCTATTGTTTTTGGTGCATGCCCGACCCCCAGGGGCAGAGCCACGCCCATTTCTAGTTATTCTTTAAGTGGCATTTAGCGATCAGGGAACAAATTAACAGAACACAGTTTTTATGGGATACAATCACTAGTTTATTCTAAAAGCACGACGTTTCCACAAGTATTCTCTTATCGTTATCAATCAAGCAAAAAAAAACAAAAAAAAAACGTCATGCTTTTAGAATAAAGACATCGATTGTTTTAAAATAAAAATTGTGTTCTGTTAATGTGAACGAAATGTTATACTGATAGCAGTCCTACAACCCAGTTTTATTTCACAGACCCTCAATGCAAACTGGACCATATCAAACAAAACAGGAATGTGGACGTATATTGCTGCGTTAGCGATGCTCTTGTTATATAAGATGGAGCTTGGCCATTTAACACTTTGAAGACAAATAGGAGTAACTGAATTGGGAGCCAATGTAGGGATTGCAATACAGGGGAGACCTGTTGATAATTTTTAGTTTTTAGTGAAGAATTTTGAACATGTTGTAGCTTGTTAATCTGATTGATTAGATTTTAGTGCTAAATTGATTCCTATGACCTAATAATAGTGATTTGACAACTTATTAAGCAATAAATAATAATATAGATATTATTATGTTTTGACTTCCTTAGAAAATATGCAACTATATCGCTTTAAATGTCAGTGCATAAAAAAGAAACAAATAAACAATTTATGTTTTATTTCAGTAACAAAAATATCTTGGTTATAAACACAAACCAAAATTCCAAGTTAAGCATTTAATAATGCTCTACTTGAACACAAACAATGACAACCAGGTACCATTTAGTTTATGTACTAAATGATGCTCAAGTTTGAGGAAAGTTTTTTTACAAACATAAATATTAATTTCTACTGTCTTTATCAATTCCAAGTGTCCATTATGGAAATACATGTAATAACAGCTGTCTTTTAACAGGAAATGCAAAACAAATGGAATCGGCCAGGCTAAAATATAATAGCAAAGAAATTCTCCTTTGTCCTTCCAAATATTCACAATATATACAGAGGCATAGTCATTAAACAAGCCTATTTGTCACCAGTAACTTCATCTTCATGAAGCAACATATTTGGTATTCCATTTGTTATTGGGAACTTTCTACCCGTTTCTGGACAGACTAAATTACCTTCTATAATCTCAACCTATAAATAAAAATGTCATATTATTACTATTCAACTATCATATTCTTATTCTTCTTTCTTATCCATAGGGGATGGATGGCCGAATCGTTAGTGAATCTATACACTAAATTTCATCACTCTCTATTAGGTAGAATCAAAGTTATCTTGTTCCAAAACATCGACCAATGAAATTATTTAGCTCTGCTTAGCTTTAGTGGAAAATGTTAATCATTGAACCCATTGAAGACATTCACCTAATGAACATCTAAACCGAGTTTAAACATTCTACCTCAGTTAAAAGCAGAGTTGTTTAGAACCAAAGTTATCATGTTCCAAAGTCTCAATCAATCGAATCAATTATCTCAGCTTAGCCTTAGTGGAAAATGTGCACGATCGAACAATGTCAAGGCATTCACCTAATAGTCTTGACCAATCAGATTGAAGTCTCTACTCAGCCTAAACAGAAAATGCTCATCATCGAACTCAGTCAAGGTAATGACGCAATGAAAATATACACAAAGTTTCACCACTATCACTCAAATAGAATCAAATTGCTTATTGCTCTGCTTACCCTGAGCAGAAAATGCCCATTATCAAACTTAGTCATGGTATTGACATAATTAAACTTTACACCAAGTTTCATCACTCTCACTTAATTAGAACTAAAGTTATCCTGTCCCAAAGCATCAACCGATCAAATTGCTTATTTCTGCTTAGCTTTAGCAGAAACTGCTCATCAAGGCATCATTCATCATTAGAAAATTACATGTTGACATCACCTATCTCACATTGCTCATGATCCTTTAACATTATCAATAAGGCCTTTGATTTTTGAATGAATCAACCTGGATTTGTGTACATGAATCTGTTAGTCAAATGATGTTTTAAAGAGAAGTGGGCATAATGTTTATTCATTTCTTTATTGACATATTTAATATCTAGAATTTATTTACTGGATAATGACATACTATAATGTCAAATGACAGCAATTTTTTTCCTTTTTCATAAAATTTGACAAGTACATGTGTATTTGTCATAATGCTCAAGGATTCGGATTCAGATGTTTAAGTATAAACTGAGAATCTTTATGGGAACCTGATTTTGAGAATATCACGATTTTCTTAGCTTGTTAGATAAACTTTACCTGTAATAAGAGATTATGTGCAATTTTCAGAAAATCTTCATTTGATTCATAATTTTCTGCAATAGTTTCTGGTACTCCTTCTGCTTTTTTGATCTATTGAAAAAAAAAAAAACTTTGCTATTTCTGGATAAAGAACACTATTGTTAATTGTCATAATAAAGACCTATCACAATAAGGTTTTTTTTTCTTAGTGCAGAGACAATAGCAATATTACTGTCTACAAGTACTTCCATGTGATCTTTTAAGGGTCATCTGATCAATTACATGTACAATCATTTTGAGATTCAATCCTAACCCAGGGACATTCTTTTCGCCATGTCTGTGATTCTCCCAAAAACGTCAAACGGTGAACGCCAAAAAATAGGAATAATAGGACTTGATGATCGAGATTTCTTTATTTCCTGCATATTTTTTATTCTGCGCTAAAATATAGAATTGTCGGAGAATTTAAAACGAAAGGAATAAATAGTCTGTGCTGATAATAAGCGAAGGCGAATATTTTAAATGCCATTTATTAAAGAGGTGCCTTCCACCCACTTAATTCATTAAATATTCACTTATCGGTGTTAATAAATTTACGCTGATGAAATAATAATTATTATTTATGGTTTTTCGACCAAAATTATATTTCAAGATAATATAATTTCTGAGTTTTCTCCTAATTTAAATACATGGGCAGAAAAAAAAAAAACATGCATTTGTCGCAATGCGTTAATTTTGTTGCTAATTTCTGTCATTAACGAATACTATTTATAATAGGCCTAATAAAGAAATACTTTTTCTTTAAGAGTGCCTTATGTTTTATTTATTAATTTGTTATTTACAGTCTTTCTATCAAAATTAAATATCTAGATAAATTAATCTTGGTGGTTTTCTGCTCTTTCTAGCCTACAATAGTAGGAGAACCTTTGAACACTTAAAGATAGGTTCCCAGAAAAGTATTTATCAGGTTGTTATTGCCTATAAAAGTAATGCAATTTTGGTGTGTATGGAAAGTAGAGATATCCAATCTTACTAGAAAAATACTAGATTCCCTGAAAAACACTCATGGAGCGTATACAGGACAAAAATGTTAGGGTTTCCCTTATCGACAGCCCGACGATTAGGAATATCTGCACGTGTGACGTCGAAGGCTGCACGCGAACATTGAGCGCTTTGTGTACATGCTGATAAACTTAATGAAGAGTTAGACGTACAACACTTTCTGAGATAAAAATCACGGGAAAAGACCCGGGCAGTGAATAATCCGAGAATTTAATTAGGATTCGATATTTGTAATAAATAGTCAGCGATTACAGACAGCATCGTCTTGTATATGCAATGAATTCTTCTTTTGTGTTCGCTGCCGTTGCTATAGGTATGGAGAGAGGTAAGTCACGTGATACAAACATGACCTCTTTTGATCGATTTTTATAGCAGAGCATTCCTTGGCAATTACAATGTTTTGGGAAGGATTTGAAGCAAAATTATGATAAATTAATTAGTTTGAATATGTTTTTAGTCCAAATATATCATCAAATCACCCAGTTTGTTACCGGAAATGTATCTTTAAAATGACTAGAAAAAACACTAAAATGACTATTCAAATATTCTAGACCTGCATCTTGGCGATGGCGTGTCAATTTCATCTAAAATTTTGCATTAGCCCAATTAGTTTCAAATCATGTCAAATCAAAAATAACTCTTTATTACAAAAGAAGACCTCCTTAACAGGCCTTCACATTGAGGTGTGCTGTTGCTTTTGCACTCCATCGCTCACTTAAATCCCAATCTAGGTGCATATTTTATTGCTCTCCTCAGTCCTCCAAAATTGATCTCCCTACTGCATATTTTATTTCTCCAAAAGTAAGAAATTATTTCATGTTTACTTTGTATTTAATTCCCATTAATTAGTTCTGTACAGATGTCAAATGCGATCACAGAATATTTTAATCTGTTATCATTTTCCTTCGTAAGAATCGGTCACATACATGGTAGCCATCATGCTATTTTATTAATTTACAATCTCAAGAAACATTTATTGGGAAACTTAAAGATACATTATGGGAGATTCAATAACGAGTTGGCAGTTCTCACAATAATATGTAAAAACTAGACAATGTAAAGGCAATTTGCTGAAAATTTCATTCAAATTGATCCACTATGAACCGAGAAAAAAGCGATTGAATTTCCGCCTAGCCTTGATCATCATTACTAAAGTCAGTATGATAAACAGCATAGTCTCGATTATCCATTTAAGATCGCAGGCTAGCGATGCCATCTAGAGTTGATTGTGGTCTGGATAAGTTAATTAATGCCTAATTAATAATTTAGATAACATTTCAGGCCTAAAGAAAGACTTGCAATAGACAGATTTAGCTCTTGCATAATGTATGTTTAATGTGCATAACACACCAACACTATACCCACCCAAAAAAGTGTTTCCTATTATTAGCTATTAATAAACACCAATTAACTTATTTATTTTCTGCTTATCCATAATGCTAAGACTCAATTTTTAAATTCTCAGCAATAGCGGCATTATCCTGTGATCTCCCATGAAAATACTATGCATTGATTACCATATAAGGCACCATACAGCATTTAATACATGTACAAACATAGTGATATGGTTAATTTTGACACAAAAACTTCATGCTTGATACGATTGTGAATAACAAACAAGCCCTGATAATATGTGGAAGTTGATGGCCATGCCTTTTAACAAGTGATTTTAGTTATCAATGAATTTTAAAATGGGTGGACACACTAGCCGATTGCTTCGCCCAATTCACCAGTCGATTGCATCACCTTTCACGTCACATGATTAAACATGGCGGCGTCTATGTCTTAAACAATCATGTGCTTTCTCAATATGAGTGGATGATGAGTGGTGATTGGCTAATGAATTCTACATTCGGCTGAATGCTTCGGCGAAGCGGACACACCAGGCGAATATATCAAACCTGTTTGATTTGGGCGAATCATTCGGCTGAATAGACATTTGGACGAATGACAGTGGACACACTAGGCGAATTTCGACACTGATTGATTCGAACGAACGATTCGGCTAGTGTGTCCACCGCTTTAGAAATAAAATGCCGGAAATCAATAGATAAACAAAATGTGAAGTAGCCACTGTTCATTAATTTGTCACATTGATAAGATATGTATTATATTACATACATCACCAGCAGCTGTATATAAAGCTGGCCAGTCTAACTTTGCAATCATCCGGCTTATAAATTCAGGATTAAAATCAACTTCTTTTTCTTCAATTTTACTGGCCTAAAAAAGAAACAAAACAAAGTATTACTTTAATTGCCCATATAGGTCTGCACCAATCGGGTTAGAACACATACATGTGCTATGATAGCAATTTTGCCCCAACTGCTGTTTCCATGTAGACACCATATGTCAATGCATACTTTTACGTACACAGCCACATGAACACAGGACCTCAAGTTTTATATCACCCGAACAACTAGACACCGTGGCTCTGTCTTAATAAAGGTGAAGCTGGACTCTCAATTTGGTCACTATTCCACTTTCGCAAATCTTCCACTTTACGTTCTTATTAAGCTGCAATACCAAAATACTGCTCTACCCCACCTATTTTTTTAATCACAAAATTCTACTTGAAAATAGAGTTGAACAGAATTATTATAAATTTGTGTGTGTGTGTGTGTAAGGGGGGTGGGTGGTAGTGTGGACGGCTGTATGGTTAGCACATGCGCACTGTATCATAAGGTATGTCATTGAGCCAACCAGCATGGTTTTGATTCCACGGTTGCCTGTCCAAACTCTTGGGTTTTCTCTGGGTTCTCCAGTTTCCTCCCACTGCTAAAGAGTGCAAGCAAATTATTGAAATAAAATTGAACCATATGTTAGTCCTGAAATGATCTAGTTTGTGTCCAGTGGACCTTAAAACCCACCTCTCTCTCTCTCTCTCTCTCTCTCTCTCTCTCTCACACACACACAATTTGTGTCAGAAATGATTCCTTTTGGTGAAAAAAAAAGAATTAAGGTGAAAAATAGAAAGTAAGGATTCCAAAATAGCCTAAGAACAGAGGTAGCGGTAGAGCGGTATTTTAATATTGCAGTCTAATAGAAATGAACACGAAGAGTCTGAGGACAGTATCCGATCAGAGGCCATTCTTGAAATGAAATGGGGTTTAACGTTCTACTGTTCTGCTCAGACTGGGCTAATGTCGTAATGAAGACGACATACACCATATAAGTCTGTGCTTTTACGTTTTCTATAAAGAGAAAAAGGCTGAAAACAACATTTTCCCTAGCATTTACCATGTTAAGACACATGAAGAATACGGTAGGTCTGCCAGAGCTAAAAAAAAAATAAATAGACACTGGAAATATGTCATGCGTAAAACCTCCTGTATATATATATAAGGGAAATTATAGCCGGCTAGTGGCCCTATGGTCTACTCTAATATCAAATTCCAACTGCCAAAGGATCTTTTACATGCATACCAATGTGTACACGGGACCTCGCTTTTCTGTCCCATCCGAACGACTATACACTATTTACGCCTTTCCTTCTCTGGCACTCCGTCCTGCACCAGTGACAAGGGGGAACCACGCCGGAAATTTCCGATGAACTTTCTCGGCCAACGCCTAAAGGAACTACTACATACCATAATCTTCAAAGGAAACCCTTTTGTAACACCTTTAACGAAGTTAGATGACAACATGTTATGTGTTAAAAGCTTCATTTTGTTTCTTAAATCCTCTTTTTTAATAAACACGCTTCAAATTGTGCAATTTTCATTTGTTGATGTTTGAACTGTATTTAAATTGGAGAATACGTGTAGCTAAAACGGAAACAGATATAATTAAAATTCTAAGAAATCAATTCTATTTGCATCACAGTTTAGGTGCTCTATTATTGAATTGAACAAATATATCATTACACAGCAGAAATAATAATTTTACAGTTATTTGTTGATATTTGGTTTTAGAAATAATAACCTTTTCGTTTCATTCGTGTGACTTAATGCAGTTGTTATTTTGAAACAACCAATATGGCTGCGCCCACAAAACACATGTAAATATTCGGTATTGCATTTGCATGCATTTTTGAAAAAGAAAACACTGTACTTGCAGTAAGGGCCCCTGAATGGACTTTGCATTTATATTTTTATTTTTATCATTTTGCTTTACATTAGTTTCCTCGCAATAAAATGATCTTGTCAAAAACTACAGTCAGTTGTTGTCGGCTATTGGCATTGCCTTGGCATATTTATTATAATTATGATTATACCGTCCAATCTTCTAATATTAATAAGTTATAATGATAAGATGTATTATAAGGTCCATGATTATACCTCCTCACCTGAGATTTTGATTGCATGTTTTTTTATATTTTAACTGAGGTAAATTTTCTTGGGATGTAATATTTATTTGACTACAGATAATTTTAGTCTGTAGTAATTAGTATGTAGCAGGGAAGCAAAGTATATTATAATAGAATTTTTGATATTAATATAAAGACTATAGGTAGCAATGCTAAAGATCTCTAGGGGCGCCACCGATACTATTTTTATCGTGGTTGAAAAATCAGACTGTAAAATGAGCCTACAATTTTTGGCAATACACAATTACTGATTTTATTACTATTGATCCGCAACATTTTGACAAGCAAATGATGGAATACGTAATAATAGCTGGTGGGTTGGCATCTGCTTCCACATTAGTGATTCCAAAGACAAAGTATTAGGAGAAGTAAACTTAATCCTGTAATTAGAATATGATTTTTTAATCTTTCCATTTGTGACCAAAGGATGTACCGTACATAAAAGAAATGACTGCCCATGCTCCAATAAATATGTAGGTGAAACTAGACACCTCTGTAGATGTACGATAAAAGAACACAAGTGCCTTGCCACCACCAACTATTCAGCCATAGCAGATCATATCACATACAACAAACACCATAAAATTATGTTGGACCACCAAGCAAAAACTCTTGCAGTAGACCGCCTCTAGAAGAAAACCAGGGAACTACTTAAGGCCATCAACATAAAGAGTATCAAACTTATACATTGACCAGTTTCTTAATCTATACAACTGTTTGTTCCCAGTACACCCCCACCCTTATCCACATATTTGTATTTGACTGTGATATCACCCCCATTAATGAATAAACGGCAAATATATATATATATGTATAACTTACTTTATTAAGATGAGAGTATCCACGTTGAAATGCTGCATAGTAATAAATAGAAATAAATTCAGTAATTGTGTAAGCTTACCTATTAAAATTGTACTTTGTGATGTTCACTTTATACGAAATACCTGTAAAAGGAGTAATAATATAAAGACTGTCTGTAGTTTAGGAGTATGATTGAAATGGCATTTTGCATGGTGAAGTTTCTTTTATAAGATAGCCAACTGTTGCATGTCCGAAAGACAACCCTAAAATATGGGCATGATAGTAGAAAAAGAAATTAATTTCCAACATTTTGAATTTTTTTGTAGAAAAAAGTGACACAGTACCAAAATGGATGATTCAAGTGTATTTGAAACTGAATTAAATTTTTGCCCAGATTGTGGAACAATCCTGCCATTGCCTGGAACAGAAGAATTTGTTGCATGTCTAAAATGTGGATACAAGCTTGATTTAACAAGTATGTTTATTTTATCACCAATCGCTTAAACATACATTAGGCAAGAGCTAAATCTGCCTATTGCAGGTCTTTCTTTAGGCCTGAAATGCAATCTAAATTATTGATTAGACATTAATTAACTCATCCAGACCATAATCAACCCACGATGGCATCGCTAGCCTGCGATATTTATTGGGTTTGGTTCCGATTTTCTGCTCGACTTTCATTCATAATTTAATCATGAACTGGATAATCGAGACTGTTTTTTTATTGTACCAACTTCAGTAATGATGATCGAGGCTAGGCCGAAAATTCAATCGCTAAAATCTTGGTTCAGAGTGGATAAATTTAACTGAAATTTTCAGCAAATTCCATTTACATCATCTAGTTTTTAACTATTATAGTGAGAACTGCCAGCTCTTTATCTAATCTCCCATAATGAATCTTTAATTACTGCATGATAAATTTGAACAAAAATACATTCCTAGAAGCCTACATATGTACATAAGTTGTAGGCTGTTTACAGGCTGCCATACTTACTTGTTTTGTGTCACTTAATGTCCAGTCAACAATCATGACAAATATTGCATTTCAGCTGCATTATGACTCACCAGCACTTCCAGTCTAATCTGTGGTGCATTTTCATTGCATCACAGTATATTTAGAGATATGTTATTATTTTTGCGAGGCACCCTGGGCCTATGTTCTATATATTCTGTTCAATATACTCCTTTCTCCACATGAAGATATTTAATGATGATTATTATTTGCATATCCTTTACTCAAGTGTTCAGAGGTACTATACAAGTTACAATAGCATATTGCAACATTTTTATCGGACATATAAATATCTATAGAATATGGAACATAAATATAAAGGTGTAAAAACATTTGTAATATATAAGAAAATTGTAAAGACATCATCAGATAAAAGCACTAATAAAAATATATAACTTCCATACATTTTTTAAAAATAAACAAGTCTTTACAAATTTTTTATATGATTCAACCGAGGTACTGCTTCTAATAGCAAGTGGGGGGTTTATTCCAAAGCTTTGGAGCTTGATAACAAAACACTGTTCTACATATGAAGAAATTGTCTTTAAAACATAGTTGTCAGATAAACTTAAGTCTTTTGAGGACATGCAAACTTTTAAAGTCAAATAGATATAGGCATGGGCAGTAATTATTTAAACACCTGTAAGAAAATAATAGAATCTTAAAATCTGTATAATAAACAAAATGTGACCAATGTAACTGATAGTAAGTACAGGCATAATATGTTCATGTCTTTTAAAGTAAGTGTAATAAAGCTTGCTACAAAATGTTGCACTCTCTATAATTTATCAAGAGGTAATCTAGCTGTAAGTGAATTAAAAATTGTCCAATCAGGAGGTGATAAATGTCTGTACAAGTGTTTTGGTATCCTCAATGGATATGTATTTAGGTATTTTATCAAAATTTCTTTATTGAAATTAACGCTTGTGTTGTCAAAAGCATATTACTATAAAAAAAGCCCCAACATACCTTGCAGGCACAACGGTCTTGACAACAAATGGATAGCCAGAAACTTTTTTTAAAAAATCATTTTTGGATCCAACAAGAATATATTCAGTTTTGTTAGTATTCATTCAATCCACCAGCCAGGTAACTGTATAGGTGCAGCTGTTTGACTTGGTATCTTGTTTGGCATTATATTTTTTATTAGAAAAAGTTACAAATATATACTTTTCATATACATAAGAAACCAGGCCAACCTGAGTACTGAGTTAAACCACAACACAGGTAATCTAAAGCTCTGATTAGAAACATGTCTGCTTAACATTAACATTAACATGGACAATAAGTAAAATCATTTTCAACAGATCTGATTTGAAAGTGTTAGAATAGATCAGTGTTTAGTTTTACAGTGAAAATCAAAATGGATCAAAAAAATAATTCTCGGTTCGCATGTATGGTTTATGATTTTGCTTCAGAATTCCATGGTGTATCTGTTGAATATAATTTAACATATAATAATATGGAAGAAATTCTGACTAATATGGGGAAAGATATGGAAGGTGTATCATCAGGACCAATGGTGAGTTAACATGTCAGATATTTAACAGTCACAGTGATAGTACAGATGACTTATGTAGTTTTCTTGATTGATGTTAAATGAAATTCTATAGTTTTTGATGGAGTAAGTATGTTGCAAGAGAGTAACAGATTGTGAAGAGTTGACTTTTTATTTGTTGTGATTGAAATAGTTTGAAAATAACGTTTGGTATTATTTATGTATTTGTAAATATTTCATATTTGTTCTGTTTGCCTAGGCTGATCGAACATGTTCTAAATGTGGAAATGAAGGAATGACATATACAACACGTCAGACGCGCGGTGCAGATGAAGGTCAAACAGTTTTTTATGGTTGTCCAGAATGCAAGTAAGCATGACTGATTGAATTTTATTTTTTTTAAAATCCTAACTTGAATCTAGTCCAGCTTAAATTATAGAGCCAGAAATTAAAGTCATTTTAGATAATAGCTAATATTTTAGGTTTAATCCATGCTCAATCTGGTTAAAACACAGAGCCTATTTCGTTTCGTTTTTATAGTTCAAAATTTCGTTTTACTTGTCTTTACTACACTTGGATCTGGAAGAGTTGTTATTTAACTTGTGTTCTGAATGGTGTCCGGGATAAGCCAATGAAACGGTCTGTTACGGCGAGCTTTAGGCGTATTTTGCACAGAACTGTGGGTAATCCACTAGTAACATCAATGCTGATTGGTTAATCAATTGTCTAACATCATAGGGTCATAAGTCGGTCTTTTGACCCCTGACGTGACCTATCGCTATAACTTGTCAGATCTTCATGTAGTGTAGGCCATCGAAAGTATAAAAAAACGAAACGAAATATAGATCTGTATTTTAATCAGACTGATCCATGCTAAGAGGTACTCAAAATAAAATATATCAATGGTAGATAATCTTGAAGGCAATACCCATGAGTCATACACTCTTTCTAATCATTGGATGATAAGTATGAATCATCACTCATTAAGTTTTTACTATACACTATAAACCCACATTTCATGTAGTATTTTGTTGTCACCCTGTTTGTCCACCCATCGGATATGTATCGATTTTTCTTCAGAGATTATGCCCCTGCCAGATTTTGTCTCAACTTACTTGGATTTTTTAATTAGTGCTGGGGAATGCTCACTAGTCCCGTAGTCTGTGGGTTCACTAGTTCGTGGGTTCATTAGTGCACTAGTCCGTGAGGTCATTAGTTAGGGTTCGGATTAGGTTTTTTGATACCCATATTTATAGTATTTCTTATAGTGGCGGACTAGTGAATCGGCCGGCAGACTAGTGAACCCCTCTCTTAGTGCTATTGAGAAATCCTTATTTTTCTTACGTTTTTACTTTCTCAAAAAAGTAAAAAGAAGTTTACAATAATCTTTTCACATGGAAAATTTAGCAGAAAACATGAACTGTGGTTAAATAGAAAAGATGACCATAGTTATTTGAAACTAATAATATTTAGAAATATTCTTGCATTAGGCCTACTTACCTCGATATGTGCATGTTCCTTATAAATCATAGCTGTTATTGTTAAGCATTACAGTGTGGTAAATAGAGCTACGGTGCAGTAGTTGGCAGAGAGCGATCGTTCTTCACTGTGCCTTTTCATTATGGCTAAATGACACTTGCTTACTTACCCACTACATGTATACCATTATTATATGTATTGTGTAGTTTTGTTTGGGTGGGTTTTTTATATGTCCACATTTTCATGTGGACATATATTGTCGTCGCCCTTGTATACCATTGTTATATGTATTGTGTAGTTTTGTTTGGGTGGGTTTGTTGTCGCCCCTGTCTGTCCATGTGTTTTTGTGTCCGTTCACATTTTTGTTTGTGGACACTCTACAGGTCACAAATTTTATCCAAGTTTAACAAAACATGAAATATAGGTGTATCTCCCAAAGATCTTGGTTCTTATCGAAATTGGCATGTATTGGGCCGCAACTTCATGGATTATAGCCCCTGATGGTACATAAAGTCATGTTTTTAACTTGTGGGCACTGTAGAGGTCACAATTTTTATACGCCCACATTTTCATGTGGACGTATTATGCCGTCGTCCCCTGTCCGTCCGGACGTCCACAATTGTTTGTGGACTCTCTGCAGGTCTCGGCCACTGTCGATATTGGCATGTATCGGATCGAAACTTCATGGATGACTGAGTTCGAATTTCGTGAAAATCGGCCCAAAATTGACAGACAAAATGGCCGCCGTTCGTTCCCAAATAGCGTAAGAATATGGTATATCAAGGTCGTGGACCCTATAGAGGTCACAATTTTTATCCGATTTTGTTGAAACTTGAAATGTAAGTTTATAACACAAAGATCTCAGTTCCTTTATATATTTGCGCATATCGAATTGTAATTTCCTGAATTATGGCCCTTGATTGTAGGAAAAATCACTTTCTAGTTAGCTTGTTCTCTATCCATCTCTCGATAATGTTGGCGTATCCTGCCTGGCAGCCGCTGGTTATCCGATTTTGTTGAAAATTGAAATGTAAGTTTATAACCCAAAGATCTCGGTTCCTTTCGATATTTGCGCATACTCGGACCGTAACTTCCTGAATTATGGCCCCTGATTGTAAGAAAAATCGCGTTTTTAGCTTGTGGACCCTATAGAGGTCATAATTTTTATCCGATTTAAAAAAACGTATTATTATATCACCGTTACACCCTAAGGACGGCTGAATTCGAATTTCGTGAAAATCGGCCCAAAACTGACAGATAAAATGGCCGCCCTTCGTTCTCAAATAGCGTAAAAATATGGTATATCAAGGCTGTGGACCGTATAGAGGTCACAATTTTAATCCAATTTTGTTGAAACTTGAAATGTAAGTTTATAACACTTAGATCTCGGTTCCTTTCGATATTTGCACATATCGAATTGTAATTTCCTGAATTATGGCCCTTGATTGTAGGAAAAATCACTTTCTTTTTAGCTTGTTCTCTATCCATCTCTCGAAAATGTGGGCGTATCCTGCCTGGCAGCCGCTGGTTATCCTATTTTAATGAAACTTGAAATGTATGTTTATAGCTCAAAGATCTTGGTTCCTTTCGATATTCGAACATATCAGACCGTCACTTCCTGAATTATAGCCCCTGATTTTACGAAAAATCAAGTTTTTTTACCCTGTGGAACCTCTAGAGGTCAAAATTTTTATCTGATTTAAAAAAAACTGTTTAAATATATATTCGTTACACACTAATGATGGTAGAGTGCAAATCTTGTGAAGATTGGACCGTAACTGATTGACAAAATGGCTGCTACTTATACGCAAATATTGAGCCGTAACTTGATTATGCCCCCCACCGATTGTACACAAAATCGCTTTTTTGTTTAGCTTGTTCTTTGTCCATCTCTTGCAAAATGTGGGTGTATCTGGCAACTGCTGGTTTTAATTTTTGGTAGTAATTATTCAACCTATTCAAAATTAAGAGAAAGATAACACAAACTGCCTTGGTAGGCCTATGGCTTTCAATTTCATCTAGCGTCAACTCATGGTTATCTATCATTTCTTTTCTCTAGTTATTTATGTTTACTCCAAAAATGCAACAAACGTCCTTTCATGTCAGAAGTAGCCAGGCTTATGTCAGCATCTGCAGTCTAGCAGAAAATTAATCAGTTTAATTGATTTTGTAAGGGAGATAACTCTACCTCTTGGCTAGAGCAGAGCAAAAGGGTTGAATTATAAGGAATAACTTTACAGCAGATCTTTTATTTATTTTTTTCAGACACCAAGAAATAGAATATTCCTGATTTAGACTTAATAACCCATAATGCTAGTGGCAAGGTTTTGTGGGAAAATACTTTGCACTCAAGTAGTTTTATAGCATAATAGTCTACATGGTTGTAACTATTATAAAGATCTATGTTACATAATATTTACTTATTGTTAATAAACTTATATATTTACATACGTTATATATCTTATTCTTAAAGGAGCTAAATCGCTAATATTTTGGATCCAGAAATTGACACAAATGGGTCACAACGCATATAATAATGTGTTATGAATGTATATAAACTGATTTACATTCAATCGTTTCCGTTTTTACTCTAATTTCAAATCACTTATGTTTGGCGAAATACGCCAGAAATCTCAAATGAATGACAATCTCTAGCATCTGGTTACCCCAGTTTCTACCGATAGTATTTATCTCCAGATAAGAATATGGGGTCACCGTTTGATATGACTTGTGGAATATGTCTAGCCTTGTTCTTCAAGTCCCTTTTGTCTTAAACATTGGATATCAGAAGCCCATCTTTTCCCGGTAAGATCACAACAGCAATGTTGATTTAAATTAACAAAACATTTGTGTTTTCAATGTCAAAGACTTTGGATGATATTGAGTTACAGACTTAGCTACTTTAACCTGTCTGTACGTTCATTGTATACAGTGCATATTTTCGACATTTGTCAGAACCACGGAAGGGATTTCAATCCGTTAAAATCAGTGATTCAACAATAACATCCTCTCAATCAGTTTAAAATCTTGGAGTTTACTGTGATCAAGGTATTAAAATGAAGTCACATCTCTATTATTTGCAAGTCATTAAATTTTCATCTACACAACACTGGTAAACTTCGACCATTTATAATGTCTGATATCGCTAAAATGTTAACTAACGCTTTTGTTCTCTCCAAACTAGATTACTGCAATTCACTTCTATACCAATTACCAGCATCAGATATAGACAAGTCTCTAGAAAATTCAGAACAAAGCTGCAGTATTGTCTCTCTAAACAATCTGAACACATTACTCCAGTACATCAAAACCTTCATTGGCTACCAGTTTATCAATGAATTAATTTTAAAATGGCATTTTAACTTTTAATTGTCTAAATAATAGCTGCTCCTCACAGTATCTTATTGAACTTTTAACACCGTATAAACGATGTAGGAACCTGCACTCTGCTGATAAAAACTTACTTCACGTTCCTACAGTAAAAACTGGTGAAAGGGTTTTTGTTTACGCCTCTTCTAACGTGTGGAATGAATTAACTAGTCATATAAAAAAAAATTTACTAATGTTTTTTTTTTTAAAAAGAATCTTAAAACTAAACTTTTTAAACTATGAACATGTTGACATTTTAATGTTTTTAGAACTATTTGTTTTACCTTGTATGTATTTTGATTGTGAAGAGTGCCCTGAAGCAGCTTGTTAGCTGGAGCACTCCACGCTATACAAATCAATCATTATTCTCTTCTTCAAATATCATAATTATGTATGTTACAGGTCATGGTGAGGATTTGTTTGTATGAAGAATTGTCTACTGGGGCACTTTATCATGGCTACAACCTAATATTTTCAAAACATAGGAAAAACTGTATTCACACTTTATTTAAATTTTTTCTACATTATATTTTATAAACAATAACAACTGCTGACACAACACTGAAGATACAATAAAATAACAAATCTAAATTATATGCACTCTTATCCTGGCAAATTGGCAACTATATTAAAATTTGTAGACGGTAAAATGACCTTCTCTTGAAGTATCTATATATCTTCCTATTGATGGTTGAGTCATGACTCAACGAAATCTATCCTTAAATCAAGGTTATAAAACAATAAAAACATTCAACTTATACATAATGATCAACAATCAACATACTATAAAAAAAACATTCAACAATCAACATACAGTAAATAATACAAATTTTAAAAGTTTGCTGTTAAATTTTAAATGACACGTAAAGAAAAGTAACAGTTAAAAAATATGTTTTTTGTTTATCTTTGCAAATTGCTTGTAGTTTATAATATATACTACATGTAATACTTGACTACATGCTAATTAATATAATATATACTACATTGTAATACTTGACTACATGCTAATTAATATTCTTGAGTAATCTTTTGACAGATTACATGTAGTTAAAAAAAATAAGAAAAAGGTTCTAATGTTCTGTGATTGTCATTATTACTTTCTGTGTATTAGATGCGAGTCATACAATACTTTCCAAGATATAGCAAACAATTCTATATATACCATAATAGAACTAAGTAATTATTCTGAGATTCAAAAATATTTGTAATTAGGGGGGTTGGATGGTCGATTGGTGGTTAGCGCATGTGCATTGTATCGTAAGGTCTGTCATTGAGTCATCTGGCGTGGTTTCGATTCCCCGGTTGTACATGACAAGAAGTAGGGTCGCCTGTCCAACCTCGTGGGTTTTCTCCGGGGTGTCTGGTTTCCTCCTACTGCTAAAGACCCCCCAAGTGCAAGCATATTATTGAAATCAAATTGAACCATATGTTAGTCCCGAAATGACCTAGTTTGTGTCGAGTGGACATTAAACACCATTTCTCTCTCTCTTTATAATTATAATATGACTACCAGTAGTTTTAAAAATTACAGGACCTTATATGATCAATAATAGAGTGTCAATTATTTATTTATTTGAGGTTTCTGATGCTTTAAACAGTCAAAAATAAAAGTTGTAAAGAGAACCAACTTTGTCTACATTATTAGAAATCAAAAGTTAAACATACATTATGTAAGAGCTAAATCTGCCTATTGCAGGTCTTTCTTTAGGCCTGAAATGTTATCTAAATTAATAATTAGACATTAATTAACTTATCTAGACCATAATCAACTCTTGATGCCATCGCTACCCTGAGATATTTACTGATTTGAATACATTTTGTGATGGATAATTTAACGTCAAAATGGATAATCCTGACTTTGTTTTTTATTGTACAGACTTTAGTAATGATGATCGAGACTGGGCCAAAAATTCAATCACTAATATCTTGGTTCAGAGTGGAGAAATTTGACTGAAATTTTAAGCACCACATATTCTCTTCTTCATTAGCCCAGTTCGGAGCAGAATAGTAGGAGGTGAAACCCCATTTCATATCATTTCTATTTTTTATCTGTTATAGCGAAAACTGTCATCTCTTTATCTAATCTCCCATAATGCCCCTTTAATTGTATGAATTAAATCCAAATAATGCACCAGTTGTTCAAACTTAACTCTTAATACTTACATCAATCAAAACAGTCCTGTCCTTTTAATCACAAAGATCAATCAATATTTAGATTTGGGTCAAATTTAAACTGTATAAAAAAAATCACTATATTAACGGTTATAGTATACCACAAGCATAAGATATAAATGATTGTACTAAAATAAATTATAATAAGTTAAGATTAGAAATATATAAATCTATAATATTTTGCTGGCACAAATGATTGTAAAAAATACTTGATTCTATCACAATAAATAAACAAGATATTAAATAATTCTGATCAAATTAGAAACTACACTTGAAACTATTTTCATAGTTACAATTAATGCACTTCATTTTGATAACAGGTATGACTGAACCTTATGAGCAGGCAGCTCTCATATCACATTCCAAGTTTCAAAATTACCATTAGTCTGTGTACAATAACCTTTCTAATGGATTACAGAACCCCTAAAACATTAATTCAACTACCAATACATTTTTATTTTAAAAAGTATCAGATTTCTTTTTCCTATGAATTAGTTTCTAAATTCCATTAGCAAAAAAAAACTGTTGAACAACAAATAGAACATTGGCCTTTTTCAGACATTGAATACTAATGCCAAATATAGAGATACAGGTCTGATTTGATTTTAAATGCCCACATTTCTTAGAATTACCAACTCTACTACAACTGAGATATTATTGGCTGATCATGAAGAACTTTATCAAAATTATTTGCTGATCATGAAGAACCTCATCAAAATTCAGACTTAACAATCAATTTTATCAGTATCCTGATAAAAGCTCATATACACATATCAAATTAAAGTTTTATCCTTTTTCCAAGGATATAATATAATGATTGATTTTTAAACTTTTGAGACAGGCAACCATCACTAGTATAACAATAACTTAATATCACATTTTCTTTGGTAATTAAATAAATATCCCATGCATATCTTTCATCTCTAAGATACTTGTCAGCTTATTGATCACTTCTAAAAGAACTGATCTTTTTTTTTTTAATTCTTGCTATCAACTCCTTCCATCCAAACAGTCAAAACAATATGGCACTGACATTTGTCTCTCAAATAATCTATTTCAGGTCTTTCCTAAAATTCACATCTTCAATACAAAGCTTTAGAGTTGATCTTATTGTATTGAACAGATTGTACTTGATTTCTGATTCTTAACTTCTGATGTAGCCAGTCGCAACGCTCGCCTCTGATTTGCTGAAATAACAAATGATTTGCCTAAATATTTGATGGAGTAATACCTTTCAACCAATCATACAAATTTTATAAGAAAGGTGACTTTGGAATGTCCAAATAATTTGATGAGTTAACTATTGAAAGTACATCATGGGTCAATCAGATAACTAAAGATATAAATCTGTATACTGATTATAGGTTGTACCTTGCCTTGTTGGTTAAAGATTTAGCATTAACTGCAAAAATATTTCAAATGTCTGAGACATAAGTTATGTTATCCAAAATGGACTGGGGGTTGGATGGCCGATTGGTTAGCGCGTGTGTGTTGTATCATAAGGTCTGTCATTGAGTCAACTGGCGTGGTTTTGATCCCCCAGTTGTACGTGACAAGGAGTAGGGTCACTTGTCCAACCTCATGTGTTTTCTCCAGGTCCTCTGGTTTCCTTCCACTGCTAAAGACCCATACGCACAAGCAAATTATTTAAATAAAATTGAACCATATATTAGTCCCGAAATGACCTAGTTTGTGTCAAGTGGATCTTAAACCCCATTTATCTCTCTCTCCAAATTGGACTGCTTCGCCCTAAGTTTAAACATTTTTTATCAAAATAATCTTGTAAAAGTTCTTTCAAATTAAATACTCTTAAGGATAAATGGGGATTGATTGATTCCTAAATGATATTTTAATAACTGAAATATTTGGTGTTCACGGATAGGTAATTTGTGATTAAGTTATTTGAATTTAAAGTTACCTTTCAAGTAAACATCTCGATCAAAATTACCTGCTGCAGACATGACACTGAAAAAAAAAAAAAAAATTGGAATAGTATTAAAGGGACTATCCCTTATTTGAACAGAGTCTCAAAAATAAAAGGCCGAGTTTGTATGAAATTTAAATGCCAAAATATAGAGGAATGGTGTATTGACCGTATCTCAAAATTTCAGCTCAAAATATTGAGTCGTTTGGACATGACCGTCAAAACTGCTTATCCGGGCACGTAACCCTTTTAAGATTTTGGGTCAATTTTTTCCTTGGGGGCCTGATAATCGATTCCCGTTCATTGAGAGGTCTTTACAGTGATTGACCCAAATGCTATACTTGATAATGAAAGATAAATTTCACCTACACATTATTTTTATACAAAAAATGTCTGGTTTTATCTAGACACCGCATAATACAGCTTGGGACACTGGTCTCCATTTCCAGATGAAGACTGACAGTTTTCAGTTATTTGAAAACTTATCAAAAATATTGTGTTAGTTGCTCGGCCCTTAGGTAGAGGATTTTAAGGCATTTTAAAACAAAATTAAACAGTTTTATTCTCCCAAAAATTATTGGTATTAGCCCTTTAAACATGTGGTGAGAAGTCAGATATATAAATACAATTATCTGATAAAAACTATTTTTTTTATAACTGACATGATAACTTTATACCTTCAATACAAAAAGGAAAACATTAGCTAAAAACTTCCAAATAAAAGGAAATACAATAATAATAATTAATTTATATAGTGCTGACAATTCAACTCAGCGAGCTGCTATCGGGCAATTTACATAAGCACAACTAATATAAAATTACAACAATCACAACACATTAAACATACATTATACAAGAGCTAAATCTGCCTATTGCAGGTCTTTCTTTAGGCCTGAAATATTATATAAACTATTAATTAGTCATTAATTAACTTATCCAAACCATAATCAACTCTTGATGTCAACTTATGTATCAGATTTTCACTGGATTGGAATCCAATTTGCTGCTCAACGCTCATTGATGATTAAATCCAAAAATGGATAATCAAGACTATGTTGGGTTTTTTTCGTACCAACTTTAATAATGATGATCGATACTAGGCTTAAAATTCAAAAGCTATAATCTTGGTTCATAGTGGAGAAATTTGACTGAAATTTTCAACATCTTCTAATTTACTTCTATTTACGTTATCTATTTTTTAACTATTATAGCGAGAACAGTCAACTCTCTATCTAATCTCCCATAATGTATCTTTATTCCATAAAGATAGGTTGCCAGGCAATGAAACATACGCCGACAGCAGCTAAATCGTCCGAGTGGTCGACAAGGGTTGTCGCACATTTATTCTTTTGTAGATAATTGGGGGCATTTATTTACAAGACAATTTCATACAGATCTCAGATTATAATTTTCGGTGTTTGAGGGTTCACAAGGTTTTACAAACTGAAATAAGGGCATTAACTCTGGAAGTAATTTACAGAAATTGTTGATATTTGACTGGCTTTTTCATTTTACTAATTCAAATAATGTATATAAATTTCATACAGTTTGGATTATAATTTTTGCCATGTGAACGTTCACAAGTTCAACAAAGTAAAACAAGGGCCATAAATTTAGAAGTAATCAACACAAATTGCTGAAATTCAATAGGATTCTTGATTTCACTAATTTGAATAATGCATATAAATTTCATATAGATCGGATGATAACTTTCATCATTTGAGCATTCACAAGGTTCAACAAGGACCATAACTCTACAACTAATTATTTGAAAATGCTTAAATTCAATAGGATTCTTTGTTTCACTAATTTAAATGATGTATATAATGATGCATATAAAGTTCAACAAAGTTAAACAAGGGTTATATAACTCTAAACTTAATTATTGGAAATTGCTGAAATTCAATAGGAGTCTTCGTTTCACTAATTTAAATGATCTGTGTAAATTTCATACAGATCGAATAATAATTATTGTCGTTACAGCATTTACAAGGCGCAACAAAGTGAGACAAGGGCCATAACTTCAGAAGAAATTAACGGAAATTGATGAAATTCAATGTGATTATTTGTTTTACTAATCTAAATGATGCATATAAATTTCATGCAGATCGGATAATAACTTTTGTTGTTGGAGCGTTCACAAGGTTCAATATAGTGAACAAGGATAATAACAAGTGAAACAAATACCATAACTTAATAAACGGAAATTGCTGAAATTCAATATGCTTCTACGTTTCACTAATTTAAATGATGCATATAAATTCCACACAGATCGGATGATAACTTTTGTTGTTAGAGTGTTCACAAGGTTCAACTAAGTGAAACAGGGCCATAACTCCAGAAGAAATTAATGAAAATCATTAAAATTCAATAGGATTTTTCGTTTCACTAATTTAAATGATGCATATAAATTCCATACAGAACGGATGATAACTTTTGTCGTTGGTGCTTTCACAAGGTTCAACAAAGTGAAACAAGGACCATAACTCTAGACATAATTAACAGAAATTTCTGAAATTTCATAAGTGAATCAAGGACCAAAACTCCAGAAGAAATTAACGAAAATTATTGAAATTAAATAGGCTTCTTCATCTCACTAATGTAAACAACATATATCAATTTCAAAACAATCAGATGATAAATGTAGTCTGTAGAGTGTTCGCAAGAAATTGTGGACGATGGACTGACGTACGTACGGACGGGGGCAACGACAATATACAACCACATTTTCATGTGGGCGTATAAAAAAGACAAACAAAAAACACTGAACATTATTTAATACACATGGTAAAAGTCTGAGACAAACACAGCTAGAACCGTATTCAATCAGCTGTATATTTGATTAAAAAATTCGGTTTTAAGATACTTTTTAAAACCTTTAATAGGATATGCGCTTTTGGTTTCATTTGATATTGAATTGCGAAAGATCTATGGTTCAGAAGAAGGCTCAACAGCTATATAAATTTGTGTGGCGTCGGCATACAGATGGTAGTTAAGACCGTGTTTATGAATGACATTTCGTAAAGATGTTGTGTATGTAGTAAATAATAAAGGACCGAGAACAGAACCCTGTGGCACGCCATACTTTAAAACCGTTGAATTGGATGGGAACCTTCATAACAACTGTCTGTGTATGGTTTTCAAGGTATGACTGGAACCATGTAAGGTCTAGTACACTTACACCAAAGTTGTTCAGCAATCTCTTAAAAGGAATTTGGTGGTCTATCATGTACAGTCAAACGCAGCGCTAAGATCAAGCAGAACTAGTACTGATTTTGAACACATAATGGGGTTTAGCGTCCTACTTTTCTGGACCAACTGGTCTAATAACGATAAGCATATGCCAAGCGGTGTGCTACGCGGGAATTTTACCAGGACAGCTACTGCCTACTCTTATTTCCAATTCCAACCATCCAGCATTATTTTACATGTACACCAACATGTACAATGGACCTCTGTTTTTAGTCCCATCTGAATGACTAGACACTATTTCTTGTCAGTCCTCTGTCCTGCACCATTGACCCAAACGAAACCACACCAGAAAATTATGAGGAACTTTCCTGACCAACACTGTGAGCAAACCTTGAACATTTTGGTTAGCTAACTTAAAGATACATTATGTAAAATTTAGATAAAGAACTAGCCATTCTTGCTATAATAGTTCGAAAGTAGATGATGTAAAATGAATAATTTGAAAATTTCATTCAAATTACTCTATTGCAAGCAAAGATATTAGCCTTTGAAGGTTTGACAGACGTGTGCAATAATTTCAACCACCGTACTGGTTGATCGAAGCTAAGTCTCGGTCCTCCATATTTGATTAAATCAAACTATCGTTGAACCATTCTAATCTATTTAATATAGGAGAAATCTGACGCCATCGAGAGTTGATTAAGGCCTGGATCAGTTAATTAATGTCTTATTAATACTTTAGAAAACATTTCAGGCCTAAAGAAAGACCTGCAATAGGCAGATTTAGCTCTTGCATAATGCATGTTTAATCTCTCAATTTCTAAATTTCACATTTTTTGAAGTGGTACTCCCTAACTTTTCGTGTCCAGCACCTCTGTTTAGTTACACTATTGGTCTCTATATACAATAACTGTACTTACAAGTCTCTCCCTGGTTTAACAGCCATTTGGTATATACCATAAACTGGTTTATGATCAGACATCATTACAGACATAACAGAATCATAGTGTAAACATGATATATGATTTTTTTTCTTAGATCGGAATAAAATCCTATCCTGTAAAACAAAATAATAGAATATGATTAAAGGGTAAAGTATTGGATTATACACAATATTTACTGAAACCAAAATAAATTATCATAAAGCATGGACCATGGTAAAATAAATTTGTTTACAATCTTGTCACCACAATTAATTTTGATTCCAACACCATGTCCGGACGAACTGGGGGATGACAATATACGTCCACACATGAAAATGTGGCCGCATAATAAAAATGTGACAGCCTTTATGAACAGGGGGATGACAATATACGTCCACACATAAAAATGTGGGTGCATAATAAACATGTGACAACCTTTATGGACATAGCTGTGGTGAGTATGTTCTATACAAGCTGTTAATTTGTTATAATTAATCAATTTTACTCACAGTATAAGCCGGTATTCTACTCTTAACAGATGTATCATAGTTATCACTATTTACATCATATTTATAAGTTGGACGGAAATTTATTCTACCTTCTTGAAAACCGTGAAATATTTTACCTGAAATGATAAGTATTCATTAATTATGCATTTAGTAAATTCTACATCATTATACTCTAGCTAATAAGATATGCTGTAACAAACTATTTTCTATCCCCACAATCCACATAACATCAAAACAAGGTTGAGATGTCTAATGTTAGATGCAGAATATCATATGATGTTTTCATATCCATATTTTCCCCACTGATTACATGGACAATAGGCTAGTAGAGGAGATTTTAACCTTGTTATGTTTTAACACTTTTAACTACTACAATGTACCAGAATATAAACAAACCTTCAGTTATAGTTTTAGTTAGTTGATCTCCACGAGTTAAATCTTCATAATTAGGAATTGAAGATTCTGTTATTTCTGTTACTTTTCCTTCAACAGCAGACTTTTTTCTATCTATTCTAAAATTAAGATCACCACACCAAAATACGCAATCAAAGTTAGCTGTCGCATCTGAAATAAATCGATTTGCTAATAAATATTTTAATCTGTGGTAACTCAGTTGTTGCTATGCTAGACTAAAACCTTGGAAGGATCCCTGGTGGTTCAATGAGCAAGGCCTTGGTTATACCAAGAATGTTCCTCTGAATTTTTCAACATGGTTTCCCTTGTGAGTGCTAAACGTGCATAATGGAGGCATATCAAAAGATCAGAGGAGTAGGAGTATACATGAAAAAAACATGTGAAAATTGGAATTTGGTGAAGAGTAGTCATAAATGCTGAAATCTTGGGAAAATTTCCCTCAGTCGTTAGCCCAGTCAGAGACGAAAAGCAGGACATCAAACCCCATTTCACTTCCAAAACCTTGGCAGATAAAGGTTTGAACTTTATCGTATTTTGATTTACTTATGATCAGCATAATTTATCTTTACCTTTACTTGTACTTGTTGAAGATCTGGGTAATTTTAAGCCACTAATGATTTTCTGATAATCTAAAATTCTCTCTTTTTTTCTACTTTGATCGGCTGAAAAACAACAAATGTTAAATGTAATACGTAATTTAACATTATACACAATCAAAAGTACTCTAATAAAGTTTAGACTTTTAGCTACTTTGTAATCAGTTTTTCGTTTTATGATCCAGAAAGCAGAATTCATATTTATATAAATGTGCATTTACCATAAATGGGGCGGGGTCAGTTCCCATTGGTAAACCAATTGTTTGTTGAATTATCTGATCCCCAACCTCAAACATGGCATAGTCAAAATGAGAAAATGTATAATGTTTTGAAACTTTTCTTCATCAAAAACCAGTGTCGGCATTGCAACGTTTTATAATCCATTTAGCATCTTCTGAGTAAATGGCCATCAAGTTTCTGCCTTTCCCGAAAGCTCCATTAAAAGTTTTATCCACAAACCAATCCAAATTATCTTTTAGATCTGAATGTTGAAGGATAGTATATCAATGGAACAAAAAGTCAATTAATGGTAATACTTACAAGTTAGATGACAATTAATAAATAAGATGGAGCTACCAAAAAATGACAATGATATAGCAATAGCACCTTTCGTTTTTACCATAGTTACAGCTCGTGTTGATATTATATCGTCTTCTGGTACTGTATAACAGAAACATCCAAAGCTATTAATATCGTCGATTTTGAAATATCCGCTTATAATAAGTGGAAATAGTTTAAAGTCTCTGAAGTACAATATTTTAGTTTAAACAATATTTTAGTTTAAACAATATTTTAGTTAAAACAATATTTTAATCATTTGAAGAGGATTGAACAACAGACAAGGCCTATATGGCTGTGACACAAAAACATGCACATGTAGCCATTTCAAAACCCTTAAATGCATAGATGGGAATACATAATTAAATAAAATAAATGATTTGCTGACGAAGAAAGTAATTTGGAATTAATGTTTAAAGTTACAAATTATATCTACCTGAGCAAAACCATATGAGATCTCGATGTATAAAAACAGCTAAATGTAATGAACCATGAGTAACAGAGTGAAATAAAACAAATGTTGGTCCCAATATCTCTTGTATATGAATTTCCCATTCTTTCCTGTAAAAATATAAGATATTGTCATAAATATCACACTATCGTTTATTCATAATATTCATACCAATAAAATGGTAAAGCAGATTAAATGTTGATAATGAGACTTAAGGGTCTATATGACTTTGGGTCTGTGAAACGTTGGGTCAACTTATATTGGCTAAAGTTTGAAAATATACTTCGAATAGTTCCATTAAACCATATATTTTTTCATAATTGTATTGTAATAAACCCCCAAGAAAGGAATTGAATTATTTACTATAAACAATATATAATAAAATCATTCAAGATCCCACTAAAACTTATCTATTTTTGTTATGAATGCCAGGATAAATTCCTGGTAGAAAACCATTTAAGGGCAAGGTAATAGGTACTTACTTATTCATAGCATTTTCTTGCGTACCAACAACATAAATATTTTGGACATACTTTATAGATTCAGGAAGCAGGAAGTCAGTCATGGATGATGATATGGACTGAAACAAGCCAACAGTGAGGCTGATGTCCCCCGCCGAAATCCCGTAATAAATAGATGACACATATTAATTAATTGCAAGTTTATCTTTTTTAAAAGTATCACGCAATCAAACTGATTATCAACTATACACTAAGTTTCATCACTCTCTATAAGATAGAATCAAAGTCAAAGAAATTGCTTAGCTCTGCTTAGATTTAGCAGGAAATGTTAATCATTGAACTCAGTCAAGACATTCACTTAATGAACATCAACATCGAGTTTAAACATTCTACCTCAATTAAAAGCAGAGTTGTTCTGTTCGGAAGTCTTGACCAATCAAATTGCTTATAGCTCCTTAGCCGAAGCAGAAAATTATCATTAAACTTAGTCAAGGTAATGATATAATGGATCTATACTCGGTGTTTCATAACTCTCACTTAATTATAACCAAAGTTATCGTGCCCAAAAGCATCAACCAATCAAATTGATTATCTCTGCTTGCTGTAAGCAGACAATATTCATCATTGAACTCCAACAAGGCATTCACCTAATGAACGTCTACACCAAATTTAAACATTCTACCTCAATTAAAAGGAGGGTTATTGTGTTCCAAAGTCTTAAACCGTCAAATTGCTTAATGCTCTGTTTACCCTGAGCAGAAAACGCTTATTATCGAACTTGGTCATTCTACCTCAATTAGAAGCAGAGTTATTGTTTTCAAAGTCTAGACCAATCAAATTGCTTATCGCTCTGCTTACCCTGAGCAGAAAATGTTCATTATCAAACTTTGTCAAGGTATTGACGTAATGAAACTATACACCAAGTTTGATCACTCTCACTTAAACATACATTATGCAAGAGCAACATCTGATTATTGCAAGTCTTAATTAGATCTTTATTTAAACAACAAGCCCAAAATCAACTCTGTAGACCCACGGATGGCTCGGCTACAGCTCGGATTTAAATAGAATTTCACTTATTAATTAATTCAAATATGGCGCATCCTGATGATAATGCGTCAGTTAGATCGAGGCTAAATGATAGAGTGTACTTAGCGAGGCCGCTGTAGAGCGTTTCCGCATGCCATTAAAAACTTTACTTGATAATCGAGATATGTAGGTGGAGTTAACGCCTGTCAATCAAACGATCGCCCAAGGTGACGGCACATTTCACTACCATTTCTAGTCAAATATTACAACGATGATAACTATGTTCAGAATAAAGTAATTTGACTGAAATTTTCAATATATTCTTCTTTCATCATCTACTTTTGAACTGTTATAGCAAGAATGGCCAATTCTCCATAAAAATCTCCCATAATGTATCTTTAATTAGAACTAAAGTTATTGTGTCCCAAAGCACCAACCAATCAAATTGCTTATCTCCGCTTACCCTAAGCAGAAAATGCTCACCTTTAAACTCCATCGACCTAATAAACACCTACACCAAGTTTGAACATTCTGGCTTAATTAGATGGAGAGCTATTGTGTCCCAAAAAGTGTGACAGACAGACAGACGAACACATTTTAATAGTCCACTGCTTTCTTCGAAAGGCGGGGGATAATAAGTAGTACAATAATTATATATAAAATTAATTATAATGAAAGGACATTGCCAAAATTAATGGCCTAGAGAAAAACATGGCAAAAACCAGAATTCTACATGTGAATTCCCAAATGTATGATCTGACTGAAGTGTCATAGTCAACTAGCTGGGCAGTTTGGGCAATCAAGAGAGAAAAATGGGGGTTTAACTCATTTAACGTCCACTCGACACAAACTAGGTCATTTCAGGACTAACATATGGTTCAATATTATTTCAGTAATTTGCTTGTGTGTAGTGGTCTTTAGTTGCGAGAGGTAAACCGGGGGACCTGGAGAAAACCTACGAGGTTGAACATGCGACCCTACACCTTTGTCACGTACAAGCAGGGAATCAAAACCACGTCACTTGACTGAATGACAGAACTTATGATCTAACGCACACGCATTAAACTATTCCCCCTCGTCTTTGGCAATCAAACTGAAGACAGTCCAGTTGCTCAACTCGAATCTGTAGTGCAATGTAGGCATATCCATCAAAGCAGAATAATGACAACTTTTACTTATAAATGACAAATATAACAACTAAATGTATTATGGATGAAAAAAAAACCAAACCTAATATTCACATTATGATATTATGGTGATGGTTTCATTGTTGTGTTTGCTTACCTTAATTTCTTTCATATTCCAAGAACCAATCCAAACATGGATTTGTCTATCGGGAAAATAACGCTCCAACTCCTCAGCACCCATTAAAGATGGAGAACTTAGAATACCAGCATCACTCTGACTTCTAATGAAAATAAAATCATTATTTTAAATCACTCTATAAATAGACATAGGTTGTTAGGCAAAACACTAGTTGCAAAGTAATCACCATATGAAATTTAAACCAGCAGTGGCCAGGCAAGATACGCCCACATTTTGCACGAGATGGAGAGAGAACAAGATATGAAAAAAGCAAATTTTCGTACAATCAAGGGCCATAATCCAGGAAGTTATGGTCTAAAATGTGTGAATATATCGAAATGGACTGATATAAATGGGATATAAAGATATATTTTAAGTTTCGTCAAAATCGGATAAAAACTGTGACTTCTTTTAGAGAGCCCACAACCTTGGTATTACATACTTTTACACTATTTGCGCCCAAGGAGCGGCCATTTTGTCAGGCAGTTTCAGCCCAATTTTCATGAAATTTGAACTCAACCGTCATTATGGTGTAATGGTGACATATTTGAATGGTTTTCCAAATCAAATAAAAGTTGTGGCCTCTAGAGGGTCCAGAACCTAAAAACATGATTTTACGTATATTCATGCAGGGGCCATATTCCATGAAGTTTTGGTCTGATATAGGGTGTAATGGTGATACATTTAAACGATGTAACAGTGATATATTCGAATTTTTTTTTAAAATCGGATAAAAATTGTGACCTCTAGAGGGTCCACAAGCTAAAAATGTGATTTTTTGTACAATCAGGGGTCATAATCCAGGAAGTTACGGTCCAATATGCGCACATATCGAACGGAACCAAGATCTTTGGATTAATATCAAACAAGTTTCATCAAGATGGGATCAAATTTGTGACCTCTACGTTCTAGAGGGTCCACAACCGTGATATACCATATTTTTACATTATTTAAGTACGTGGGGCGACCATCTCGTCAGGCAGTAATGATCCGATTTTCATGAAATTTAAAATTAACCTTCATTACGGTGTAACTGTGATATATTCGAAAGTTTTTTCAAATCAGATAATATTGTGACCTCTAGACAGACAATAAGCAGCTAAAACTGTGATTTTACGTACAATTAAGGGCCATAATTCAGGAAGTTACGGTCCGATATGTGCGAATATTGAAAGGAACCAAGCGCCTTGGGTTATAAACGTATATTTCAAGTTTCATCAAAATTGGATCAAAATTGTGACCACTAAAGGGTCCACAACCTTACCATATATTTACACTATTTGCGTACGAAAAGTGGCCATTTTTTCCGGCAGTTTTGGTCCCATTTTCACGAAATTCGAACTCAGCCATCATTAGGGTGTAACGGTGATATATTCAAACATTTTTTTTTAATCAGATAAAAATTGGGATCTCTAGAGGGACCACCAGCTAAAAACGCGATTTTTCGTACAATGCCCAAATAGCAAAAGGAACCAAGATCTTTGTGTTATAAACATGCTTTTCAAGTTTCATCAAAATCAGATGAAAATTGTGACCTCTAGAGTGTCCACAAGCTAAAAACGTGACTTTTTGTACAATCAAGGGCCATAATCCATGAAGTTTTGATCCCAAACATTCCAATATCGAAGGTAACCAAGATCTTTTGGAAATAAACCTATATTTCAAGTTTCGGCAAAATAGGATAAGAATTGTGACCTGTAGAGTGTCCACAAACAAATTATGGACGGACAGAGGCGACGACAAAATACATCCACATGAAAATGTGGGCGTATAAAAAGATCAGATCATGCCATACAAAATATGGTTTGGGTTTTTTTTGTGTTTTTATTTTGTCAAAACGTTAATGTGGCTAAATTACTCATCACGTTGCAAGGTTCTGCATTTAACATTAGATTTTTTTCATACTTCATAAGAGACAGTACCACAAGCTTGACTACCATATTTATAGACCAACAAACGCTATAACTGACCTCTGGGATTCTTTTAGCCTCTATTGTGCTAACAATAAGCATATGACAGGGGTGACAGTGATATACAAATAGGCATAAAAAATGTGGTCCTATAAAAAGCTTATATATAGCCTATTTGTCAAACTATAACTGTTTGCTGAGCCAGAGGAAACAATTTTTTGTTAGTATTTCAAAATTTGGACTAACCTTGATCGAGCTTCTTTCGTTGTCATTACAGGGATCGCCCCTACGGATGCATATGATTTCTGTGACATGTTATCAGTTGCAATATGTGGTGCCGAATCTGAATTCCCAAATAAATTGGACGGATTTGTTATCTCTGTTTTATATTTAGTCCTTAGAGCAGGAGAGCTAAAATTACCAGGTAAGGGAGGAGGATGTTTGAGAGGGGTGAGAGGAGCTAATCTAGGAGAAAGGAGTTTAGAGGGTGAATGTCCAGGAGATTGCAATGGAGATGCATGATTAAATAATCTATCCTCGGCTGCACTACGAGGTGTGTCTAATTTGTCATTCAATATCTTTTCATAATTTTTTGCCAACTCACGCATCTCAGTTTCTGAACCATTACTTAGTCTGTCGGCTATGGGACTGTCTATATCTTTCACATGTTTGTTTTGTAAAGCACAAGGATCAATTGTTAATTCTATATTTTTTAATCTTGGTGATTGATGAGAATCTTTTATAACTGTTTGCTTATGATTTAAAGGTGAACTTTTGGCCTCTGTGTCTGCTTCCTCGCCAGACGATATATTATCTTTGATAACGGATTCACCTTTTGTTGCACCTTTGGAGCGTGGAGTGGTTGGCGGTTTAGGCATAAATGGACCATTTTTTAATGACTCCACTGAGTTTGACCTTTGATGTGAAAGGCGTAGATTTCTGTGCCTTTGTGATTTTTGAGATGTTTCTGATGGGCTAACTATGGCTTCATCTGTTTCACCAGTTGATTTTCCTGTATTAAAACCTTCATCTAAATCGATAGGTTCAGGATTTTTTGGTCGCACATTATCACTGTTATGACGAGGCCTGGGTTTTGGTTTTGAAGAATTGTCTGAAAAGGCAGCATCTATTATGCTTTTATCCTTTGTTTTATCTTCAGATTCATTATATCTTTCACGTTTCATAAGTCTTTTAGAGTTTGTTGAGACATTACTGACATCATCATTTTTAGAAGAACTAGTCACACGAATTATATCATCATGCTTCGTTGACACATGGATAACATCAATATCACTGTTATGTTCATTGTTACTTATTTTCAAATCTTCACCATTTACTTCACCTTTATTGTCAGTTTTGATATCAGATTGACTTCTTAAAGAAACCAAGGAACCATTTTTTCTTTTCTTTTCTGCTAGTTTGGCTGCCATTCCTTTTTTCTTAACTTTTGGTTGCTTCTTTGTTATTGGTTCATCCATTGTACCAATAGTACTTGTATCTTCGATCATGTTCATATTGATATTGGACATCCTCCACCAGCTTCCCGAGGTGGGCTTACTCTCTAAACTATAAAACACATAAAATAGTATTATAATAAATTACACATTGACAAAAAGTGTTCAAATTCATCACTGATAAGAGTGTTTTTGGCTGTGTGTAAAAACTTGGTACAGGTATATGCTTAACAGAGCATAAGGCCAACATAATAGAATACCTCATTTTTCAACCCTCCATGTTTCGAGATAAGAGATGGTGCTAATATAGTTCCACGTAGCAAAGCCCAACGCAAATCACATCAGGCCTTAGTAAGTAAAATTGACAATATTTTTCATCAAAACAACGATGATTATTGTTATTTGTGATATTTCTGCCACATCCAATAACGCATATAATTCTACCTGAAACGGGTATAAATCATCGTATTTAAAATCGAGGCGTTAAGTCGTTACTAGGAACACCATTTTTAAACGAGAGATGTATGGTGGTCTATGTCGGATAAAAACAATGCTTCATTAATTTAAACGTGAATACTTGGAGTTAGGCGAAAGTTTTGCCACTACATTGGCCTCTGTAAGTTTAATTAGTCATAATAGTATAAAAATTATCTTATTTTTAAGATGTTACATACATTAATAAAGAAATTGAATTTGCCACTTGGAACTAAAGGCACCCAATCGTAGCTAAAAACAAGCACATCAGCATATCTCAACATTTATAGCTACGTTCTTATAGCTACACCAAACAATATACAGTGATTGAAGCAAACAAAACCATTTCCAAACATTACAATTGATAACATAGTGTAAGCTTACTGGATTTGTAATAATGGCTTTAAAAAGAACTTCGGCAGTTTTTTAAAAAGGCAATTATTAAACAACCACACAACTATCTATATATGGCTAAGTATTTTTAATTAAAGTGTAAACAGGTCCTATAAATTAAACATGCATTATGCAAGAGCAAAATCTGCTTATTACAAGTCTTTCTTTAGGCCTGAAATGTTATCTAAATTATCAATTAGACATTAATTAACTTATCCAGACCATAATAAACTCTCGATGTCAAGGCTAGCCTTCGATGTTGGCTGAATTAGATTTCTATATGCCGCTTAACGGCCATTGATAATTAAATCAAAACAGTGGATAATCGAGACTATGCTGTTTATATTAATGATTTTAGTAATGATGACCGAGACTATGCGAAAATTTCACCCGCTTCTTTCTCGGCTCATAGTGGATCAATTTGACTGAAATTTTCAGCAAATTACCTTTACACTATCTAGTTTTTAACCATTATAGTGAGAACTGCCATCTCTTTATCTTATCTCCCATAATGTATCTTTAATTTAAATATAATGTAATTTGCAAAAGGTAATGTTAGATATATTTGAACAATGCAAGCCACCCAATCTAAACAAAACCGATTGTTCTATTATGTTCCCTAAGATATTCGTCACCTGGCTGGGTGAAACTTTCGGCAGAGAGAAAGATAGAGAAACCGCCAATTAATGTACATGGTAGTCTTAATTATTAATAGTAATACATGTCCAAGTTCCGTGGTCAAGGATTAGGGTTAAGTTTTTGGTTAGGCCAAAGAAAAAAAATGTTCTGTTTCTGGTAACCTGACCGACCCATCACAAAACCTGCCGACTCTTAAAAAAATTTTAGTGTCGAGAAATAAAAAAATTTTTTTGTTCAACAAGCGACCGTTCAGAATACTCAAAACCTACCAGATTCGTGAAAATGCCTATATTATTTGTTGCTATAAATGAATATAAATGTCATCGTTCTTTGAATCTGCATTTACCGATCGGAATAGGCGGCTACTGTACAGCGAACGATTATTAAGAACTGCCATACTGTTGACGCGAGATTGCTAACTGGCATGAAACTCGAGACTACAGGTTTCGTACAGATTCACCACTGCACATTTCGAAAAGCTATAATCCTCACAACCTTCGTCCTAATAAGCAACGGCACGCAATTTGAGAAAAATAAGTGAATGTATATTTCAAACAGGTGGATAGGATCTGCTCGATTGGTATTTAAAACAAGATAAATAAATTTAATATGGACCTATTTCGTGCGACTTTACGATATGATTTTTTTAACTTTTCAGCGCAAGTTTTTCCAAAATGGCCTCCGGATGCTAATTTTTTTTAGCATTATAGAACGATTAAAAAGTCCATTTGCTCCCGAAAAGAATATTTAAATCATAATCTAGCCTATGATACATTTTAAACAATTATCCAAGAATTCCATCCACCAATCTATTTGTGCTTCATGTTCCCTGGCGCGGACTCAACCTAACATAAAATTGAAGATTTTTGCACAGAATATTATATGCTGAGATAGATTTACTACTAAGATCTAACAATGTAACATTGAAAAAAAAAGAAAAAAAACCCTACCCTTTTTTCCATCCGGTTACAGGAAACAGATTCCTCTTTTATTTTTGGGCCTTAGCAAAAAAAAAATGACGAAATCACTCCTTGCCATCAGGCAGGCAAACACCCTCTGCCTTTGCAAAATTAACTTTTAATTAGGTAGAGTAACCACAATTAAAGAGTATGTACAAAAGAAAACTTGCATACGATACGTCGATAGTACAATGAATGAATATGATGATTTGTTGGAAGCACTGCCATAATTTTGAAGTGAATTTATAAGGACGTGTGTGATATTTTGCAGAATGACATTTAGCCACTATTATAGTTATTTCACTAATGCATACATATTTATCTTATAATAAGGATAATAAGTCAGTAGTAAGAGAAAATATTCCTTTTTTTTTCTTCTCACTCACTCACTGACACTGCATAGCAACAACGCAAACACCGGCATTGATTCTATAAATTTTCGATTTTTTCCAACACATATTAACTCCAGTTATATTTCATAATTGAAAATACTTACTAGAGTTTTTAAAATTCGGATTGTCTACCGAATGCAAACCAATAAAATTGGCTAAGTTGGTTGTATAATCTTATAATTAACCAAAAACATTATTTTGGTAGCCATTGTGGAATGCTGAATCTTATGCGCATGCTTAATGATTATAAAAACATTCGATTTCCGTTATAAATATTTACGACCGTTTTCCTCAGATAAACAAATAATTTATTTATCATTTCGAAAGTGACTCAGATTCTCAGGATGTAACAAGAATATATATCATTAATAAACAGAACTATGTATGTTGGATATTTTTTTAAATACATAAATTTGGTGACAATGTCGTAAATCCGCTGTTGTGTTCTCCTCCCCTGGAAAAACATACTAACTAAAGTAGGCTATAAGATGCTATTAATTAAAATATTAAAAAAATAAGTATGTTATATATTTGCATACAAGAGTATTACGGTCTTGGAGAAAGAACAATAAAAAAAACCATTGCCACGTTTTATTAGCTTCCTATTCACGAAGTATCTACCGGTAAAGGTAGGAGGCTGGAAGAGCCGTAAACAAATCGAATCGCACAGCAAAGTATTTGACAGGTGTGCGGCACACGACAGGAACCCCACAAGGTGTTTATTGGATACAAAGGATATAACAGTATGAAATATAAAGTGTGGAAAACAGTAAATTAACCGTGCAATAATATTTAAAATGACAGGTCCTGAAGTATTTCATAATAAACATAAACACGACGTATATTTGGAGCGACAAATTCAAGAGTCATTATTAATAGCAGACGATGAGTTTTCACGAAAAGACTTCCTTGACGTTATAAAGAAAACAAAACAAAATCCAACCAAAAAGAAAGGAAGAAAAAAAGCCGAAGACGATGAATTTTGTGAATTATCAGGCTGGGTGCCCGATAAAAATGTGTCGTATCGAAAAAGAGAAAAATGTGCTGAAGATAGTGGTAACAGTTCTAGTAGAGAGTTTATTTCTTGGAGAGACAGTCGAAGTTGTTCATTAGCTAGGCATCACTATATATTTAGGCATTATAAAGACACAAAACGATACATCGAACAATACCGAAAAGATTGCACATGTTCTAAAAATACCGGAATTCCATCTTCTAAAGAATACTTTGATTTAAAACGTTACAAAGAATACGAAAAATATTCAATGGTGCCGAATACTAAAACAATATCACAGAAGTCAGAACGTAAGGAAACAAACAGCAAACCACATACCGGTACCTTTTCTTATACAAACAGAAGTGTTTCCAACCCATTCAATGTGTATACTGACTTTTTCTCAGGAAAAAATGTAGGAAGGGTAATTGAGAGCGATGTGGAACAAATTTTACAATCGGATACGGATTGCAGTGCGCAAAATGATTTATTTGCCAGGAAATATACCCGACGAGAAAGTGCAACGTATAAATACGGCAAAAATAGCGCAACCGATATAACAACTACACCACTACCCGGTAATAATCATCAGAGGTGAGTTGGGTTGAGGTATCGCACATTATAGCAGGCAGATTCATTCTTGATCAATTATTAGAAAGATCCCCCCCCCCCCCGATCGTTAATCATGACGCATAAAATATTGACAGGTCGGTCAAAACTTCAAAACTAATTTGGACAAAGAGCGCAGAACAGAACATTTATTTTAAATTCATCGCTGATAGCTATTTTGATAATTGCCCTTTTTGGTTCAATAATATATACAGTTTGTTTTTAATCCTGCCTCGGATTGCACACGTATCCATTAATTTCTTTATAGTTAAAACAGAAAAGTAAGACACTAAACCCTATTTCACTCATTCATTTATAGTTAAAACTACATTGAAGTACGGGGGTTCACGTGGCTAAGTGGGTAAGACGCTGGCTCGTTAGCCTGGAGGTCGGGTGTTCGATCCCTGCATTGGCCGAGAAAGTTCATCCAGTTTTTTCCGTCGTGGTTTCCCCTTGTCAGTGATGCAGGACGGAGGGCCTGACAAGGACAGCTGTCTAGTCGTTCGGATGGGACGAAAAACCGAGGTGCACGAAAAAGATCACTTGGCAGTTGGAATTCGATATAAGAGTAGGCCGTAGCGCCGCTGCCCGGGCAAAATTTCCCCCATAGCACACTGTATGGCGTATGCCCGTCTTCATTAGCCCAGGTTAGGAGCAGAACAGTAGGACGTTAAACCCCATTTCATTTCATTTCACATTGAAGTACAGCTTGTAGGTCTGAAGTATATTTCGGCGCCAACGTTTCTGGTGTCGAACCTGGTACGAATAGCGGATCCCTATCTATAAATTACTAATATCGTAATATGATATGTAGATATATAGTCAATATCGGGTAATGATAATAACGCCCTGCCGCGCTGAAGATAGAAAAGAATGTTTTAACTTGGGTGTGGAAAAGACTGATGTAGTATTACGGCCAGACATCTGATTATCCGTGAATTAAATATCAGACGATAGTGATCATGGATTATTTACATTGTAAATTTGTCATTGGTTAATAAAATTGGTCCGACACTTACGATTCCTAAGAGATGTTGATATTAAAGGCAGGTAGGATTGTAACACATGGTTCAATTTTATTTCAATAATTCGCTTTCGCGTAGGGGTCTTTAGCAGTGGGAGGAAACCGTATGACCAGGAGAAAACCCACGAGGTTGGACAGGCGACCCTACTCCTTGTTCCCACCGGGGAATCGAAACCCCGCCAATTGACTCAATGACAGACCGCACAGCACGCACGTGCTAACCATTCGGTCATCCAACCCCCAGGTGGCTCTGTGACTAAGGTCCTGCCTCACTGATGGGGAGGTCCCAGATTCGATCTCGTTGTTGGCCGAGAAAGCTCGTTTCTCCGTGTCATTGATACAGGACCGATTCACTGGCAAGGAATACCGTCTATTCGTTCGGATGACGACAAACCAGGGTCCCCCCCCCCCTTTAATATGAAAACCACGTCCACACACTCGGAACAGATTGTATAACAGTATTATGTATAAGTTAAACTTAATAAGTATACTGGAGTTACGGGGACCGAGTGTCTTTGAATCTTCTATAGTATGTACTAACCCACACGAAAATGTTACGTCACCCATAGTTACCCGTATACAAGTATTACTGCACTGAGTAGATGTAGGCACTGCAAAAATGTTACATAAAATATTCAAGAAACCGTCTATAAGTATGCGTTTTGAGACACCAATCTATTCAGTAACACTACAGTGATCGAAATATCAACTGCTTGCTTGCTTTGAGTAGACTACCTTTATTTCACGTTTTATGAAGCGGTTATATTGATTAAGAATTGACCGATTTCCGCCTAATCCGATTAATAGATTATCGACTGTGCGACGCCGGGAAGATTATATCGACTTTTGGTTTGGTCACATAATATGTAGTTTTAATAGTACTTTGATTATTTTCATTATTGATATGAATAAAGTTATTATATTTACGGTCTACATATACATGCAATTTGTATTTTCGACCATTCTTCTACTATTTAGTTTATAGTAATCTGATATTATCGAATGCATGGTGCACATTACACCTTTTATATTACCATGAACAAGGGGATGGTGTTAATCTTTTTCCCATCTTTTATTTCTGACACTATTTATTCAATAAATATGTACATATTATAAAAGTGCACTATATTATCGTGGGATCTTTTAGAACAAATAACATACGAGTTCCATTTATTTCATTCAGTGTAGACTTAAAACTGTCTGTATCATCTGTGATAGAAAAAATCATAACTGTCGTACAGCCACATAACAGTATAAATACCAAATTATTGGGGTGGGGGGGGGTATTTAATCTATTTAAAGATACATGTAGATTATGGGAGATTCGATAACGAGTTGGCAGTTCTCACTATAATAGTTAAAAACAAGATAATGTAAAGGCAATTTGCTGAAAATTTCATTCAAATTGATCCACTATGAACCGAGAACTAAGCGATTGAAATTTCCGCCTAGCCTCGATCATCATTACTAAAGTCAGTACGATAAACAGCATAGTCTCGATTATCCAATTAAAAGTTAAATCGTAAAGGAAAGTTATTCAGTAAATCGGCTCATAATCCAGTAAAGATCGCAGGCTAGCGATGCCATCTAGAGTTGAATATGATCTGGATAGGTTAATTAATGTCTAATTAATAATTTAGATAACATTTCAGACCTAAAGAAAGACCTGCAATAGACAGATTTAGCTCTTGCATAATGTATGTTTAAAGGTTATAGAAAAACAAACAACAAACACAGATTCTTGACGTCGATGTAAGCATATACAAATATTTCAAATACCAAATCCGCATATTGGAACCCTTGAGACGAACATAATCTGTGAGAGAGAGAGAGAGAGAGAGAGAGAGAGAGAGAGAGAGAGAGATGGGGTTTAACGTCCACTCGACACAAACTAGGTCATTTCGGGACTAACATATGGTTTAATTTTATTTCAATAATTCGCTTGCGTGTAGGGGTCTTTAGCAGTGGGAGGAAACCGGAGGACCCGGAGAAAACCCGCGAGGCTGGACAGGCGACCCTACTCCTTGTCACGTACAACCGGGGATTCGAAACCACGCCAGTTGACTCAATGACAGGTCTTATGATACAGCACGCACGTGCTAACCATTCGGCCATCCACCCCCCCCCCCCCAAACATACTCTGTACTAAGGCAACGCTATGAAAGTCGCCTTAAAAGTGCTTGGTAATCGAATATTATAAAGTTTGTCACACCACCGTTACTCTGTCTTGATGACGCTAATGTTTTAGGGCCACACGTATTTTGGGTGTATATAGTCGGTCGTCGCCCCTACCCGTCCGTCCGTCAACAGTTTCTCGTTGATAGAGGCTATAGATTGTTTGAGGGATTTGGTGTGATGATTTTGTTCCAAGAAAATTCCTTGTAAACGACAGAGTTTTTGAAGGATGTTTTTCAAACTTGGCATGAAGCATACTCACCGTGAGCAGATGACCCCTATCGATTGTCAGCGTTCTCCAATTTTCCCTTTTGGAATTGCTGCCCCTGTCATTCTGACATCGTTTCGCAGCCTTCTGTTCTTGATCTACCACGCCAACCCTTCTCCGATAGCCCGTTAATGCGATAGCGGCTACAGTTTTTAACAGACATCTTTCCAATTAGGTTTGAAACATTGGGGTCATGAGATGATGAACCCAATTGATATTCATCACTCCACGACGTTCAGTTTCGCCCCCCCCCCCCCCACACAATTCTCCAAAAGCAATGTTACATTGCTACATTTTTAACAGATAGAGGCTACAGTAATGTAATGGATTTGTTTTAGATTGGGCGTAGCCATTGAGGTCATTATTAGACACGAATCGTAATATCAAATCTAGTCAGCATCTAAGTTTTTCTTTCGCATGGCATAATTTCTGTGTGGGCGCATTTACACGGTTTGCGTTCCTATCTTTTAAACTGAAATACATTTCTATGAATATCGGGCCAGTCTTTATAAGAGCTATTCGATGTTATCCATTGATAAAAACAAGGAACGAAATGTTTAAGGATTAATATATGAATGGAATCCAGTCTTTAAAACACCGAGCCTCTTTCATAAATGTATTATTATGTAGAAAATTGACCAGACATATATGAATGTGTTCATGATATAGTGATCGATGTATTCTCTATATAACGCCCAATATCCCACGGTATTGTTAGCCCACTCTAAGCAGTTAATTGAAATAACTAAACAAAATATGGAGCCACTCAAACGCCACTTATAAATTAAATACTCTGTCATGATCAAGCTTGTCCTTTGACAGCAAGTATATTAAGTACGTGTACGTAGATACCGATCCAAGGAATGCATTAGTTTATATTATGATTTATGACACTATGAATCCCTTATGAAAACTAAACAAATATAAAACCCGAAAATCCCACCGTCATAAATCAAAGCCCTTTACAGCCACATTAAATAAATAAATTGAGAAATTTATAAGATTGAGTAGTTATATTACGTAAACAATTTTGTTTTCGAATGAAATTTCTTACAGTTATTATTACATAAATTTACCATAAGTGTAAAGGTTTTTTTAAAATTTTAATAAAATAGAAGAGATGTGCAGTCGGCTACAGCTTGCATATAGTCAAGAAAAAGCTAGCGAGTAAATATAATATGAGTAATAAATTACACTGCACCTAATAGAATAAGTTATGATAGTACCCTACGTGTATATACATTTACACGGTTCTTAATCACCACGGTTATGCCAAATCCCTAATATCACGGTTTAAAGATATATGATCCCTCTAATTATATGGCTATTAAAACGTATCCGTGAATCGTGAAATGTGTGTCCATTGTTTATAAATGCTAGTTACCATATCGCCGATATAAACAATAAAACGTTACATAGTTGTACTCAGACGGATTCTGTCTAACCCCATGTGACGAACGTTTAGTATGCTGTAGTAAACCCCAAATTACCACCAAATTCCCTAGCTATGTGAACTTCTCGAATACAAGAGAAATAGTGTCGCGTGTTCTAGCTGTCTTGTGTATATCACAAGTCGCCACTTAAAGGAGCTAAATAGCTAATATTTGGGACCTAGAAATTGACACAAATGTAGCCAAGGGACAATGGCCACCAGCAGAATAATCAAGCCAGTTGTTAAAATACACAAGTACAACGTAAATTCACGAACTTTCCAAATCAGGGATGGACTGAGTATGGTATACGGGGCACCTAAAGAAGTCAATGTTCTCACGTTGTTTTGGACGCCTTTTTTAGTCGTTGTTTGGTGAAATGATAAGACTGTCACACGCTAACATTGTGCATAAGCCAGAACCATCATACTCCATGCTTCTCGCAGGATACAAGTATATTATAGAAATGAAATGAAATGGTGTTTAACGTCGGACTGTTCCGAACTGGGCTAATGACGGGCATACGCCATACAGTGTGCTATGAGGGAAATTTTGCCCGGACAGCGGCACTACGGCATACTCTATATCGAATTCCAACTGTCAACGGATATTTTACATGCACGGGACCTCGGCTTTTCGTACCATCCGAACTAGTAGACAGCTGTCCTTGTCAGGACCTCCGTCCTGCATCACTAACAAAGGGGAACCACGCTTGAAAATCTGAATGAACTTTCTCGGCCAATGCAGGGATCGAACACCCGACCCCCAGGCTAGCGAGCCCGCGTCTTACCCACTTAGCCACCGTGGTCCCCAGTATATTATAAAAAGCACCACTTAAATCCCTTGTTCAGGATATTTGGATTTCAAAAGTTCATCCTACTTGGTAGAAGGTATCCTTGGCGGAATATCCATAAAAAGAAAACAAATTGCATTATGTCCATTTGAGCTCCTTCCGGCGTGAGTTACACAACGAAAACATGATAGATCTTCGATAAGAAATACCCAGACATGTGACTATGATGAGATAACTAGTGAGATTCTTCATGAAATATTATGATTTCGAATCTGGTTAATACTATACAGCTATGATTTTTGTTTATCGTTACAGAATAGCCAGTGGCACAAAGTTATCAACACCTTCAAAAATTCGAACCCTAGATGGTTTAAACGCTTCACCAGATTATCAGGTACTGTTATATATTGGTTATCTTATAGTAAAATACACAAACTTGATACCAGAGTTTAAATTTTAGCGTCGACCCTTTGAGAACAAAACCCAATCACACCGGGGTTAAGAATTGCTGTACATGTAATGTGCATAAGTGGCCAAAATAGTAATCCCACATCACTCCCATACAACATGCTTTTTACTAGTATATAATTTATGAAAGTACATGAATGAACACTATATTATCTCTTAGCTTTTTGTTTCTTGATAAGGTTATGCCATCTGGAAATGTTCTACCAATATACGGTAATTGTATGGTATTGTTTAGAGTTCAATATATTTTTTCTGCTTTTAAAACTAAACTGAATTCTACAATCCCTTTATATTATATTTATCAATTGATATTTTATCTATGTTACTGATTAGTATTACGAAAGAAGCGACTCTGAATACACAGATAGTACCCACAGAACACCAATATCAAGTCCTTCTCCAGAAGAGACAAGTAGATCTTCCACGAGATCAAAGTCACCACTGCCACAGAAAGAAGATACGGAAATACAATCTGAAACAATCACCGAGACATCTGATGAAAAGTTACATGTTGTTGGCGAACAAGACGCGGATATCCAGTCTGCTCCTGTTATTCGCCGTGAAAATAACCCGCCCAGTGGAAAGAGAAGGAAAACTTTAGATTCACCAAGTCTGATTTCATTGAAAGATTCCCGTTTCACACAACCGCATTCGACATTATGTGCCTTTACCGCCGAATATGCAACTGCTTCTATAGTAGGACAAGAGAAAAAGGTTTGGAAACCAGTGAGATCAACCTCAGTTGATAGAGAACGAGAACTTAAGAGAGGACTTGAAGCAGGAATGAACTGTCCTTTTAAAGTTAAAGATATTTCTGTTAAGCAAGCTTCATGTCGTTACAACCAAAAACAAGCTATGTTCACCCGTGGTGAACTAAAGAAGGGTAATACTAAGGTCGGTTATTATTCTAAAGAAAACATAGATCCACCCGGTAAAATGGAAGCTGTATTGGTAAAAACTGGACCAGAAGATAACGAATTCCCACAACCAATATGCTTCACTGTAAAGAAAGGAAGTGTCAAAACTAACCAGTTCTCAAATGGTGTTTCAACGCAGTCCGGACCGTCCTCCACGTCTAAAGCTAAACACCTCTCGCCAACCGAAGAAGTTCTAAGAATGCGTAAAATCCTCAGCAATAAAGTAGGTAATGGAACCAATGATCTTTCTGCGTCATGTGATAAAAACGTAGCTTCAAAAGATAACTACACACGCAGAACTGAAAGTTCGTATCGGCAGAAGATATTCTTTCCAACAGAAGAACTGGTTCCGTCTGCGAGAGCCACCATAGGCCGCGAAAAGGCAGGCAACAGACAAGATGGCAGTCAAGGAATTCCATCAATGCCTAGTATTATGTATTGGCAGTGTCATAATCCAGTGGATGTTACGAAAGGCAAGAAAACTAATGGGAATGCAAAAGAAACGGAATATTTTTCAAGGCTTCCAAAACCACCAGGAAAATCTCCGAAGCAGTTACATACTAATTCTATACCTCCTTCTGGAAATGGAGTTAAAGTCCCCCCAATAAAAAACATGGTTAATAATTCTAGTAATAGTTCTGACGTACCGCGTTCCGCCAAAGTCTGCTCTGCTGAATCTGACGTTAATCAAGCCAGTCCCAAAACACCAATTTGCTCTTCGCCCTGGATATCTGACGAAGGTGGTAGTAAATATATTCCACCTGCCAATAAATTTTCCACAAAATCTTTACCGCCAAAACTTCAAGGTTCAAAAGACAGATGGGCGAGTTCAACACCTACTGAACAGAAATTGAAGGAGTTAGCAGAGGTCATGATTACAGAAGGTCAGTCGGAAGGTGACGTATCTAAGGCTACCACCAAAAAGCGGCTTAAAGAAATGAAACAAGGACCATCAATTGCTTCTGGGGTAGATGTGTGTCACGTGTTACAACACTTACTTAACTTTCAGCAACTGTTATTAACTTCACATCCGTCATATTTTGATTTATTTGAAGATTTTGCACTATGGCACCTACACCTATAGCCCACATCTTGGGTATATAAAAATAAAATGATCATCAGACAAATGATAATGATGTACATATACATGTAGATACTACACCCATCTTGCCCGTAAAACTTAGCGGATAAACTTTACAATAACCGTTGATGCAACGAGTCTCTTGCTTAATTTAATATACATGTATAGAAGTCCAAAATGTCCCCCGTACGTCCCTGTAAGCGCAATACATTCTGCATCCCACCACTCATGTTCCCATTTTCACACATGTTAATCTGACAACTATTTTTAGTACACCTTGTATGTCGAAAAATTCAGAAAGCCAAATTAAAAGAAGTATGTTTTCTGGGCTGTACAAGTAAAATATCCCCGAACTCTATCAATTTTAAATGTCGATGACAACCATATAAAACTATATATAGTTTTACCTGGGGAGTTCTGCTGAGTAAACCGCTTTCTTGTCTGTCGGTACACTTGTAATTGTACATGTAGTAAAAACACAATCTTATTTAATTAAACCGACATTATGCAAGAGCTAAATCTGCCTATTGCAAGCCTTTCTTTAGGTCTGAAATGTTATATAAATTATTAATTAGACATTAATTAACTTACCAAGACCATAATCAACGCTCGATGCCATCGGCTGCCTCCGATATTAAGTAGGTTTGAATAAGTTTTGTGGTCGATAAAATAACGGTAAAAATGGATAATCGTAACAACGGTAGCATTGACAATCAAGGCTACAGTGTTATTGTATCGCCGACAGCTTGGCCCGGAATGAAGTACTTTTACTGACATTTCAACATATTCCCGTTTCATTATCTATTTTTAACTATTTTAGCGAGAACTGTCAGCTCTTTATCTAATCTTACCTAATGCCGATTTAAGTTCCGTACGGCAATAATCTGTGATATAATTAAGAAACTTGGTTGTACAAAAGGGCATTTTATATTTGATTTTTAGCAGAGTGTGACTAAACTAACTATTTTGAATGGTTGTGCCAAGTTGAATTGACATGCATATTATTTTACTAACGCATAGGTAATAGCTTGAACTAGAATATCAAGGGAGATTCTGATTGCTGTGTTTATTTGAAGTGTTTCAAACCATGCAAATTTAACAATGTTTGAGTGGATACCAACACGTATTCACCGTGTGATTTCTTATCTTTAGTTTTATGGATCACTTCATTGATATTTGTCCCAATTATGGATAATATTCACCCTTTATTTAGTTTTATGAATATATACGTCGAATAAGCAATAACGTCACGATTTATATTTTTTTTCCAACCCGATCGTTTCTACTCCAACCAAAATTTAGAGCCGCTCCCTAAATGGAGACAAAATGAAATGAAATGGGGTTTCAAGTCCTACTGTTCTATACTCCGACTGACCTAATGAAGACGGGCTATGAGGAGAATTTTGCCCAGAAAGCGGCGCTACGACCTACTATTATATCGAATTCCAACTGCCAGGGGATCTTTTACGTACACGCTAATGTGTACACAGGACCTCGGTTTTTTGTTCCATCCGAACGACTAGACAGCTGTGCTTGTCAGGCCCTCCGCCCTTCACCACTGACAAGACGAAACCACGCTGGCAAATCCCGATGATCTTTCTCGGCCAACACCGGGCGCGAACCCGCGATTTCCAGGCTTGTGAACAAGCGTTTTACTCATGTAGCCACCGTGGCTCCCTAGATGGAGACGAGGATTAACAAAGTTACATTCGCCTAAGTAGCACAGGAATTACCCCCCCCCCCCCCTCCGCCCATTGTTAAGCTGTCTTGTATTAGATTATATTCCACAGATTCCATAAGCGCTACACCAGCCCTACAAACTCTACGCAAAATAAAGGGTACACAAACATGTGAAAATATACTTTTCAACTAATTAAATAGTAGTTACACTGAAAAATCACCCAATTTTTAAATCTAGGAACCGTTTATGTTTTATTACTTTTTACAGATGTGGTTCGACTCCAACGGTCGAGCGTACGTAAGTCTAGCCGCCCGTTATGATCCAATCAGAAAATAGACACGAAGTGAGTCGGATGTGGATGCCGTGAACTAATATAACAAAGCTACTGATATATAAATTAACTGTAATATTTTTTTTGAAAAAAACAACAAAAAACCCATAGGCCTAACAATTAATCCAACCTATTTTTTATCATCATCATCGTCGTCATACATGCATGTTGTATATATCTGAATCATCAATACATAGCAACATCAAAGAGCGCTTTCGTAGCAACCGTAATCATCACCAAAACTACATCATCACCATCGTATTTATTTTTTCCATTCTTTCATACAATACAAAATATAACATAATTAACAACGCTTAAATTCTAGGTTCGCCTATTTGTCGTTAAAGTGTGTGGTTCTTTTAATTGCTGTGTTATGTGACGTTGATAATAACACTATTGTTTCATTAATGTCACCTTTAATACTAACGAGTTAAAAATTTTAATCGCGAAATTCAAAATTGACCATGGAATATTAATTAATTATATTGTAAGGTGTATATTCTAGTGTTTCATTGTTTATACCTGTTTATAGATTTAACGAATGACATATTATATTAAAAATTGTTATATTTTTACGTTTCACTTTCTTAAATATTAAAATTCAGATTAACTAGAAGTGTCATATGTTTTATGTCCGTGATTTGATAAGCCCTTTTTCATATATTTTCAGATTGATGGTGAAAAACCTCCACATCATACTGAGGTGTCACTAAAACCCCACCCAGACGCAAGGATTGACAACATTTGTCAACAAGATCAATCAAATTCTTCCAGCATTATTTCAAAGCAATGTGCAAACGCCCAGACATGTTGTAGAAGCCTGTTGTCGGATCCGTCGCATACCTTCCAAACTGATAACGAGTCTTCTGATACCATGCCAGGTAACAACGGTTCTTCAGATCCATCAATAGGTGCATCTTCGACTGTTTCCACAGACATCGTTTCCCCACGCCCAATGTCTGTGTTCTCTAGAAGGGGTCATTTGTCTCTTGGAAAACTTCAAGATATAAATTCTCGCAACACAACCTCCTCTTTAAGCTCACAAAGTATAGATTCTATGACTTGGCGGGAAAAGTTACAGGCTTTAAGAAAAGCAGATAAACCACATTTTAAAAGAAAAGGAAAACCTCGTCGGTTAAGTTTTTATAAAGAGGATAATATTGTAGGGAAGGTAGAAGTTGGGTGTTGTGACCCGTGTCTTACCCACAGGAAGAAAATCCAAGAGCTTATCGAGAACTCTAAAATTAAATTAAAAACAATTTGTACAGAAATGGACCAAGCATTGGTGGTTAGGAAAAACAATCGCTTAAAATCCAATGTGCTGGGAGACGCTCAATTAGACATTGATACCATCATCAACTCTGTCAGAGATTGTCAAATTCAAAATGTCGATGATAAGACCCGTGTAGTTTGCAAAACAAAGACTTAACTGTGGTTTTGTGATATTAAATGACTGTGATACTTTATATTGATAATGTATATAATACAATGGTCATTTTTTTGTGCTATGGTGTGTTGGTTTGTTTAAAACAGTAGACAATGACTTGTAGATGTCATTTAAATAATGAGTACACGTCTGTCACATTAAATTTAACCCTTGAACAAGATTAACTCAACTAACCATCCAGTCAAAATTTGATATCAAATTCACTGAAATTGCATTAAATGGAGCCCGATTTTCAAATTTAATACTGATGAGATTGTTGCGCCCCCTCCCATCCCATAAAGTAACTCGCCCCTTCGATGATGGATTCATCCCTTCTGCCATTCAAACTTGAGCACTCCAATAGCAGTCTTTAAAGAAAAAAGATGAGATTTATGGGCCATTGTACCTAATTTAAATCGTGATGTTTGTTCACAGATCAATAATCTCGTCATCGGTCAGATTTTGTTGATTAGATTCACCCAATCTATTTGCAATCCATATTTAGGCTTCATATAAATTCGAGTTCTAGCTGGTCGGTCATCCATGGCTTACGGTCATGGTGTTGCGATCTCTGGTGTGTTGGGACACATTCAAACTCGTGGATTTACTACGGGTACACCGGTTTCCTCCCACAGGGAACACCCTTGCGCGTGCGCTAAGATAATGACACAAAATATCAGGAAAATTCATCACATAAGCTATACATTGATTTTTTCCAATATATACGCCGGGTCACAGATAACTTGACAAGAGCCTAAAATAGAGTTTTTCACAATTATAACTCCAAGAATAAGCGGCGTGGATGTTTTTTGATGAGCCGTTGATGGGGCGAATGGTTAGGGCGTGCGCGTTGTATCATAAGGTCTGTCATTGAGTCAACTGACCTGGTTTCGATTCCCCGGTTGTACGTGACAAAGAGTAGGGTCGCCTGTCCTAATATGTAAGCATGTCTCTTGTTTACTTTGTTTTATTATTCACATTTGCAGAACTCTTGAAAAGTACCATTACAATATAATATTTTGAATGACGAAATTAGTACTAAACGAAAAAGCTAACGAGAAGCCACTTTCAGGTGGATTTTGAACCAAGTGGTTTCTTTATGTGGGAATCTTTATTACACATATTAATTAAGTGATGTGGAGCGGCATTAAAAGTACTGTTTTACCAAGCTCTAAGCAAATCACCATTTATATCAACGTGATCTCATTTCCCGACAGTTTACAACCCCCCCCCCCCCACTCCCACTCTTCCACACATGCACACCTGCAACCCCCCTCTCCACAAATCAAGACAGTTGTCCAGGGGCATGATATACACCTGTTTAAAGATGGACAGTCCTAGAAAGTTATGTTTTATTAATATATAACATGATCACAGGCCCGTAACTAGAGGGGGCGCAGGGGGGGGGGGGGGTAACCCCCCCCTGCAAAAAGTTTCGCCCCCCCCCCCCCTGTGAAAAAAATTTAAACCATAAAAAAATAGATATACATTGTCCGTCAATATTACAGCACCCCTGACGACACTTCCCGCCCCCTTGTTGCTCTGGGCTAGTTACGGCCCTGCATGATCATCATTTATGTCAAAATAGTCAACATAATCGAAAACGCCCCGCCCCCCCCCCCCCCCCAAAAAAAAAAAAAAACCCAACAAAAAACAAACACCAAAAAAACGCATGATCCCCACAGATTCGGAATCTACGCAAACAACTGGTTTAGAAACACTTGGTCGCATAAAATCACAGCTCGGGTGGCGATTCCCCCACCCCACCCACTTCGGGCACCGGACTAATAAGCTAATCCATATGTTCCGCATCATTAATAATTTATTATGGCTTCTATAGTAGTAGTAGTAATAGCAATACATGTATTAGTTTATTAACGTCTTACCAGTTGTAGATACATCACATTCTAAAATTATGATATACTAAGTATTAAAAAACTGCCATTCATTAAGAATTATGAGAGACGATATGTACATTATATAGAAACAAATAAATAAGCATAGTAAAATACAAAAAACACCTACGACAGAAATTCTAAAATTAATATCTATACCGGGCTAAAAATAAGAACCCATTCACGAACATGGATACAAAGTTTGCATCCGTTGTTTTTTTAAATATCGCAGTAGGTTTTGGCACTGAATTTAACTATTTCATCCCTGGACAGAATAAAAGACATTTTCTCAGAACTTGTATAAAGGTAAATAAAACCTTTCTAAAATCGCTATATTATATAGTTCACATTCTAAAACACGGTGTTCTTCATTTTCGACTTTATCGGTACAATAAAAACAAAGACGGTCCTCAATCAGGGGCGGATTGGGGCCGGGAACCGGCCCGGGCTCCCGTGTCGGAGCGGCCCCTTTTACTGACCGCGGAGCCCGGATGGTGGTTCCAGACATGAAAATTTTGAAACATGAACCCCAAATATGCGATTTGGTGGCATATCTGATTATAATCTCTGTCAAATAATATATCTCATAAATCGATTAATTTAGGCCAAAACCCCGACCTGCAAGTAATTTACAACCATCAACCTGTGAAATTATCATATCGTCATATTATTAATTAACGTATTATCATTGTATCGTCAAGACCAGCTATCATCAAATTTTGCAGAGGCCTTAAAATTGAATTTTTTTGGGGAGTTACGAACAATCGGCAGACCTTTCTGGCGACAGTGTCGGTGGAATCCGATGAAATTTTCGGATGAAATTCGGAATCCCCATTGCAGGATTCCGAATTCCGGCTCGCACCCAGCACACCCGGCCCAGAAAGTCTATTATACCAGCCCAATCCAGATTCCAGTGATGGCGTGGCGGCCCGTTAAACCCACCGGCCACATACAACATGATCATCATCTAACAGACTCTAACAAACCAATGTTATTATGCGTCTTTCTAGTAGGCTATTCGCAAATGATTGGCGATGCATGGAAATTAAAGACCAGGAACACGTTTTATAAAGCGTATATATAGGTTGTGATTGCTGCCTTCACTAATCGTTTGAAAGTTTAGTTGTTCTGGTACACAATCATTATCCGTGAGACAATCAGGGAAATCCCCAAAAAGGAATGTGTTATAGTAATTTACAATTTTGCGCGATGTATGCAAGTTTTCCTCCAACGCTGCGGAGGCCATTTGGAGCATATTTTGGAAAGAACATGACTTTTATGCAAGCGCAACCAAGATAACTGAAACTATGGGAAATGATCGTACACAGGCTGAAGTTTAAGTTCAGCAAATTTTTTGAAATTGTTTGGATCTTTGTAGGATTTAATAAAAAGACAATTATAAGGCACACAAGGAAAGAGTGTGAGAAAAACTCTATCCCGTCGTTTTTTTTTTAATTACCTATTCTGTCATAGATACAACCGAAGAGAGATGGGGTTGAAATAAAGATCGACTGTTTAGTTTACTTATCGTGACCCTTGCAACTGGGGTCTCTCTACCAAGGGACCAGTATAGAGCATAGCAGGGGTTTCTTCTGAACGTCTAGAAGCCTCACTTCTATGTTAAAATCAGGCGTCGTTGTATGTAACCGCATAATTACTTGCGTGCTATAACCTGGAGAAAGGACTACTTGTGGCAAAATTGTTCAGGGTGGTGGTGGTTGGGGGGGGGGGGGGGGCTACAGCCTCCCTATCCCTCCTTCCCCACTCCGTCGGGCCTGTCGCGGAATGCTGATTATCCACAGGATTTGTGCTCCCATGATCCCATCACTCTAGAAAGCTCACTTTGTGTATGTAATGCCATAACCCAAGCAGTTGCACCAAAATTGAATTCAATCAAGATCTTTTGATCATCAACATCTAAAACGGGCAAAAATAGAAGCATAAATTAATGTGAAACTGGTCATATAAAGATTTACATAATTTACAGATTTGTATTTATAGCTGCGTATTTGTATCATTGGCAGTCCAAAGAAACGTTCAAAAACAGACAACCCGTTACTGTAACATGCATCTAACTACTTGCGTCATCAACAGATTTATTTTTAGACATTTACATACAAAACACGAAATTTAAATGAAATCAAACGCAGTGAATTTGGTGATCACAATGATTGCTAATGGCACACAGGCTGAATTTCCTCATGCAATCAGATTCATAAGGATACGTATCATTTTTTTCAAAGCACGGATTTCTGATTCTCGAAGCACGGGTTTTTCATTTCGCCTGTATAGGCACGTTAATATGTCTTGGGTTAATAGGCCAATAATTGAACGTTATTGCTGCATTTTAATTACCACAAGAAATAGTTCCCGACTGCAGGTGCTGTAAAAGAATTCCGTAACCCATATAAACTGCTTCTGCTATCATTTCCAAACGGGTCAATACTCTGAGCTGAAACTTTTAGACAAGATAACACATTTTTATTGTACTTTAGCAATTTGGGAGACATATAATGATATGGTCTATGATGGATTGGTTAACCTCTATTATTGATCTTGTCACAGGTTGCGCGGTTTCTCTTGGTCATAATTTCTACGAATTCTGCCGAGAAAGTGAAATATGGTAAACATGTTCTATTCTAAAGGACATTAAATTGAATTATTCTGTATGAGCATTATAATTATTACCGAAACTATATAAAATACGGTTGTCAGATAAATTTTAAATGTAATCACCTAATTAAGAGGTATCGGAATATCTATAATTGAGCTTGATTAATTTATTAGTTGACTTAATGACACTGACAGATTAGTGGTTAAACTTATGGATTAGTTTGTATAACAGTGCAAGTGCCTTGATTGACAGTTAAATGACAAATTTAGATACAGTATATAAACTTCTATAATTAAACATCAGTCAAACTTTAACTAATAGTGCATCGTAACTTATTGTTAAATCGTATCTTATTTCAAAAGCTATTACAAGGATGGATAATGTTAAAGAAACCAGTAAATTAACTGAATTCACTACAAATCACGAAGTTTCAACTTACGGCGACGATGTCAGTTTATTTTCAGAAACTCCACATGTAAGCAGAACCAAGCGTTATGTGACAGCGGCACCCGTAGG